TTCGGGTCATCATGTGTAGAGTGTGGTGGCTCAGAAGCCCTTGCGCTGAAGACTGTCGAGTATGCCTGATTATCCACCGCTTGATCACCACGAATGATTCAACGCTGACTAAATACATTAACCTAGTCGCTACCGTCAGATCCTGCAACGTTGTCCCATATGGACACGCCGCTGCCCGCATGGCGCGGTGAACAATGTAAGGTAGCCGGAACCATTCGTAGCGTTGAAGAGGTCAAACATGCCATCGTCCCAGTCGGTTATATTCCACATCTATAACTTCTATGAGCTCATTTATACTCATACAGACAGCCGTGTAATCATTTGCGGTTTCTGCCGTGTCTCAGCAGGCTGGTAGTTGGAGTCTCACGTCGGTTGCCTTTGATCGAATGAGATACCGGCCTTTACTAGCGTTGACCGGTTGTAATTGCCATGCCATAGTCTCTTTGTCGTCATATAAGTAGTTTCGTAGGCCATTGGAGGTTTGTTGCAAGGCCTATAATGTTTGTGGATTTGGTGTCAGAGAATCGATACTAGGTATCCGAGTCTAGACTCACTTAAGACGTAATATCTCAATTTTTATAAGTGTTTACTAACGCTCTCGTCGATAGGCTACTACCTCGGTCTTCTATGCAGTTCTATTCGTACGTCAATAAGAAAGGCGTGCGGAAGAACTAAAGAAGTCTTCGAATTTAAGGAGAACAAAGATTAATAATATCCTTACTAGCATTGGCAGCGAGTTGCTACCTCGAACGCTTGCGTCGCACAATGATCTATTAAGCTAACCATTAGGAACACGTCCAGACATAGAACTTATTTCTAATGGGGGCCATATTGCTACCAAACTCTGCAGACAGCCAATCTTGCATGAATTCCGTGTTCCTTGTCAACGCTCTGTAACTTTGCATATCTACGCGGTTTCTCGTCAGAACTACCTCCTATCTACCACAAGACGATCTCGTGTGTCAGACTCTTCGTTACTTCTAGCTCCAAGTCTGCTTCGCGAAAAAGTCATCAATGACATCCTGGAAGTCTTCGGAGCCCTCATACCCAAGCGCATGTAGAGCTTCTGCTTCTTGTTCTGCTCTCTTGGTTTCCATCAATTGCTCCGATTCTCGAGTGAAGCTGCGCGAATCCATAGAATCAAAATCGGAAATGTCTTTATAGCCAAAGTTCCACCGAAAGGGAGGTAGAAACTGGTCCGTCGCCCTCCACCATGTACCTTGAAATTCCAGAACGGGACCTGCGGCAGTTTCCCTCGCAAGATCGTATTTCTCCATCAGACTATCAAGCTGGCTAGCCAACATAGCATCCTCATCTTGCATTTGCGATATCTCGTCATCTAACCTGGTTCGACGACTTGACGTGCCATCGCGACCCGAACAGCAAGTATGAGACATTCCGAGGCGATCAAACAACTCTCTTCTACACTCTTCTCTACAGATCATTTCTTGGCTAGTTGAATCCATTTCCAGGTGTTAAACCATTGATTGAGTCGACCGGCAACAGAAGGATCGCTAACCCGTTGGCCTCTAAAGATTAAGCGACTCGGAAGACAGCCAGCAGTCGAACAAAAACAGTCGCAGCCATCGGTAGATATGTGAAGTTTCGCATCAGACGACAGAGCTCTCAAGTCCTCATTCACGCTGCCTACAGTGCCAAAACGGCGCTCGGGGAGAGCAAGTGCCAAGTAGTACACGATATTAGGCCATCCTTCGGGATTCTTGTTAACGGCCTCGGCTCCGCGGGTGATGAACCATGTCGCTAAATCCATACAAATAAGCCATTGACCGTCGTTCTGATTCTTCTTATTGTAATCTTTGATGTTCTGAAAGAGCGGCGTGTGCCCTGATCTGTCAGGTACATCGACATCGACGAACCCCGCCGCGTACAGGCACTGGGATATATCGAGAGCATGGACCACCCTCTCCTCCAGAGCTTGATTTTTGATAAATCTTATATGATAAGGCGAGCCGTGGCAACAGTCTAAAGCGGGCGGGATGACAGTTTTTCTCTCCAATTGGGCGCATATCCAATCAGCGCTGCGGTCAAGAAGACCAGGATGCCCTGACCTAGCACACTCTAGTTCATCTTCCCTGAGTACGACGGCAGCCAATTGCAAAAACCTCTGCCTTCGACTTCTCAGAGCATATGTTGCAATCTTGAATAAGCCCAAGACGTCCCAACCGATCTCCTCCAGGATCAACCTGAAAATCCAGAGGCCATTAACGCCGTCAACAGCAGGCGGGGAGGGATCTGTATGTTGGGCGAACATTGCCTCTTCGGTTTCAAGGAGAAGTCGAAATGATGCAGCATCATCTAGTGATATGGCCAGCTTGATAGCTCTTGCAGCGGTATGGCCATGATGTGTGAGATGCTTTATGCCCTCTGGCCATCCTAACGCTAGTTACAACAGGCTTAAATCGTCAACGTGCGTCATATTCTGTTCTGACGCGACTCTCGAAGGGGTTCCTAGGCGTACACCATCTCCCAACGATCGTCTGATGACGGCAATTGCCAGATCATCATATCCTAACGCTGGAAATACTGTTTGTCAGATAAGAGGGTCATACAAACGCTTTTCAGTCGGCTAACCTTCAGCGAGCCCGGGTTGGCGAACTAAAGTTCTTATCTTGAGTTGGATAGTGTAGGGCCGATTGTTAGCGTTGTTATTGAGTTTTATCTCCTGTATGATGTTTCTCGCATCAAGAAGCGTGTGCAATGGAAACTCGGGTCCGAAAAAAGGATCTGGCGTCGCAAAACCGGATTCCCACAAATAATCAATTGCTGTGCAATGTGATTCGTTTGGCTGCGGCACTCTATAAAATTCAAGTTAAGATGCAAAAATCATTGAAATGAAAGGGCTGTGGCAACTTGACTTACGGCGAGTAAGGATTCCCTGACAATGGCTTGTATTTTCGAAACTTTTATAAATTCTTGGCTGTTGCTTGAACGTCGGTGCCCGCATGTACTAGGTATAGCATCAAACATATGCTCGAGTTCATGCCTGAACCTTTTCCATGAATCTCCCAGTATGAGAAGTATATGCATGAGTTCCTAAGATATCTCAAACTATTACGCATCCGAAGGTGTTGAAGGTAGAAGGGGGTCGTAGGCTTACGAATGATAACGTTGAGCCATACTCATCGGTATCTAGCCCATGGAATTTTCCTTTGACAACACTTTCTCGTATACAACGTGTAATATGATCGAAGCACTCTTTTGTGAGGTGTTCTTGTGTGGACGGATTCCAGACAGAGACCAAAGAAATGTCGTCAGAAAGTCCATCGGCATTTTTCATGTACCACAAGAGCCGGCGACGCGAAGATTAGGTACACTGAAGGAAAACACAAAATGAGGTCATCTTTGTACAAATAGTTGGAAATAGATCGAAAGATCGAAAGATTTCGGATTCGGACCTTCGAACAATATTTCGAAACCTCAGGGGCGGCGCTAAGAAAAAGCCACCAGGTCCTGTCGCCGCACCTATGGCCAATTCCATCGTTTTATGGAGGAAAGAATATAATATGGCGCAAACAGTATAGGACCAGCTCGTGGATCCCAACTGGCTATGCTGACATCCCGGCCGATGATCAGACTTTTGCGTCGTTTGCAGCTTCAGAGGTCCCATTCGCATGTCCCTAACTTTTGTCCTAGTTCGACAGTGACAATATTTGAATGTGCTCAAGCCACGAACTGAATGATCGAACCCATCCTGCAGATTCTCGGGGTTTCGAAATAGGGCAGCTCGCGTGTTGGATGCTAGCTCTTCCTGCCTTTGTGGAGAAATCTCCCATCGAAAGACCGAGGACTGGTTGTTGAAGGAATCAGGGCGTGTCAAAATACTCAGCATTTTGTTGCGCAGCGCCTTCCTTTCCTCTGCAATGTGCTGGTTTTGTTGGCGAAACAGCTCTTGCAGCATACCACGACTGACCCTGACATCGTCTCTGAGGTCTGGTAATCCAGCATTGATCATTCCGGTCGTTCTACCGCTTTGACTCAAGATATTTCGCAAGCTCTGATCGACTCCCTCAAATCCGACAGCCAAATCAGAATGGAGATGTCCAGTTGATGTATGAATCGATTCATAATGGCGAGACGATTCGCTGCGCTGAACTTCGACTATCGATGATGTCTCCATCAACTTCGTCCTGTTTGTTGTGAGTTTCAGTACCGAAAGATTAGCGTTGCTAAATAGAAGATGACTTACATTGTCTTTACTCCCATGTTCATGTTGGTAATGTGGAGCTCCCGGAGAAAGTCGTCATTGATCTCTTTTACACTACCCAGCTTCTCCGTGACATCAGCTTCTCGGACAACCATGACGACTTCCCGCCATAGCTTTTTGACTCGGCTTTCCGCCTTGTTGCAATCTCGTACAGGCGGTCGAAGGACATCACGTGCTTCATTCAAGGCGTCGACAAGCCTCTCTGCAGAATGTGACAGGCTCGGCTCGTGAAAAAGCGAATCCTGTCCGGAGAAGGTAAACGGACTTGTCGCTAGTTTAGCGCAAACTTGAAGGATCCTCTCGGTAGATCTCTCGGCGTCTTTGAGCCGACATGAGTCGCAGTCTTCTTTGGTATCTCGCGGAGTTGCTTGACGAGCTTGACCGCGCCAATGAGGCTCTTGGCAGCGGTCTCCGCCAACTGCATCGACGCGGCGACGCCGCCGAGGACTGCGAGGCCCTCGGCCATGGTGCTTTTCTAGTTACGTGTGGTCTTTTGTAGAGTCGAAGAAACGCCAAAGGGTTGGAGATTCACAAGATGGAGAGAGAGCTGTAGGACGTGGCTCGACTTGATCCAGGTAGGCTCTCAACTTTTTGTAAAGGAAATGAAAGGGAAATGGACAGCTCAGAGACGCAGTCGCCGATGGAAATGGAGGGGCTCAGCTGTAGTCGAGGAAGGTCTGCATCGCGGCATAATTGGTCGAACATGCATATTTGAGAAGAAGTGCAATTTTGGGATGACGCGGGTTCGCAGCCTGTTTGACGTGGCAGGTCCTCCAGTCTGCCTTTTCCTTTAGTTGAACCTCGATTGAGCCTTGGAGAGGCAGATATTCTATGCGGGCTGATGAGCCCTCGCGTATGTCGTGTATGCAAAATTGTTCCTGGTCCTTGAGGGAAACTGCTGCGGAAGCAAGTGTATGACATCAATGTTTCCCGTTGTGCTAGCTCTTTCCTTACTATTCTTGTTATTCTTGTCATGTTTTTTTTTTCCTGGTTATCTTTTTGTTGTATATTCCTTGTATACAAACAGAATGGCAACGTCGATGTAACAATTTTCGTTGGCCGGCATCCTATTGTGTTACCCACTAAGGACTCTAGTAGACCTAGATGCAGCCTCAACCTGGAAAGGCGATCAGCATGGATCCACGGCAGGACCACCCAGAGATGAGAAACCATAGCCGTATAGACCACGATTTGAACCTTACTGGCAAGAACATGGCCACATCAGTGAAGAAGTTCGTGAATGGAATTAATCGTCTATAGCCATCCTTCCCCTCATCATGGTATCAACAGCCCAGGAATATGCATACATGAAACAACAACGCTCTACACAAGCGCCACAACCCACAATCTTGATGATGCTCACTTCTTCACCTCCGTGCTCCCAATCGCCGTCGTCCCGCTCGCGGTGTCAGGAGAATCAAGCAACTCGGGCCCAGGGTCCGCCTGCTTGTTCAAACTCCCCTCCCTAACCTCCCTCTCCACCTTCTTCACATCGACATCTTCAGCGTCGAGCTGCTCTTCGCCAAACGGCCCACTCGTCTTTACACCCTCCATAGAATCCGTATCATTACCATCCTTGCCGCCGCTCAACACGCCCGCATCGTCCTTGACACTGCTCGCGCGGCTCACGTCCGCGCTCTCGGGGCTCTCATTCCTCAGTCCAAGGTGCTTCTCCGCGACGGGGTCCTCTTTGTTATGACCCTTCCAATCAGCGGCCTGCATCTGCGGAACAGGTGATCCAGACGAGGGCTCATTGATGATCTCGCCGGCTGTCGGCGCAATCACTTCGTCGCCACCGTCTTCGGCCCGCTGCGAGTCTGCCACACGCCAAACAACGGCGATCTTGTCGAAGGCGCGGGAACCTTTGCGGCTAGACCCCTTGATGCCGTCCATGGCATCCCAGCTAATCTCAAAGACGCCGCTGGCGTCAGCCTTGCCATCTTGCTCCGGGCCGTTGCCCTCAAAGAAGACGTTGAACCAGACGTGGGCAACAGCAGTGACCATTGTGAGGCCCATGGAGGACGAGGTGCGGTTACGGCGCTCTACTGAGATGTTGACGTCGCTGTTGGGAATATGGATGGGCTCCGTTGGCTTGAGAATAACAGCCATACCGCCAGGCTCGCCGTCTTCGCCGCCATTTGACTTCGCTTGGGCTTGTGTGCTTGATTGCCCTGCCAGCGGAGCATCAGTATCGCTTCTCTTCTGAGCCGCGCTCGACTCGGGTGTGTGAATCAAGGACGTCGTCGCCGCATTGCGCAACTTCTTTGACTCGCTTCGGGTAGGCGTAGTATCATCCTTTTCAGGCCCTGAAGCATCCTTGTCAGAGCTGCTCTTCTTTGCATTGTTCGTGTTGGTAGGTTCCGACAAAGGCGCCGCGGCAGGTGCTTTCTCCGTAGGCTTGACGCTGACGCTGGCGAGATCGGATACCATAGATCCGACTCCGCCTCCGCTTGGTGTATCGCCCTGGACGACGATCCTCTCGCTCTTCTTGAATGTGTGAAACACCTTGATCTTCTTTCCCTCCTCGGCGAATCCTTCGACGTCAAACTTGACGCCACTTCGCAGACCCCAGACATGGATTTCCATAATCTCAATGGCCCTGTCAACGTACTTCTTCCCACCTCGAGTCCACCTGTCGACGTATGTGATCGTTCGCAGCTGGCTAGGAATCGAGATACCCGCTCCAAACTTGGGTCGCATTCTCCTCTCCGTGAACCTCGTGAGAGCTTCTTCGGGCTTCCAGCCGCACTCGGAGATAAGGTAGCTGCAGGATACTGTTCCACTCCTGCCCTTGCCAGCCTTGCAGTGAACGACGACAACCCTCTTATCATTGCCCTCGGCAGCCTTGTCAGAGGCACTAACAGCAACATTGCCCGGCTCGAGATCGCCTCCCTGAAGCCAATTTCGCATGCTAGCCATGATCATGGGAAGCAGGCGGAACGGGGGCGGGTGGTGATCAGGCCACGGGTAATGTCGCACACGGCCGTATACCTCTTCGTCGGGATACCCCGTTCCCTCTGCGCGGAACTCCCATATCGCCCACTGGTCCTTGTGCTTCGAGTCGAGGAAGGTAACGAGCCGATCGAGCGGGTTCCGGTAAGCTCTTTGGGGATATGTGCCTGAAGGACCAGATCTGGGTAAAAAAAAAAAAGTTAGCCTTTTCCCCGTTGTGATAGTGTTTGGTGTCTGAGGACTTTCATACGTTGCAATAATATTGTTGGTGACATAGCAAAGGTCTAAATCCGACTCGGCGTGCCGTGCTCGAGGTCCCGCAACAATCTGTCGAAGTAAAGAGGCCATGATGGAGACAAATCTATTGATGCACCCAGGAGAGCGGAGCAAGGTTTAGGACGAACGGGCGCCAAGGAAATAGGGACTGTTGCAGTGCGTGTAGTATAAATGGGCGACCAGGGAAGTCTAATCAAGGCGCTCCTCCCTCATGACGGTCTACTGTGTCGTAGCTGCGCCTTGGTCGCGTGCGGGAAGTGAGCCTTGACGTCGGCCTCCGAGCAGGGGAGGGCGACGTCATTCGTAGTGGGGTGAGCCGGGGAAGAGCTGCCGAGCTACGCCACTTCGGGTGTGGCTAGTGCCGTCGTTCGCCCCGGCTTCTTGGCAGCATGTGCTCAACTCTTGACTTGTGCTGTTGGCAACTTTGAGGTAACAAATTCCGCAAACCGCAAAGACTCAAGGAAAAGATGGAAATAATTGTGTAGTCATGCGAATTTGGATTTACTGCTCAATCAAAAACTAACAAACAAAGGCCGGAGCCAGTGGGCAAACGGGAAACTTGAAATCATCGTGCGATGCAGAGAGCAACCCGGTAAACCACCAGGCCCCAAACACGCCTACACTATAATAACCTGAATTACCGGCGAAACACCATGTGAACCTTGGCCGGCCATGAACCCTCCCGCTCATTTCTTTTCCTTTGCGACCGTATACTCTCGTTATGAACTTCTTTCAGTGATCGTCCCCTGCCGAGAAACACTATCATCTTGGTTGGCTTGCAACCCGGCTCTTCGCAACGGCGGAGCCGCTAGACAATCAGCCTCATCTCGAGTAAAGCTTTTGTTACTGCACCCTTGAAGGTACTCGTGACTTGGAATCGTTTCGCTTGTTTTCGCCAACGCTTTACGAAGTCTTCTTGGGGACGGCGGTGCCGCTGAGGTAGCGGTTAGGGTCAGTGTAGGCGTAGAACTGGCGGGCGCCTCCCTTGACGGTCTCCCAAGCCTGGCGGGCGGCAGGGGGCGTGCCCTGGTTGCCGACAGCGGAGTCGACACGGGACTCGAGGAGAGCGAGCGAGTTCTGGACGTGGGTGCTCTGAGTGAAGCGAGCACGAAGGAAAGCGGTGTAGATGGCAATCAAGATCCAGGAGCGGCGCTGGAAGGTGATGGCAGAGAGCAGAAGGCGAACCCAGAGAAGAATCTCGAGCGAGGACACCACAGACATGGAGGCATCGTAGTACTCCTTGACGAAAGCACCAATCTTGTCGGCGATCGGGTTGTTCGCGTACTGGGCCTTGCCGCTAGGGGAAGCACCAGCAGCAGGCGTGATGGGCTTGGGAGGAGTGATGGTGGGGATCACGTTGGCGCGCGTGTAAGTTGCGACGTGGAAGATCGAGTAGATGGCGTAAGGGAGCATGGCCAGGGGGTACTGGGGGGACAGAAGCCACACCAGGGACATGACTAGGGTCGCAGGGTTAGAAGCGATTCCCCCGCAGAGAGAGCGCAAGGATACAACTTACCAAGGTACTGAACGTTCTCGTCGGCAATCAGGGCCAGAGGGCTCTGAGGAGCCTTGGCTCCAGCCTTACTGCGTGCGCGGAGAGTCTTGTAGACGACGATACCGTAGGTCAGAGCAGCCGACAGGAAAGTGAGTCTGTAGCTGAAGCGGGCGATCCGGCTGTAGTAGTTGAAGGAGATGTAGGAGAAGCCATAACGAATAACGGCGAAAATTAGGGACAAGTGTCTGCAGCATGAGTTGTCAGTCAACGTTCGTAGAATAGCTGTTGATCTCGTCGATTGTAAGCCCATCTGGCATCTCCACCTGCGTATCTCGGGTCGTCGGGTTGCAGGGAGGGAGCAGGGCGTCATATCAGGATGGTCTGTACATACCCGGCAAACCAAGCGACTATTGATGGAAATGTTAGCAAGTGTTTTTGTAGCGACAGAGACATGCAGGCGAAAAGACGGGAATCAGCATACATTGCAGGGTCTGGGCCAGAAGCAAAAGCCTCTGGGTCAAAGGGACGTTGGCGGGCGGAGGGGGAGCCATCGTGATGTGTTCTGAGTGCTGCGGCAGCTCTCAAGGGCAGAACAGATGTATGTGGAATATTCGATGCAGCAGTCGAAATTGGTACACTGTAGCAATGTCGTAGGAGAGAAGAAAGCTGGGACGGTGGACTGGTGGTTTTTGTGTCGTGTGAGAAGTTTCTCGGAGATGCAGATGCTGGGTTGACTTTGGGGAAAGCTGGCCAGAATGCGCAAGAAGTTGAAGTGATGCGGCGGCGGGGACTCGAGTGGCTGGTCCAGTGTGCAAGTGTCCATTGCAGAGGAGACGGAGGGGGTGGAGGGAAGATGGAGCCTGGACCAGCTGAGGAAAGCGGTGGTCGGTGCGTCGGTGCGTCACTGCTTCCTTCTTCGTGCTTCCCTTTGGTCGGTTCCCTCTTTCCTTCCCGTCGCTGGTCCCTCTTTTTTTTTTTTTTTTTTCATTCTTATTTTCTGTGTGGCTACTAGGTATTTTTGAACTTGAACACTGCGTAGGTACATACCCAAAATTCCCCAAATTCCAGTCTAGGGTCCCGGACAGAGAAGCGGCAGATCTGCACTCTGAACATGGGCGAGGGAGTGGGATTTGCTCCAGATTTTAAATGACAGACAGGCAAAGACAGGGCTCTCTGGCTCTTGTTTCCGTCTCATCCCAGCGTCACACACGGAATACGGTGTTTGGCGAATCACGCTGCCACTCACATGCAAATAGGCTTAATGTTTCCTTTTATTTCGTGTGTTTTGGGATTTCCCGCCTTCAACGGCGGCACAGGAAGGAGATCTGACCGCGAGAACCCAACCGTCCCTCAGGTCAGTGTGAAGATGAGACGACGGGAGAAAATCCGTGCCCCAAGCAGAACGGGAATTATCAGCAAACACCAGGGCCACTAGAAAGCGTGTGCATGCAATGCAGAAGGGAGAGCCATCATGGTGGTACACGCATGTCTCTGCGCTCAAATGTATAGACGATAATATGAAAATGGAATGATATGGCCAAAGCTCCCTCCAATGACGAATGAATCTGGCAGGGGTAATATGACAAAAGCAGCACGAAATACACATCCCCTAGATACCTAACCTACGTGTCGATTCTAGACGCAGCTGTGCCTTGGACAGGAGACTCGAGAGTCGAGACTCTTTCATCACCACTGGCGCTAGCTCCGGACTTTCCTGGCCTGGTGTCAAGCCACAATCATCGGCTTGTTTCTTTTCGTCATCATCACGCCTGGTCTGTGCGACAGCTGCAGGCGATAGCTCCGTCGAATCCACAAAGCTTTGGCCAATGAGAATTCTCCGTATTCAGCCTGCTTAGTCACACTGTACAGTCTCGTGTAATTAACGGCTGTTGGGACAGTGTCAATTCCTTCGACGTTTACTGCTTCCATCACCCCTGCTCAATTGGGGAAGCTGTGGCGTCACAAGCTCCCGAGCTTTTTCGAAATGTTGAGGGCTGCAGCTTCGTGGCTTCACCTCAGTCCATCGACCAGACAGCCGTGTTGATCTGCGCACTGCTCGACACCACAAGCAGCCGCGATGCCTCCCAAAGCAGCCCCTCGAGCAAGGGAGTTTGTCCATCCTGAAGCTGGACATGCTCGAAAGAAGTAGGTTCTCAGACTTTCTTTGCGTCTTCTTCCATCTAGACAAGGCCCCTCCACTCATAGCAACTCTCAACAGGCCCCCCAGCGCTTTCGCTATCGAGCCCATCTCGGCATTCTACTGCTTCCTGATTGCCAACATCATCTCCGCCCTCTTCGCCCCGATCCAAGACTGCGATGAAACATTCAACTACTATGAACCGACTCATTACCTGTCCCACGGCTATGGCCTGCAGACGTGGGAGTACTCCCCCACCTACGCGATCCGCAGCTGGCTATACGTTGGTCTGCATGCCATTGTTGGGAACATCCGCCGCTTGATGCCACAATCCACCAAGGCAAGTGCATTGCGGCACTACAGAATACTCTTTGCGTCCAATTGCTGACCATGAACAGGTCGGAGAGTTCTTCTTCATCCGCTACGTACTCGCTTTCAGCTGCGCCTTGTGCCAGACCCTTCTCTTCCGTGTCATTAGCCTCACCCTCAATGCACGCATCGGCCTGTTCTTCATCCTGGCCACCGTGTTCAGCCCTGGAAATTTCCACGCAAGCACCGCCTATCTGCCTTCCAGCTTTGCCATGTACATGGCCATGCTGGGCGCTTCATCCTTCATGAACTGGCGGGGTGGTCTCAAGACCGCTCAAGGCATCTTTTGGTTTGCTGTCGGTGCGGTGGTGGGCTGGCCCTTTGCCGCGGCACTCTGCGCGCCATTCCTCGTTGAGGAGGCTCTCTTCGCTGCCTTGAGTGATACCGACCGCTTGATCGAAGCTATCATGCGTGTGGTCAGGGGTGTCGTTGCGGGCCTCATCGTTCTTGTAAGTTGTCGTACTGATTCCTTCGTGACCAATCATTGTCTAATGCCAGCTAGTTCTTCGACGGCGTTATCAACACCTTCTTCTACAAGAAAATCGAGGTCGCAGCTTGGAATATTGTCAAGTACAACATCTTCTCGGAGACAGGCGGCCCTGAACTATACGGCACAGAACCTTGGACTTTTTACTTCCGCAACCTGACGCTCAACTTCAACATTTGGTTCGCGCTTGCGCTCGTCTGCTTGCCCCTGTTCCTGCTGCAGAAGATCGTTTCCCCTTCCGGCCAGGGCTTCCAGACCGGCCTTCGTGCCCTGGTCTTCATCTCACCTTTCTACCTGTGGCTCGGCATTTTCACTCTTCAGCCTCACAAGGAAGAGCGTTTTATGTACCCTGCGTACCCCTTCCTTGCCTTGAATGCAGCCATGTCGTTGCACATTGTTCTTACAGCGCTCGGCAATTCTGATCCAAAGACCCTCATTGGCAAGATTCCTGCCAAGCTCAAACTGTCCTTGGTCACCATCACCCTGCTTCTGTCATTCGATATCAGTCTGTCCCGAGTGTACGGCATTTGGTCTGCCTACTCTGCCCCGTTGAGTCTGTACAAGCCTCTCGGAGCCGGCGTCAGTGGTCAACAAGGCCTTGGTGTGCGTGGCGACAATGTCTGCTTCGGCAAGGAATGGTATCGCTTCCCGTCATCCTACTTCCTGCCTCGCGATATGCACGCAAAGTTTGTTCGCTCAGAGTTCAGGGGCTTGCTCCCAGGTGAGTTCTCCGAGGCCCGCACTGGATTCGGTTTCTGGAGCGGTACCTGGATGCCGACGAATGGCATGAACGACAGAAACCAAGAGGACATGGGCAAATACGTTGACCAGAGGTTCTGTGGTTTCATGGTGGATACGCAATACCCTGAACGAACCGCTCCCCTGCCTCCAAACGAGCCCGACTACATCGCCGATGCAGAGAACTGGGAGATTGTCAAGTGTATCCCCTTCTTAGACGCGGAGAATACCCATGTTTTGGCCAGAGCGCTCTACGTGCCCAACCTTCCGTTTGTCCCTGAGCAGTTTAAGCGGAAATGGGGCCGTCACTGCCTGCTCAAGCACAAGAAATGAAGTGACTCACGATCATGATTGTACCTTTTAAGGTGGATGCTTGAGCCGTCTTTTGGGGAAGTTCATGGCTGTCTGGCGGACCTGCCTTTGCAATTAGTCCAGGGATCTTGACCAAGGATTGGAATAGCCTAGCGACCAAGTATAGTGATGCAGCCACATTTGTTACAGGACGTGTCCAGGATGTGAGGGATCGAGAAGCTTCACAGCCAGATGATGGTTCAGAAAGAGGTTGGCCATATGGCACTTGCTGGGCACAGCAACAGTCCGAGCACCACAGCAACTCTCGGACTTTGTAGCTGGGACAAAGCTGTGAGCAGCAGGAAGACTTGTAGAAGCAAAGCCAAATATGCTCCAGTCTTGCTGGTCAAAGATATCGCTGGCATTGCCTTGCAGGAAATCACATGAGGTCACCTAGAAGCTTTACAGAACAAGATTTGAGGTCTGTGCCCATCAATAAAGAGCATAAATACATGTGTTCACTGCTGTGCTACCTTTCAAATGTTTGAACATCGGTATGCGTCTTGATCATACTCAGAACATGGAATCTGTGGAACGTCATCATGGAAGGCCATTGACTGGACCTAAAAGATGAACGACAAGCCCCGCTTCCAAACACTCTTCTTCTTCTCAGTCCCTTCGTAGACATCATCGAGCTCCTCCTCAGGCCGCCTTCCCATGTCGAGATCAACGCTGTGCAAGTCGACGCCGAAACCCCAATCTTTGGTGTAGACCTTCCAAAACAAGAAGAGAGAGATGGTGATGGGAGCAGCCAAGTATCCCTGGAAGAAGGATTCTGCGCTCGGCTTCCCACCGACGGGCTGTTTAAATATTAGTAACATGGCCAACAAGGCTTGAAACAAGGAATGGAATCTGCAGACTTACAAAGAGCGAAGAGTAAAACGTCGCAGCAAGCGAGCAACAAACCAAAAACACACCAACATAACTCCCCACCACACCCAGCGCAGACCTCCAGGGGATATCCTCAGGACTCCGCCCCTGCACCTTCCACGCCTTTCGGAAGCGGATGTGCGCAATCATGATGCTCGCGTACGCGAACTGGCCCGAGAGGCCCGTGACAGCGAGCAGCCAGTTGAAGACAGTCTTGCTGTCGGCCGCGACGGTGATGAAGGAGATGAAGCCGAAGGCGACCTGGAGCGCGACGCAGTAGATGGGCCGGCCGGACTTGTCGATCTTGGCAAAGACGGAGGGGGCGCGGCCGGATTGGGCGAGGGCCTGGAGGACGCGGGTTGAGCCGTAGGTGCAGCTGTTTGCGACGGAGATGACGGCGCAGGTGATTACTGTTTTGGGAGGTGTTAGATATCAAATCGGAGGTACAGATTGGATCGTAGGAACGGTGGTTGAGTAGGAAGATAAGGGAAATGAGAGGATTCCAGACGTACCGCCGTTGATGATGTGAGGGAGGACTTGGATGCCGGCAAGCTGGACGGCCAGGACAAAGGGGGACGCCTTTGTGTTTGCGCCGCTAGCGCCGAGGAGAACGTCGCTGTCGGACGGGACGATGAGGCCCATGATGAAGATGTTGAGGATGTAGAAGAGGGCGATGCGCCAGAAGACTTGGCGGGTAGCTTTCGGGAGGGTCTTGCGCGGGTTCTTGGCCTCGGCGGCTGCGAGGCCAACCATTTCAGTACCGCCAAAGGAGAAGGCTGAGATTTATTTGTTCAGTTACCAGAGCTCTCGAACCATTGTAGACTCTGACGTGGATATGTGGACGACGATGTAGCAAGAGAAGGAGGTGAACTCACCGGCGGTCACGAAGACGGAGCAGAATCCTTGGAAGCCGTTCCTGAAGGCGCCTGGGTCGTGCCAGTATTGCGCGCCAATGTAGCCTCTCGGGTCTGTGGGTACGCCTCCGGCGTTGATTATGATGCCAAGGATGATGAAGCCGATGCATGCTATGATCTTTACGATGGCGAGGATGAATTCGACTAGAGGTAGAGTTAGAGAGACAGCATTTGCAGATTCTATGAAGTTAAGTGGGTCTTGCCTTCGCCGTATCCTCGTACTCCAAAGACTTGGATAATGATCAAGAGTGACATGAAGACGGCGCACCACACGCCGGGGTTTACTTCTTCTCTGCTCTTCCAGAACTCGATTGTGATACCGGCGGCTGTGATTTCGAAGGGTAGGGTGACCATCCAGCCGATGGAGTACTCCCATCCCATTGCAAAGCCCCTGGGGAAGTGTTAGACATGGTCTTAGATCTCCTTTTGTAACTAGTTAGGTAGAGGAAACTGACCAAGCGGGATCAATGAAGCGAACGGCATATTCATAGAAAGCTCCGTTGACTGGGTAGATGATTGCAAGTTCTCCGAGAGCTTGGACGGTACACATCATCATGCAGCCAATGATGATGAAACCTATGAGCTACAGGCAACTCAGCCTCTCTTCAAGTCGACTGGCAATATTGATGTTAAGATACTTACCAGGGCAGCTGGACCTCCCGTCCTCAATGCCCCTCCTGTTCCGACGAAGAGACCTGCACCGATAGAGCCTCCTAAAAAGGAAGGAACCCAATTAGATTCTGAATGACTCCTGTGATGGGTGACATACCGATCGCAATCATCTGCATATGCCGACCCTTGAGCGCCCTCGACAACTGCCGGTTCTGTGGTTCGCTTTCGCCCTCGCCATTGCTAGACGTGGGCTGAACAGCCGCTTCGCTGGCATCCAGTTTTTTCTCATCTACAGTCATTTTGGGAAATGGTCCAAGTAGGGTGTTCGTGTCTCAAAAGTCATTTGATCTACGTATCCTAAAAAAAATCCCAGATTCTGTGTGGCATTTCATCTGTTTAAAGCTATTGAATCCTCGTCCGAGTGAATGCGACTTTATCTTTTCACGCGATTTCGCGCCCCTGGACTGCGTCAACCCCCCATTCTCGAATGGTGTACCGGCAAGGTCATGCTTATCAAAATCCTGGGAAACGTTCAGGATGCTAGTATCAGAGCGTTGCTACGCAGATAGTTAGCGACTGTTGGTGAGTTGGGATCGACGTCACTGGGGGCGCGGGTTTACGCCGGCGTTGAGACTTGATCAATGGGAGCAATGAGCATGGAGCTACTCCTTCTCAAACTTCTTGGCAGTCGTATCGCTCGTCTTTTCTACCCCATTTCGAGAACAGATGTTGCCGGCAAATCTCTTGACACCAAATGCCAGTTCCATCACGAAGCTGCTTCAGCAGTATTGCTCCAATACTGAAGATGGTGGGTAGTATCTTCGTCAAAACAACTTGCAGGTCGCAACTATTTCGGTCCGTCTTCAGCCCGGAGCGAAGATAAGATACCATCCCGGCAGATCAAGTACGATGCCCCGATGATAAAAGGGGAAGGCGGGGGACCTGATAAGAGCCCTCGGGGTGATGTTGAAAAGATGGTGGGGTCGTATCGGAGGGGTGCCCGGTAAGTGGGTCCGATACGGAGTCGTCTCCGGTCCCTCGTACTGAGTGCTGCCCGGATGGGGTAATAGCAACCTACGCCACGTGCGCTTCCCCTCACGGACGAGCCGTAGCTTATCTACGCCCGCTCGCTGCGGCCCACGGCAGCCAACGACCCACGTATCCGATAGCCTGTTGGCTTTGATGCCGCTGTGGCCGTCGAGTGTCAAGGACGCCCGAACTTGCGGGCTGGTATAGAGTTTGTCAATTGTCAGCGAATCACTCTCTTCGTCATGGAGATCCAAGACTGAAGCGTGATCGCTCATACACTGGGTTCACCATGCATCTGGTTCCGGGAATCGGACGTATACTAGACTAGTTGCGGTGGTGTCTGGATGGGCATAGCTCCGAAACGGCACGATCCGGTGCAATAGAGGTTGGGCATTTAGAGCAACCCCTATGCCATTCCCTCCTACTTAGATACCAAGCCCATGGGTATATCTCTTCACAACTCAAAGTACTCTCTTCGTAACCCTGCAACCATCAACTCCTCCATCACACCATAATCAGAGAGACAACCGTGCCCCTACGCCCAAAAATGAAGTCCTCTTTGGGACTCTTCGCCGCCAGGCGACCGTGGGGTACCACGATAGCCGTCAGATCGGATAAGCGCGCCTACGGAAAGCCGACAAAGCCAAGACAGTCCCTCGGCGCCGCCAACTCACCACACGCCGCGATAAACGACACAACTCCCTTGACGTTGAAGCCATCTCTGACGCCAACAAAGGCAAAGAGGAAGCCCGTCGATGGGTTCCCGTTGTCCGGCATGCCGACGGGCACGCTCTTGCGGTCTCTCCTCGTCACCACAATCTCCTCCAACCGCTTCCTCCTCATCCCCGCACTCAAAACCTTATCTTTCCTCGCCAAGCCGGGGCGGACGATCTTGTTCGACGTCGACCGCAACCCCGTCTTGCACAAAATTTTGCGAAAGACGTTTTATGACCAATTTTGTACCGGCGAGACGCCGCAGGAGACCAAGGCGTGTGTGCAGAGTCTCAAGGACTTGGGGTTCAGGGGTGTGATTCTCACGTATGCTAAAGAGACTGTGTTTGATCACTTGACGCAGTCTTCTGTTGAGCATGGAAAGCTTGTTGGTGCGTCGGTGGATGGGTTTGATGAGGATATTGAGTCGTGGAAGAAGGGTACCCTTGAGACTGCTGCGCAGATTGAGGAGGGTGATTATCTCGCCATCAAGTAAGATACTTTTTATCTAATCTTGAGTCAGAAATGCTAACCAGGTTCCAGACTAACTGGTGCCGGCCGTGCCGTGACCACCTCATTCGCAAACAACGAGCTGCCGCCACAGCAAATGCAAGATGCCTTGACCGAGATTGCGACGATGTGCAAGCAGCGCGGTATCAAGATTATTGTCGACGCCGAATCAACTCACTTCCAGAAGACCATCGATAGAGTGACACTCGAACTCATGCGTCGCTTCAATACTGATGGAGTTGCGTCCATCTACAACACTTACCAGGCCTACCTCAAGCACACCCCCGATAACATCACGAATCACCTAACCGAAGCTGTCAAGGACGGATTCACCCTTGGGCTCAAGCTGGTTAGGGGGGCCTACATCCTCTCTGACAACAGGTCAATGATCCACGACACAAAGAAAGATACCGATCACGCGTACAACTACATTTCTCAAGGGGCTGTAAAGCGTAGCATTGGCGAGTTCGGTACATCAAAGGTCTTCCCGTCCGTCGATCTTTTCCTGGCTAGTCATAACAAGGAGAGCCTCTTCGCCTCCTTGAAGCTGCACCAAGACCGTGTCAAATACGGTATGCCCACCGTTCCGATATCGTTCGGCCAGCTCCACGGCATGTCGGACCAAGTCAGCTTCTCGTTGCTGCAGGCGAAGAACGAAGGTGTGAAGAGCCCTGCTGTCTACAAGTGCTCTACTTGGGGCACCATGAGTGAATGCTTGGCGTACTTGCTGCGCAGGGCTGTGGAGAATCGTGATGCGGTCTTGAGGACGACTGATGAGCATACTGCCGTGAAGAGCGAATGTTGGAGACGGATGAAGTCGGTGTTTGCGGTTTGATATAGATTGGAGATTGATGTATCTACTGGCCGAAAAAGTGGATTTGTAAGGTGGTTCAGGCCGTTGGATGACCTTTTCACTGCTTCCACTCAACTTAAGAATCGTGTGCTGCGCCCAGCAATTTCCTCCTTCCATGTACATACGCATTTCAATACCATATTATCGAGCTTCATACCAGGCTAAAAGCCTGCTCTGCTGACATTTATACTAACGGGAATAGTATAAGCTCAATTAGTTGCCACACAACGGTTAGTGACCCTAGACACGACAAATCTTCCAGCAAAATTCATCCTCGGTACTGAACGGAAACTCATGCATGAAAACATTCACCTGACACTTGATCCCAGTAGAGAGCTTACTTCAGGGTCTACGAACTACCTTATAAATATGCCTGGTCGGCCAAAATCATTTCTCACTTCTAACCAAAGATATCTACCCCCTATGCAGTAGCGCTGATCTCCCACCCGAAACTGGAACACGTAAACTCAGTGGCTAAGAGTGAATGACTAGGAGATTTTTTTCGTCAAACACTCATATACGACTCCATCAAAATGTAGAATAGACGCATCTGAAGTATCAAAGGAGTATTCCCGTATGGTATCGTTGACAATTCCATAGAGGTGTCCTTCCATTGTTGTTGCAATAGCCGAAAACTTGGCCACTTCTCCCCCGGACTTTTCGAGCGTGATTTGGTCCATCGTCTCATTTCTCTGTCCTACTACTCGGCCAATTATAGTTCCATCGGGGTTGAGGGCCAAGTAGATGCTGTCCAGCCAGTTGTTTCGCATCGTAACAGCAAATTGAGGCGTCGCCATTGATGATGAGCCTTGGGGCTTGAGAATGTCGTCTAGAATAGCTTCATCTGGAATACACGAACATGTTAGCATTCCCTCGTCCCAAATTTCAGTGGCATGTGCGTACTTTTACTTTGGCTGTTCCATCCCTGACCTTCCCATCTGTCTTCAACCATGCTGAAATCTGAAGTCGTGGCAGTGTTCGAACCTACGGCTTGAGCCACCAAGCTAATCTCATCAAGTATAACACCTCCAAACTGTGTAATCATTGCCAGGCTTAAATTGGTTGTCAAATTCGGTATTTGATCCAGCTCGCTTGGAGCCCAAGAAACACTCTCATTGGCGACATAAAGGCTCTTGTCTTGGCCTTTATAAGCAACAAGTCGATTGACTAGTATAGTACCGTTAGGCACCGGTTGATCATTTTGGGTGGGAAATCGCTGAAGCAATGTTGCTGCAAGCTGTGAGCCCTCGTCAGCTCTGAGGGAGGCCTTCGCTATCCCGCCACGATCAGAATACCATGCTGCGCCACCTTTCCCACTATCATCCCTTACGTCGTGTACAATTCCGTCGGTGCCAAGATAGAAAAGGCTGGTGTCGCCACAACTCCAATCCGCGCAAGACATTGCTACCATTGGAGCACCGTTGGGAAGATCAATTTCGCCAACCGTGGACTTGAAGTAGGACGTAAGGTTTGTGGTCGTCCACTCCGTTGAACCTGTTGACGATGCCAAAACATACCGCGCCATTAGCGCGCCCGAACCATCTTGAAAAAAGACAGTCTTTTGAAAGTTTTCGTCAATTGTTCGATTCGCCGCTGCTAGTCTTGACGTACTGAGAATGCAGCGTGTGGTAGCCTTCGTGGTGTTATCTCGGCGGCTAAGCAAGCCTCCAGCAACACCACCAGCGATGGCGCCTATCAGCATCACCAGGCCCACGACAAGTATTATGATGAACACTCGCCGTGAAAGACCACAGATGGTGGTTCGCCTTCCAGCTTTGGCCGTTGAGTCATGTTCGTCTTGTTGAGGGGAATTGGCTTGGCTGTGGTCATGATTGTCCAGCTTCCGGTGAAAGTCCGAAGTCCGTTGAAGATACTGGCTCTCAGTATGATGCAACTCAAGTCCGTTCTCCGTTTGACGAGTGTCTACCTCAAGTGTGCTGTAAGTCTGCGCGTCAGCCATTGCCAAGACGGCGGGAGTCGTGACAGATGCTGTAATACTGTTATTATGGGTGCGTAGTGACAAGAAAGAGGGTTCAAGAACACAGAGAAAAGAAGTCTGAGAAAATTAGGAAAAGTCTTACCTCAGGATTATGTGGTAGCCTAATTATTGACCCAAGATTCTCAGACCCAGGTGATTTGAAATCTTTCCACCGGTGACCAGGTCGGACCCAATCGGGGTTCACAGCTTCCACCTCAGAAGGAAGCACCCTAGTTCTAGCTGTGCCTGCGCCTTTTGCCTGTGGAAGGCTATCGGTCATTCATATGAACTGCGTTGTCGTCAGAGTGTTGAATGCCCACCATAACCGGATTAGCTCAAGCCTTATTTCAGGGATTATTTACAAAATTCCCTGCAACATTTTCCTCCCTACAACCTAGCTCTCCATTGTCGGCCACTATGCACCATATCTACTCCTTCCAGAGGTAAGGATCGGCTCTATCAAACAATTGCGCCCCCAATCCCGCATTCATTTATCCTTCTTGGAGTTACAGCGTATCAAAACGCTGAAGGTTATCAGCAGACTGGCGTATTACGGAAATAAGGCGGTACACGCATCATTAGTCGTAACAGAAGAAAGCTATGGACTTGGCCCACAGTGAAGGAGGGTATGACGCATGCGGCAAGGCAGATAGTATTTCTCACGTCAGCCCGGACAAGAGCCGCCGGTGTTCAGTCTAAATAAGGACCTTCCCTGAGGTTAGACGAGGTTGTAATTTGTGGAATCAGATTGCAGTCCAACATCTTTCTTGTGAGTGATGAAATCAGGCTAGCAGATAAGTGACCGATTTGGATTGGGATGAACATGCATAACCAGGGTTTATATTCGAGTCCCACTTATCAATGCGAAGTCTTTTTGTTCTAAACCAATGAAATGTGCCAGAGTTGGAAGGGTGATGGAACCACCACCTGAAGTTGAGGATGTTGGTTACAGGTGTGCACATACAGTGAAGAGGCCTGCTCGCCCCAGGAAAACGAGATCATGGATTAAATGAAGAAAAATAATGACACTTTAGAGAAGAGAAAAGTGTACAAGCGGTTATGCGAAAGCTTCTAGAGGAATCAAAAAGTGCCAGTTGACTACCTAGGTAGTCTTAATGTCTATCTGGGACTGGTCACCCAAATTGAGGAGGAAGGCCCGCTGGCAACTCGGGCCGAGTGGGTCCCTTCGGCCTGATATGGAGCGGTACACCGTTGAAGTGACCAGGATGAAGTCCAACCATGCAGAATCATGCCAAATGTGACAAGATACACGGCCAACGGTGAAGTGCTCCCCCAATGATTGATAACCGTTACAATTCCACCGCCCCTTCGATCAGATCTGCGAAGTCCTTTTGTGCTTGGCTACCGAAGAAGCGCCCAAGTAACCTTTAGTAGCTTCCATACGAACGCCACGACGACCTCACTCTACCGAGGGAGTGATTCTACGACTGATCCTTGCTCGTTCCCTCCAAGCACCAAGCGAAGACCACTGACTCCTGTCCAGAAACCAGCTACGCTTGATTCGCAGCTACTATCGAGTCACGATACAATACTTGGCTTCTCTACCACACTATGGATACCCCACGTAATGTTGAAATACCGTTGATCACAAGGATCACTTACGCCACAGACGAAGTCTGGGACTGCCACCGTTCTATCATTACCAAACTCTACCAGGACGATAAAAGGCCGTTGAAGCAGGTCAAGCAGATTATGGAGCGTGATTACAGCCTCAATGCCACGTGAGCTCAGCCTGAAAACACTGCACACGTAACTAGCTAGGAGCTAACGATATCCGAAGTGAGAGAATGTACAAGACTCGACTTCGTAGTTGGGGGCTCGAGAAGAAGCTCAAGGAGTCCGAAGTTTTGTACATGGCCCAGCTTAAAAGAGAGCGCGAAGCCATGGGGAAGAAAACGGACTTCTACATTCGAAACCAGCAAGTCTATTGGGAAAGAGTAGCGCGCTACTTGGAGAGACGTCCCGATTTGCGCTACAAGCTTCGTAATTACGCTCAGACTCCCGCTAATGCAGGCCTTGACATAATCTGCCGGACACCCTCGCCATCTCTTGAACTTCCCGCTTTCATAGGAGGACCCCTCGAGCTACGGCTACCCGAAGAAATGCTACGAATCTTCAAGGGCTATTTTGAAGGGGGTCTGGAAGGCGGGTGGGCAATAGAGGAGGACATGATACATGGATTCGACGATGAAGTCGGTCAGTTGCGAGTCATTGAGATGCGCACCGATCTGGATAATGCGATTACCTTATTGTGGACGAACAAGTTGGAGGCCGCTTTTCGCGCCTTGAACAATAGCCTCGATTCGCTCGGTCATTCCATAAAAGAGCAAGATCCACTCCTCTTTTACATCTTGTCCTACCGCACCATGCAACTTGGGCCTGAGATATCCGACCCTGTAGTTGCTTTCATCCATAAAATGCACGAGACGATATTGGGTCCTCAACACCCCCTTGCTCTTGTTTGGGGCAGGTTCAGGTGCCTGTCACTTGAAGTCCGTGCTACGACTCTCAGCATGATGGCTGGCAGTAGCGTTCAGCTTCTCAAAGGACAACAGGGGATCCTGAACAGAGTGGTAGCACTAGCTCTGGGCTCGACGTCAAATGTTCTCGACAAACCGGGTGAGACAGACGTAAGCCAGTTCGGTGAGCTCCTGTCCAAGTACACAGCAGCCAGCGAAGCACACTTTGCAGAGGGAAATTACCAAAGCTCATGCGAATGCCTCTCGGTTGTAGCCGGGATCTATTCCTGGGGACAAGAGTATAAACTGGCAAAGGAAGCACTGGCACGTACTTACTCTCTAATTCAGGAGAACAAAGGAAATCATGAGAGGCCATGGCTTCTCTTGGAGCTCTCTCACTACGAAGTCATGGCTCGGCTATGCTATCAGACTGGTTCAGTTGACGAGGCTGTCGCGTATGGGTGCAAGGCATATGAGCATGCAGCAGAGCATTTTCAGAGACAAGACAAGCACCAATCACTAAGAGCCATCCGAAACCTCATCGACCTCTATCGTTCAGCTGGCCAAGCAGATGAAGCTGAGCGATGGTGCGACATACTGATTGCAAACATGTCAAGAAAGTCGTAAACCTACAGCAAAGGCACAGTAATCCAGGTCTCTTAACAAAATTCCTATTTTTCAATCATATTTCAGACTCATGGGTCACTTCTAATCTACAATAAGCAATCCCCTTGGGCTATGTCTAGCAGTCCGTGACGTTGTAGCCAGCAGCCAGAACCAACTTATCAAAATCGGCAGTGACATCCACGAAGGGGAAGGTAGAACGATTACCAGCGACATCAAATTCGTTGAGATCGTGGAAGTACTCGTGCGAGATGTAAATACTGTTTTGGATCTGCACAGTAGCAGTCGGTGACCCCCACGTCGCGATGTCAGTCGTCGAGTTGTCCATGACTTTGCCAATGTACTCCACCGAAGCGAAGCCATCCTTGGACGCCCAGAGGGTGATGGCCTGCAGCCCGTTCTCAGAGCAGAGCAGGACATCGCGGTTGTAGCGAGCCGGGTTCAGCAGACCGTCGCACTCGAGATCGCTGGCGGTGTAGGAGCCGTCCGCCGGCCAGGTCATGCTGACGTTGGTGGGCGCCGGGCTGGACGAGCCGACGTCGAAGGAGAGGAACGTGCCGAGATAGGGCGCGGTGATGACGAGCTTATTGGAGGCCTCGTGGAAGATGATGCCGAGATACATGTACTTGCTGGACGAGCTCGGCTCGCCGATGTACCAGCTCGACAGTTCGCCGTCTTTGGTGATCTTGGCGATGGCGGGGACGTGGAAGACCGAGGGAACGTAGGCGTTGCCATCCTTGTCCTCTGCAAAGTCTTGGTATCCTCCGCCGGTTGAGTTGTTGATTGCTAGCTTGGATGTGAAGTCTATCAGGTCGACCGTGTACGCAGCGGAGTTTGTGTTGGTATCCCAGCGGATGACCTTGTTGCCGCCGGTCATGTTCGAGCCGGAGGTCACAAAAGGCTCTCCGCTATTGGCGGAAATGAGAATGGACTGGGTTGTCGCGTCATAGTCGATGCCGGATACGTGGTAAGGGTCTACGCCAGTGATGCCGTCGAAAGAAAGGATGTCGTAGGTTGCCTTGTACGGGTCGTAGACAAGGACTGTAGAGTTGAAGTTGGCACTAAAGTTTAGGTGACCAGGTTAGGATTTGAGATGTGACGAGATCGGACTTCGGAGGGTTGCAATGCAACCATACCTTATATAGAGCTTGCAGTGAATAGGGTCCCAATCCAAATTCTCGGGATAGAGTTTATAGTTCTCGATTTCGAATGTGCCGCTTACAGCTGCGCAGTTTGCAGTTTCTGCCAGCTTGAAAGGGAACGCGGAGGCAGCAGATGCCAAGGCGGCAAGGCCCGTCAAGCTTGTTGAAAGAGTGGAGTGCATCGCGAGAGTTGCAATGGATTTTTATGAACGAATGTATTGGCTTGAAGTCCTTGTTACGGTCGAAGTGAGAGTGAAGAGACTTTGAACATTATTCTGAGAGGCGAGAGTCTCCTGACCCTTTTATGATTCTTCTACTCGTTTCCCGACGATCGCCTCCCATTTCCACGAATTGGCCGGTCAAGGCTATTGAGCCAGTCAGTCCACTGCGTGGTGGAAGACTCGGGAAGCCCGTATAGTGACTTCATGGAGGCTCAACAGGCATAGACCTGGAACGATCGTCTGTCAAATCCGTCAGCTAAGCATTTCTTGGCAACCGCGCGGATGAGGGCGCCTATAAGAAGCCTATAAAACAGGCTGCTAAGCGGGCCTGAATGCTTGTTTGTTGGGTAAGGCCTGAGCCTAATCGTGTAAGTGAAGCATTTGCTGAAATGACCGCACGAAGTTTTCCGATTACGGCGCAGAACGCCGCCCACATTCCGAGAACCCTTCAACAGACCCTGAAGGGGCACTAAAGTTGCATGGAAGGGGGCCTGAAAGGGGGCGGCAAGGGGGCCTTTTACGAGTCAGTCTCATGATAGCATGGCTATGCTCTTGGTGCTTTTTGGTAGACTTTTTTTTTCTCGACTGCGCCCGCCCACATCCCGACAACTCTTCTTGGTTAGAACGGATCAGTCCCTGGCGTTGGCATTGCGACTCCCATATACTTACTCAACTTCATGGGGGGTTCAAAGGCAAATACCTCAAGCTTCGCTTGCAGAAAACTTGACATTGTCCAAACCCACCCTTCGTACGATCCTTCGGGTTGCTAACTAACTCCTACGTCATTGTAGTCCAAGAAGCAAACTTGCCTTGAAGTTGACGAAGTCTAGCAACTGTCACTTGATCTTGCCTGAAAATGAAGAGCCAAAATCTAACAGGCTTAATCCCAGGAGACTTATGAATGATCATCACCTCTCAGCGTTATCAGACCTTGAAGCCTTCTCGTCGTCTCAATGGCCTGTATGGATTCGGCTAACCAGAAACCAAGGCATTCGATGAGCTCGCATCTTCGGCTTGTTGAGTCAGCGGCGCAGCCTGTGCCTTGCGTCCGTTGCCCGCCCCGGCACGGAGGCTCCCTGTCACAAATTGATGACCGGCTTCCATCGCCGGACAGCCGGATCGCCGGATCATCGCGCTCCACCTTAAGAACATACCTGCGAGATGTAGAGCAGGTCGTCAACCTTCAAGTCTTCCAATGGGCTGGGCCTCCGCGTTCACTGAGTCGTCCTTCTCTGCCGATCGTCTCTCTCATGTACTGGTGCTTTTCCTCTCTCCGGTCCATGTCCTCCGCAACGCTCCGAGCTGCAGACATCGGATCCATCCCAATGTCATCTTCGTTGAGAAAGATGTCCAACCCTACCTCTCAGTCGAGGATCACCGAAAGGGTTTGCAAAGTAGGATACCGATCATTACTATACGCTTTCTACAGCGTGCTCTATGAGAAACGAAAGAACCAGAGCAAATAGGAATAAGAGAACTAGAGCGAAGGTATTGGACGGCAAACTACTGTGTCACCTACTTGGCTGATCTTACCAAGTTACCTTAGATACTGCAAAATGGGCCTTTAAATTGTGAGCAAAAATTTCCAGGCTCAGGCGATACTGGACTAGGCGGAATCAGTCATATTTTGAGTCCATCATTAACAGCGCTTGTGTTTGTTTGCTGTCTGAGCGCTCAGCGGCGAGTTCCTTGGTTAATTATACACAATGGTTATTGGGAGATGAGCAATAGAATAAGGTATTTAAATACGTAAATGATGTAAAAGGCTACTGATATCAGTCTATATGTCATGACTCCAAATTTCTCAACTCCAATGGGTATCAATCAGCCAGCAGCATACTGACTCTTCTTTCTCAACCTCGGTCCAAACTTCCAAAGCAACAGCGGGCCAGGCCACCCGATAACAACACCCAACAGCGCGAGCAACGTATTGCCCCAACCATAATCCAATTTGTTATACAAACTCGGCGCGAACAACGGGAATCCGAACCCAGCCAAGCTTCTCAACACCGTCGCCGCCGCAACGGCACTAGCAGCATATCGCGTGTACGTATCGACCAAGAAGCCCTGAATACACTGGAACCCGATAATCACACCGGCGCTGAACAGCGTCGCGCCAATGTTGGGCCAGATCCAGTGCGTGTGGTACTGCGACGTCCAGCCGTAGATAATGAGACCCATCGGCACAAGCACGGCGCCGGGAATCATCATCGGTACCCGGAACTCGGGGCGTCCCGGTCCGCCATCGGGAACGTAGCGGCGCTTGAGAGCGGCGTAAATGCGGTCTTGGAGCGGGGCGCACGTCTGCGCGCCGATGAAGAAGCCGAGGCCGAGGGAGATGTAATTGAGGCCGCTGATGCCGACGGACTCGCCGTACTCGCCCATCCAGAGGGTAGGGAAGGTCGAGAGCACGAGGTACATGAGCCCGTAGAGGTACATCATGTAAAGCGCGAGGCACTGGACCAGAGGCTGTGTGCCGAGGAGGCGGAAGGGGCGGGTAAAGGCGATGCCGAGGGTGCGCGCGATGGTGCGGTCCGGGTGGTCAAAGTCGGTGTGCAGCGCCGTGTTGCCCGTCTCCTTGATGAGGCGCTTCTTTCTCCGCGTCAGGAGCACCGGCGCGAAAGTCTCCTGCAGGACGAAGAAGCCGATGGACTGGATGACGGCCGTGAGGATGGTGGTGCTGTAGAAGATCCAGCGCCATGTCGTGTTCTGGGTGATGAAGCCACCGGCGATGGGGCCGATGGCCGGGCCCAGAAGCGGCATGAGGGAGTAGATGCTGATTGCCTTGCCACGCTGTTCGGCTTCGAATAGATCGCCTAGTACGCCGCCACCGATGGCTAGGGGAGCCGAGCCGCCGAGGCCTGCAAGGAAGCGGAAGGCGATCATCTGGCTCTTTGTCTGGGCAAGACCGCATCCGAGGTTGAAGAACATGTAGAAGAGGTTCGTGAGCTGGAGGACGATGACACGGCCGTAGAGCTCCGACAAAGGACCCCATGCTAGCGGTCCCACGGCGTAGGCGAGGACGAAGATGGAGAGAGCGAGGGCCTTCTCGAAGGAACTTGTGATGTTGAGGTCGGATCCGATGGCCTCCAGAGCGGGTGCAACCATAGATGAGGAGACTGGCGAGAGCAGTGTGAAGCATGATACTGTAACCTTGTTAGTAGGCGTCGAGTTGGTGACCAGGAACTTGGCTTACTGCAAAAGACTGCGGCCCATTTCCTCTTCATGGACCATTGCTTCGGGTTTCCAGGATCGTTCGGACCATCCCATGTTACGAGGTTCGGGTCTCGGGCGGTTCTCGCCGTCGGTGTCTTCTCGAGATCGAGTTCTTCGCCGCGTTCCAAGTCTCGCCTGTTCTCGATACCATCTCTTACTTCAGATACCGTCCTCGATAGAGATCTTGACCTCGAGCTCCGTACGCCATGGAGGACGCTTGCGCTGTGTTCTGAGTTGCTGTCGCTATCGTCTGATGAGGACGAGTGCCGCGAAGGGTCTGTCTGCTTTTCCTCGACTTGCTTCTCCGACGCTGCGGTGATGTGTCTCTCGACCTGCTGTCTCAGCGTCGTGCGCTGGGGGATTGCTGATCGCGCCTCTTCATCGTATGAGTCTTGTTGAACTGTGTGTGACGGGTTGCTTGAATCCGCCATCTCCTTGACAAGTTATGTGTTTACTGTGGTTGCACTGGTTTCCGTGAACATGCCAGGCCAGTGACCTTGGCGTGGATTGAATGCCGTTATGAGAGAAAGATTCAATGACGTATGTAAGTGAGTAGTAGTAACAGTAGTGGTTATTAGTAGATGAGATAGTGTAGAAGTAAGTAACAAAGAGGCTTAACTCGAAGCAAACACGTTCCAGACAACCGGAAACATGCCCCAATTAAATAAAAAAGTAGAACAGCCGCCAGCACCAGAAAGGAGGGCAAAGGAATGAATCATTCCCATTAAAATCTCTTAACACCGGGGACGCCCCAACGTGTTCCCCAGAAGGCGGCCCGCCGCACATCGCTTCTCCATCGGCGCATGCCCGCACTTGCGGCTTCGGGAAGGTGGTTGTTCTGCCGAGCATGATTGTTAGCTTCGTGTTATCCAATGACGTCCGTCGGCAGGTCAGCATAAGATATGTGTGACTACTAGCAGTCCAAGAGACCGCAGATACACACAGCTCAACTCAACGGCCGAGAGATGCGTTGGGGCCGGAGGGTCGTCTCCTTGTGCCCCATGACGCCGTCTGAAGCGGCGCTAGGCACAGATATGCCCGAGATCTGAAGGCTGAATGGACTCAGCCGCCTCCATTTTGTCTCTTTTTTCGGGTATTTGGATCCAGATGTCTTTGCTCCCGGTGGGCGTGTAGAAATTTTTGGCATTGAATCCAGGTAAAACTGGGTGCATCTATTAGTCAAGGTACTCGAAGCGGATATAGAGGACCACAAACGCCGTGGTCTAAGTGGGCGCAAAGGCAAGAAAACTGACTAGGAGCTGACAAGATGTGAGTCCGGATTTTGCCTCCGCCTCCGTAATCCGTTCGTTTGGACATCTCTTTGGTGAGGTTCGGAGCTTGGAGAGGGCCCCAGCAAAGCGCCCGGTGCCGAATCGGCAGCGATCCAGGGTCGCTGACGTTCGGATGACCGTTCTTGTTGGTCGGTCTGGATTTGCGATGGAGCTAACCATCTCCACACACGTCCTGCTTGTCGGCTTCGGCTGTCACAGCGTGCAACCTTTTCGGCGTCAGGACTGTGACGGCGAAGATCCTCAGGCGCCTCAGATTTTTGCGGTCTCGGCCATTGTCCGTAACCTATGCATGGATACGGGAACCCTGGGCAGCTGGACAAGGTAAGAGATTGATCCCTTCAAAAACGACTGGTCTTCCGCTTTGTATTTAGACGATGTGAAGGTGCATTGATGGCATTGCATTAGCAACCGTCTTGGCCAAGCTGTACGGCAGGTAAATAGCCCCAGACCGGTGCTCACTCATTCGATCAGTTCGAGAAAGGCAACAGTGGTTCAAAGTGGTCAGAAATATTTTGATTGAACTAGATTGTGTCTCAACAGAGAAATGCACATCTGCTTGTGAGTAGGTCCATTCTCGCAGTGGCATTGTTGCAGACAGAGGCACTGCCGAGTAAGGTCGCGTGCTCATGCTATTCGTAACAACCAGACCTCTAAACCAGTAATACCTAAAGTCAAGTCCCATGAACGCCATAGACCGTGTGCCTCGTTTATCAACAGGCAGGAGAGCCAAAAATTCGAGTCCGATAAAAGTTGCTTTTGGAAGTGGTATCTTGTTTCAGAGGAATCCGAGGTGTAATGAGGGGGCTTCCATCTCATTACCCTATGCGGCAACGTCGGTCTTGGTGTCGACCTTCTTCGCTTCCGGCTGGGCGGCGCTGTCCTCCTCGCGTCCGCGCTTGCCGTTGCTGTTCTTATCTTCCGCGACAGCCTCACCGTTGCCGTTCGTAGCCTGAATGGTAGGCTTGCCACTATGAGACTGGTTAGTACTGCTGTCCACGTTGGGCAGATGCGGTGATACATACGCGTTGCGGTCGTTGGTGATCTCGTTGGGATCCCTGCGGTTCTCGCGGTTGTCACGTCCACCACGTCCACCACGGCGGTCACCACCACGGCCACGGCCGCGTCCGCCGCGTCCGCCCCTGCCACCCCTGAAGCCATTCTTCTGGTCGTGGTCGCGGCGCTGCTTCCAGTCGTCGTTTCCAAAGTTACCGCCACGGCCACCTCTGCCGCGACCACCGCGACCACCGCGGCTATCGCCCTCCTTGCCCTCGAAGAATCGGCGGGAGGTGTTGGGCTCGAGCTTGCCGGCGAGGATGAGAGCGGACTTCTCCTTCACGTAGTCAATCTTGGGCATCATCTTCAGGTCGTGTTCCTTCCACTTGGGCTTGGGGTCCAGAGCGAGGAACTTCTGAGCCGCCTCCTCGTCGGGGAACTCGACAAAGACGGAGCCCTTGAAGAGCTTCTCGTTGGTGCGGCGGAGACGAACGGAGTTGATGGTTCCATACTGTTGGAAGAAAGACTCGAGGTCGAATTGGGTAGTGGGCTCCTCATCTCCGAATCCCTTGACGTAGACGCAGCGGGCGTTGAACTTGTCGTTACCAGAGGTGTAAGCCTGGTTGCGCTGGATGGTCTCCTCACCCTCCTCGCCAGCGATGTTGACCTGCGTGCTCTCCTTCAACGCAGCAACGACAGCAGAGTAGGGCTGGAAGCGACGCATGCGCTTGAAGTTGGTGATGGTCTTAAGGGGGATAGGCTTGTTGTCGAATCCTCCAACAAGCTCCCACAAGAACTTGTCGTGGGGAAGGTTGCTGTCCGACAGGTAGAACTCGACCTGTAGTCAATCACGTTAGTCAATCGGTCAGTTGGAGTGCATCATGTTGGGGCGCCTTACCTGCTTGCGGATCTCAACAGGATCATCTGTCTCCTTGAGGAGAGAAGGGTCAAACTTGACATTGTTGGCATGGGTCTTCTGGTCGATCTGGGCGGTCGTCTTGATGATGTCGGCCTCCTTAGCCTCAGACTCGGCGGGCTTGACCTCGGGCTTCTCCTCGACTTCCGCAGTCTCCTCGGCCTTAGCAGTCTCCTCAACCTGTGCAGGCTCCTCGACCGTGACGGGCGCCTCGACGGCAACAGCCTCGACGGGCTTGGTCTCCTCGGCGGCGCTCATCGTAGGGCGAGTTGGGTTGTGAATTGGGAAGTATTGAATGTTCTGTGAAGTAGGAATGTTGTCAATGATGGGTTCTTGATCGCAATTAGATAGTTGTTGCGCGACAAAGGTGAGTAACACAACGCCAGCCTCGGGGGGAGTCAAGGTCGGCAGTATTTATTATGTGGCGGGGTAGGCAACCGCAAAGAGTCAGAGGGGAAAGTGAGTAATCCGGAGAAAGCTTACAATGTGAAAACCAGTCAATGCAATTCGACAACCGTCGTATGAGCTGAGAATTCTTGGTGAAATGTGTCTTGCCTTTCAGAGTTTATACAGGAAACGGAGAAAGGCGATGGTTCTTGGTCAAGCGGGAATGGCAGAAAAAAAAAAGTCCCCCGTTTCTCCAGTGGTGAGGATTTTGCGACCAGAATTCGCATGCACGAGCGAGAGCTCCAATTTCTGCCGCGGCGGCTTGCGCGCAATTGAGGCTCACCGCCCGCAGCTCGACTCCACTTGGCGTGGTGGGGAGAATGAAAAAATCAACCACACGGGTGGCTGCGAATGCTACATAGGCACGGGAGTATGGGTACGTACTGCCATAATCCCAGGCCTCACAAAGCCTCGAATAACTACCTTACTTAGGTAAGCAATATCTTGCTGTTAAATTCCAACGCTGCCTATCTCTGCACGTGACGACGTGACAGCTCTCACAGCAGGCCAGAAGGAGTACGTACCGACAATCGGGACATGCCGTTCCATCACCAAAATTTCCGTCTCTGCGTCTCGTGCTCCTGAAGCTGTCGCCATCCCTCCAGCTCCAAGTTCGCGACCATTCAGCCCCAATTAGCCCAAGATGAGAGGTAGAAAGCCAAGGTGGTACAACTTGGCGAAGCCAGTAAGTTATCGCCCCATTCTTTCCCATTGAGCCTCGACGTCAATCGCATTGTGCTTTTCCCCTGAAATCGCCCTGCGCATCTTTCATCGCATGATGTTGAAACCAACGATGGATGAACTGGAGCTAACCATCACCGCCTCTTCTCTCCGAATAGAAAATCCGCCAGTCATGGAACAAGTACAATCTTTTCAACCTCGCCACATTCAAGTTGAAACGAAACCGAGCCTCGAGAACCTTCTTCCAGCAGAAATGGACCGCCAAGTCAATGACCCGTGGCTACCACGGCGCCCACGTCAAGGAGGCGGAATGGTCACGCAACTTCTCCCGCCGCCTCTTCTCCGCCGTCGATATGCCGCCTGAGTACCTCGCCAAGCACGACGGATCAGAGCACTCGGCCGGCCGCGGTTCCGGTCTGCACGCCGAGCCGGGATCAGAGGACCTCACGCCCACCGCATACCATTTCTCTAAGCTCGAACAAGCCAGGCGTCGGAGGGAAGGACGTAGATCTAATGCTGATGCTCAGACCGAGATGCTTGCCCGTCCCGTTGGGCAAATGACGCCCTACATGCAGATGGCTTTCGCACCCCTTGAGCGGAGGCTGGACGTTGCCATCTTCCGCGCCATGTTCGCCAGCAGTACGCTCCAGGCAAAACAGTTCTGCACACACGGCGCCGTCAAGGTCAACGGCAAAGTCGTGAGTAATCCATATTTCCCAGCTCAGATATACAAGATCCCACCATCTGTATACGGCAGACACCTAATCCATCCGATTCTAGATGCGCTACGGTGCCTACAAGCTCAACCCCGGCGATATGTTCCAGGTCGACGTCGATAATGTTCTCTTCGCCACCGGCCGGCCCAAGACTCCCAATCACGCACTTTGGCTCGCTGGTAAAGACTATCGATCCCTGCAGGACGCCGGCAAGCCCAGCAAATCCGCGACTGAAGAGGGCGCCTCAGAACAGGAATCTGGTGACGCAGCACCCGTGTCCGCCGACGCCGACGCCGCCGTCAAAGAAGCTGATGTCGCCGCGGAGAGCGGCGAGGCCGTCACCGAAGCAGCAGAAGCAGCGGCCGAGGGTGAGGAGGGAACCCAGCTCTCCGAGGCAGAAAAGTCGAAGCAGCTCCACAAGCAGCTCAAGTCGCTTGTCCGCTCCGTCAAGACCTTCCTCAGCGACGAAGACGGCCTCAAACCCAGCAAGAAGCGCCAGCTCCGGGCCTTCATGGCCGAAGCCAAGCGCGCCCTCTCTACCTCGGGCCGCGTGACAGACGACGCCGTCGCCACGCTCGACCACGAAGGCGTAATGAACAACCTCACCGCCCTGCTCAAGGACTTCAAGCTCGAGGGCAACAAGGTCGAGGCCGTCGTCTCCCCCGAAGCAGAGGCGCAGGAACAAGCCGCCGACCACTCCAAGCCGACGAGCGCCAAAGAAAAGGCAGAGACCGAGGCCGTCACGGACCTCATCTCCTCAAAGGACGTCCGCAACGCGCTCAGCGGCCTCAGCAAGGCCGAGCAGAGCGCCTTTGCCGAGCTTCTGCGCAAGAATGCCGAGAACCCCATCGACGAGTCCAAGCCCTACTGGACCCCCTGGCAGCCGCGTCGCTACATGGCGCCCTTTGCCTTCATCCCGCGTTATCTCGAGGTGAACCAGAACATCTGCGCCGCCGTCTACCTCCGTCACCCTGTCGCAAGGCGCGGTTCCGCCGAGGTGCCCACTCCCTTCACCTACGAGACGAACCAGTTGGCCTTCAACTGGTACCTGAGGAGGGGCTGAGCGTTGTATGTAAAGATGTAGGCGTTGTGCGTGGTAGTAGTGGTCGTGGTGCCGAAGAGGAGATGGCCGTTGGAAAGATCAGACGGCAGTGTACAACAGGACATGGATCCCCAAAAACTTGTAGGACTGCATGTAAAAAGGTGTAGACGTAGTCGTCTATGTACATCATCAATTGAAGAGAAATCAAACATATGCACTGGTTCCAGAATTCGATGTAGGGGGCGTGTTGCCTCGAGGCTCGTCCTTGATATATCTTCCATCATACATTCCTTTTGCGGCACCAGCCACACTAAAAAGATAATGAACTATAAATCTACGACTAGTAATCAAGCTCGGAAATATTAGTGAGAGGAAACACATCACACAAGTAGGCACTTTGGACAAGGTCTAGGGAATCATCATTTCGAAGCACTGTAACTAAGCTGACAAAGAGAAGCAATGACTCCTCATTCCTTTCGCGTCTTTCCCTCCTTAATCTGCATCAAGCCCCCTGCGTGACTGCTTCGTAAAGACTTTTGATGATGCTGGGATTCCGTTAAGTGATTAGATGAGGGTGTGTGATTAAAAGAGGTCCAGAAAAAGGGGGTGATAAGAAAGAACATGAAGAGAATCGACAAAGAGGCGCGGTGTGCTGGTATTGTATGGGCATCATTGGTACTTAGACATGGGTCGTGGAAAGAAGAATGCGAGCAACGTGTGGCGTCAAGAGACCAAAGAAGGAGGCATCTTAACGGAGCGAGAAGCCCTTCCGCTTGCCTTCCTTCTCGATGGGCCGGCCGCTCTCGACTCGTTGCTTCTTCTCCTCGAGCTCCATGCGTTGGCGCTCCAGTTGCTCCTTCATCTCTCTGTGGCGGGAGTAGAGCTCCTCTTCGCTCTGCTTCAGCTTGCTCTCCTTCTCGGCAACCTTTTGCTGGAAGACCATCTTCATCTCGGCCTCCATCTTGGCGAGCTTCTGCTCGTGCAGGGCGCGCTCCTCCTCCTGCTTGACAGCAGGGTTGACCTCCTTGAAAACGCTGGGGTCTTGCGACACGCCCATACCAATGAGCTTGTCGGTACGGTAGTTCTCGTACAGGCTGTTGTTGGTGTGCTCCTTGAGCTCCTCCATGTGCGTCCGAATGAGCATCTGGCGGAGCTTGACAAAGTCGCAGTGCTCCTCGTTGTCGACTTCGATGACACCCCAAGGATAGCTACGTCCACGGACTTTGCGGCCGTCGGCGTTAGTGATCTCGTTAGTCGCACCAACGACAGCGAAGGGAACCTTGGACATGATTTCGTTGTTCTCGGCAATGGTCTCCTCGTCGTCAAGCTCGTAGCGCGGGCCCTCGAAGATCTGGATACCGTGGTGCTTGATGTCGGAGAGAATCTGGAGGAATTTAGTGGCTGTCACACGTTGCTCAACAAAGGTTTACTTACTCTGGACTTGAAGTTGGCAATCTCCTCGTCGGTAAGAGTGTCGGCCTTGGCGATGACAGGAATCAGGTTGACCTTGGTGTGAAGGCGGCGCATGACCTCGATGTCAAGGGGCTTGAGGGAGTGGCCAGTGGGCTGGATGAAGAACACGCAGGCGTGGATACGGTTGTCGACAATGTTCATGCGGTTGACCTTGTTCTCGGCGTCGAGGTAAGCGTCGTAACGCTGCTCAATGTTGTCGACAATCGGGCGCCAGGACTCATCGTTATTGACGAAGTCACCGAATCCAGGGGTGTCGACGACGGTCAAGCGAAGGCGGACGCCAGCCTCCTCAATGTCGGCGCTGATGGACTGAATAGTAACCGTCTTCGGGATGATGTCCAAGCTAGGGCCCTTGCGCTCCTTGGGAGGGTAGAGAGAAGTGTTGAAGAGCGTGTTGACCAAGGTCGACTTTCCGAGTCCAGATTCACCTAGAATAAATGGCGTTAGCGGATATTCCAGGTCATGGAAGCAAACGGTAAAATTACATACCAACAACCATCACGTTGAAGTTGAAGCCCTTGCGGACACTCTTGCGGTGCCATTGGTTAGGCAGGTTGGCAAAGCCGACATAGCCAGTAAGCTTGCGGCGAACAATGTTCCTAAGATCACTGGAGGGAGCCGAAGGGGCACCGCCAGCTTGGTAGGAGTCAGATGAAGGCTCTTCGACGGGGGGCGAAGTGGGCGCCGAGGGCGGCGGGGAGGTAGCAGGAGAACCTTCGTCAGCTGCATTTATGTCAGTAATGATTCTTTTCCAGAGATTAAGCTTCAGCAAGGCGGCAAGGCAGTGGCGAGAACAAGATGATCCGGGCTGTCTGATGTCGAAATGCGAAGGGATATGCCGTCTTTCATTTATTGCCCGACTGTTGTCCTCCACCGTCACGTCGCCGGGCTATGCTATCGGGTGCTGGGAGCCAGTGGAGGCATCTGAGAGATATTGAAGAGAGCGTTGAGCGGGAGCGAATGGCGAATTCTCTGAGATTGGTCGTTTACGGTTTCCCATGTAGCCGTGATCGTTACGGTCTGATTCTCGTATTGCCTTGCCGGTCCTGTTTCGTAGATCATGAGATTGCCAGCTGCTTACCCATTGCGAATATCGGGGGAGTTGTCTTGGAGATGTTTGTCTCAAGAAAAATATCTGGATCTGAAGCAAAAAGAGTATGTATTAGCTTGGTTGTGATATGAGGCAAAATGCTGCTGGAGAGCAGGAAAAGGTTGGCTCAGGAGATGGGACGAGGCAAGTGGTGATGGGGTTTGTGGTGTTGCGCAAGGGCAAGATGATGCCAGCTGGCCGAGTGAAGGAGAGAAATGGAGTAGTTGTTTGGCTAGTTTGTTTCCTCGACCGAATCTTGGACGATAGGAGAAGTATGGGGAAAGAGACGGGGGAAGATTCACATACCTGGACGTCTACAAAGCAGTCGCGTGTCAAGGAGCGTCGCAGATGGGTAACGAACGATAGAAAAGGAGAAAGGTGGTTGTGAGAGTCTGGCGACAGACAATTGGACCTCTCGGTACCGAAAGAGGAGATGGCGAAATGCTCGAGGGCAAAGTTGATGATGGGGCCGAAGAGAAGAATCACAACCTCAAGGGAGAGAAAGGTGTGGTGGTTACGAAGTAAGGTAGAGAAGGAGAGGTGTAGGGTGAGGTAGGTAGTAGGTTCCTCGATGAACGTACGTTTTGGGGGTGGGAAGGGGAAATTTAGGGTGCAACGGGGACAAGAAAGATTTGGCTGTGTGACCCCGTTTCCTGACGACGGTCGGTGCTCCCTTCACGGTTCACCTCAGGTCACCTCACGTACCGTACCACCGCGTTACATTAGGTTCTGCTTGCTCTCTCCCTACGCTCAGTACTTAGGCAGGTAGGGACACTACGCATACGAAGTACACGTACGACTACAGAGGGCAGCCACTGGGAAGGGACGGAACCTGGGACTGAGGGTGGTGCTTGCCCGCCGCTACGAGGTGCAGATACAGGGGACCAGCATGCCTGATGGGGGACGGGAGATGGTGTTGGGCCTACTGGGCCACGGTGCATGATGGACGGGGAAGAAGCACGTTGCTGTCCCCTTCCTCCCCAAGCAAAAGGGGGTTGAGGTGGACTAATCCCGGTCGGGCTAGATTGGTTTGAGTGGATCCCGAGCAAGGGTGGTGGATGGAGCAGGAGAATTAGAGACCGGGGTTGCCCTTAACGGCGCGACCTGATTGGCCATGGGGGCGGTGGTCGTAATGAAGCATCAGAAAAAAAAAACCGCCAAAAGGAGCATCTGGAGATTGGGGAAAGGAACGACAGACATTGAAATTCAACACAGACAAGGTAAGATTTGCACTACGTACTTTTATTCTTGATGGCTGCCAATATCTCTATTCATCCAGTTCCTGCCCTCACTATTCAAAACTTTGTGATCTTTGTCAGTCTCTTCTCTTCGAGTATTACCGTCCATCTCAAGAGCCGCGACACAGAGAGGACCCCTTATTCCTGCCCGACGCTTGGGCGATTTACGATGATTTTCCAACTGGCATCTTCTCCACTCAGAAACAAAGTACACTAGAGTGCCAACTGTTTGCCGGCCAGGCCACGGGGACAGCACGGAAGGAGAAACAACCTGGGGCTGCGTTTGAGCACCGCTACCTCGCGTCCAACACACAGTATTTTAATGTTAAGACTCGAAGGGGGCATTTATCCACCCATGTTCAAGAGGCCAAGGAAAGCCCACGTGAAATGATTGCATCACGACCTTGACAGGTGTCCCGAGGGAATGAAATAAGTTGAGTTTTTTGCCGTCCCGGACTGTTGGCCTTGTCTGGATTCCCGCGTGCTTGTGCGATAAGGTACTGTCAACAATGCACGCAAGCTGCGTACTCGGCTTCCTTTCTCCAAAAAAAAGTCAAAACTTGGGACGAATATGAGACTGGCAGGTATTGCTTAACCATGCTGTACTTGAGCAGATCTTGTCCCTACGCAGCGATTGTGTGTGCCAGGGCCTGCGGAACGATATTGCTGTTGCGGTACAGATTATAGCAGCAAGCAGCAGTCTCAAGCTCTGGTTAGGTGTTCATGACCACTCTGATTGCATTGAGGGCCGGGAAAGCAGGAATCCGACTTCCAATTTCCACGTCTCATCCATGATCCATGGGATGAAGAAAGGCACGCCCGTGGCCCAACAGCGCCTGTGCCCAGACGGCGGAACCAGAGACAGCGCCAAAGCCAGTATCAGTCAGTAATGATAACGGAGCCACCAAGACCAGCACGGCCTGGCAAAGAAGGCATGGACCACCGTGGATCCCGCCGTGTGAGGATGGACGGAGATGGAATGGGGCCAAATGGGAAATGGGAGGAAGCCATCCACCCATTCTTGTCTATGGCATCCCGGTCACAATTCATACCTCGACACGCTGGGGCTGATGAATAACTTAGATTACGCCTCAGGCACATACGGCACAATCCAAATTTGGGCGACCCCCAATCTGAGGTACCCAGGTACCTAGATAAACCCACTCGGTCTCCAAGGAACGGGAAAAAAGACGTTCCGACACACGGGCCGTCTTCTGACACTGACTTCACAGGCTTCACCCCAGCTTCTCCCTCTCCCTTTGCTATGCCCTGCTGTCTCTGCAGGGCTTCACACCCCCTTCATCCTCTTGGCCACTCTTACCTGCAGCGAGACCCCGTGAACCTGCAGGAGTAGTCCCTGAACCCGGGCCACACCTGATGGCCCTCTCTCAGACTCTTTCGCTCGTTTCCCCCCGGGAGTCGGGACTTGCCAGTCACTTGCCCCGAAGAAACCTAGAGCAACACACCCCGTCGTCTGCCGAAAGGTGCCCCGGCCGCTATACTACGTTAGCTGCGTTCTCTTCAGCCACTTCGAAGCATCCACATCACCGCGGCCTCCTTCACGAATCTGTCCATCCAATGAGTGTCATTCGAACAGAGTTGCAGGTACGAGGTCGCGCTGGGGGCTTTAAAGAATGTATTCGTGGTCAAAAGCTGTGGAAGACCAATCGTGCTTGTGGCATGCCAAACAAGAAGCGGACCACTTACCAACGAGATCACGCAAGCTGCGTCACCACCTTATCAGCTATGGTCCAACACATCCTGAGACTCCTCGACCAGTGAAGTAACATTTTTTTTGCAGCGTGGCAGTATGTTGAGTTGTTGCCAATCAGCCACCCAACCACAATAAGGCACGGGATGCAAGTCTGGCAGCCAGCCTTGCCGTGTCTCGGTTCTGGCTTGTCTTGCCCCAAACTCCCTGCGTCGGACAAATCGCTGATCGGCTTCGCGCAGATCCTGCAGCAAAAAGCCAGACGGGGGCAGAAGAGACAAACGAGAGGAGATGATTATAAGTGAACAGAAACCGCGCGGAAGCACCGTTGACGCCCGCCACTGTAATTTGCCGGAGCAAGCCACACTTTCCAAGATTTCCTACGCTGTTCATTGCAGACCAGGAGGACGTTTCGCCTCCTTATCTTCGAGTCTGATAATCCAAGCCTTGCACGAGTGGTGCAAGTCTCCTCGCCGGTCCGAAACTGGCGATGCTTACATGGCAACTTCGGTATCATCAAGTGACGCCTCGGCCTTGCGTTTGCAACCTTTGCGGCCCTGTTTCGAGCTGCCGGGATCGTAGAATCTATGTCTGCAATTTATAGACGCATCAGAGGCGTAATGTTAATCTCGACATAGGTCGCAAGAAAGCTCTATCTGGATGCTAATGAGTTCGGCCTGTGGGATGCCGCAACTCGGCCTCCGAGAACAGCGATCTCTTGCCAGTCCAGAACAAAAGGAGTGGCCCACGACCAGGGCTTTTCTCCAACGTCAAATTTTCGATCGCGATGCCTGGGATCGAGTGGTTCCCAGCTACAAAAAGCTTGTGGAGACATGAAAATAAGAGGCTTGAGGTCCTTCCAAGTTCAAGGGGCTCCGGCTCCGAAGAGAGATGGCCGGCTCTCGAGCACCCGCATTTGTGGGGCTCTGCCCCGATGCCTTTGATGTGTGCTCCGACTCGGTCCGGATTCAATACACCCGCCACCTAGGCTTGAGCATCCCTTGCAGAATTATATGGTGAATTTGGTTCTTGGTCATCGCATGGACCTCTCATGCGATAGGTCGCAACGAAAGATTGTGTCCCAGCAGTTACTCTAGTGAGAGTATTAGGTATCGAACCAAGTAAGAGATATGTAACTCTCTCGGCAAGGGTTTGAGACATGCCTTGGTCTGGGACAGTTACTGGAACAATTTGTGTCGAGGCCAGGTCAAGATATCTGTCTCATGTGACCATACAAATTGTCTCTCTACCTCCTCGGTGCGAAGGACTCACAAGCTGGACACTTACAGTATCAAGATAACCACGGACCGCTCTGACTGATGAGTATTGGATGACAAGATAATACTATGCAGTTACACCGCACGTATAAGCATCGCTGAAGATTACCTACTTTTCGCAATTCTCCCTTAGCGCTACCAGCTCTCGACACACACATCCAGCGAGCATAGCAAGTTGCAAATATGCCACTAGAATCCAGCAAGCGTCACCACGGGTCACTAGTTTTGCGTACTAGATGTCTAAAAACATGACTTCAATCTCTTGATTATCGCAAAATCAGAACTTCCAACAGCCTTACGTGTTTGAATCTCAGCTGCTGTAGAGATTTCAATAAGATCACTGAATTACAGCCGCACCTCACACAGTACCCCTATTCCATGAGGCAATGCTCCCCAAACTTGTCACGACGGCTCTCCTCTCTCACACCACGAGGTCCAGTATGTCGCTCGGAAGCATGCCAGCAGCGCTTGAGACCTTTGGTAGTCGAGGCAGTAGCAGCCTTGCATGAGATCTAGCCTATTGGCGTAAATGATAGACTGAGCTATTCAAGATGCAGTCATGAAGCATATCGCAGCATCGGCTTGACTAAATCCCGAGGCTCTCTCCCAAGTCCAATGCCTGAGTAATCGGAAAGGTGCGGAAGTTTAGTCATTTCTCTGACACTAGTAAGCCGAGTATCTTAAGCATTCAGATGAGATGCTGGGATTCATTACAAACAGCAGACTGGTGTGAAAAGGACCCGTAATTCCGCGAGGTTCTTGTTGGGGTGCTTTTTGGCATAGACTTGGCCTGGGGTTTTTGTATATTCCAATCAACCAACCTATATGTTTGCAGCAGTTGCATGTCCAGGTGGAAATTGCCTATCGTTGTTATTTCCTAAGTCAGATACATAACAGCGACCATTCCAGGCCCGACAGATACATGATTATGCTGCTAAGCTACGGTGCAGGCTTCATAGTTTCGGACGTTGGCCCATTAATCTGCAAAGTCGAACCTATGTGACAGGATTGCGTACGACCGTGGCTCGATCTAGGAGCGAAACCTCGGACTGCGATGTCCAGGCTCAGGGGTGAGCTTTGGAGTCTTTCGATGGGCAAGATTTACCTTGGCGTATAGCTTGGATGAACCCCTCCAGAAAAGTTGTGAGATGCTCAAACTTGTGGCTGAGACTCCAACAGTCCAGTTTAGGCTTCAGTCGAGGATGGGAAACTGGTTGAAGATACATGTTGACTTTGAAAAGAGCAACGACATCAGTCTTGAACGGGTGTTTAACAAATAAGAACAGCTGCCAGAAGATTCTCCACTGTTTCCTCCAGCCGATCACCTGCGTATGGGGTCGTCTGAAGAGACTTTGAGGTTCTAGACTTCCCCGAACGATGAGCCGTGACACTACAGACATGTCATCGTCACATGGGAAGCGGCAGAGGCCGGGTGGGCCAAAGAAAAATCTGGCGCCACAGAGTGGCCAGAGCGGCGGCCGGGTCCACCAGTTCAATTGGCGAATGAACCCGCCCGGAGCTTTCTCAACGGACGGTGGAGATCCAGGGACGTAGAAAGGTACTTTCTTCAGCGGGATATTTGCGCCAAGATATAAGTATCAGTCTAACAGATATGATGGAGGCCCCTTCGCCCCCCCTTGCAGTTCCTTGCTTTCGATCCACCAATCCCAATCGTGCCTCAATGATGTCAGGAGCAGACCAGGGTCGGGAAAGAGCGAGAGAGAGAAAGTTGTTGAGCTAACCTCGCTGTCATTGCCTCGCGCTTTGCGCTTAATTCAGCTTCGGTGCTCTTTCCCCGGAGTAGCCGCGGCCATCTTGGATCTCTAGTTTTTTTTCCTCTCCTTCTCATCCGTAGCACCGGACTGTTTAGTTATCAGATCGAAAATGAAGACAACGAATTTGCCGCAACCGTAAAACTGTCGAGATTCCTGAGCAAGCTAGAACGATAGCAATCACCACCAACACCACCAATATCCCTCCCTACGCCACGACACACCCCAATTCACAACCGATCAACGCAAGGTAGATCAACACCACCGTTCATTTCTGGCTCATCCAGCCAGTCATGTCCCACGACTTCAGCCTCTCAATATCGCCAAGATGAGATTATTCGAGCCGTATTCCCGCGACGCCATGCGCCGGGCTGCGAGATCATTCCACCACAGCGTGACTGTCGGCCGCATCAGAACTCACGGCCTTCTGGTTCACCGGAGGCCTACGCTGCCCCGCCAGTCGCGGCACAGCTTCTTTACGGCAAGGGAGAAGGTCCCGCCTAAGAAGACGTCGATCCCGGTGGCCATTTTCACCGGTGGTCTGGTCATCTGGGCGCTCTACCCGTCTGATGAGTTTGAGCGGCTGTCCTTGGCTGAAAATGAGAGGAGGAAGGGAGTTCGCAGCAATGCGGCAAGCACAAAGTCTGACCAGACTGCGTGGTACAACTTTGCTCTCAAGTTTGAGACGTTGTCCGACTCTGCCGACGTCGAATGGACTGCAGACAAAATTGTTGGGTTCATCCTGCCGGAGTGGTCCAGGTTGGTTCCCGGATACATCCGGAAGCTCCAGAGAGAGGTGAGTTTTGCTAAACATAACCACTTATTGCTATCGACTAACATCACCAGCTGTCAATGGCACCCGGATCTCTAGCAGATGAAATTTGGCGAGAAGCCCATGACCCCTTCATCAACCCCGAGGTGCAATATTCCGCCAAGGTCAGGGTTTCTAATGATCTATGTGATGAGGAAAAAGAGTTTCTAGCAAGGCGGAAGCGAGTCACTACCATGGCATTAGCCAAGTACCTTGAGATCGACGAGAGGGATGTCCACCCGGACGACGTCCCTACCATTGCCATGTGCGGCTCCGGAGGTGGCCTCCGAGCCCTTGTTGCCGGCACCGGTTCCATGCTCGCCGCAGACGAAGATGGCTTGTTTGACTGTGTCACATATACCTCTGGTGTAAGCGGGTCATGTTGGCTACAGGCCCTCTACCACTCTTCCATCTCAGAGGGCAGTCTCCCCAAGGTTCTGCAGCATCTGAAAGCCCGCGCCGGCATCCACATCGCCTACCCGCCCGTTGCGTTCCAGACCCTTCTCTCTGCCCCGACAAGCAAGTACCTCCTTAGTGGTCTTGTTGAAAAGCTCAAGGGTGACCCCCGCGCGGACTTTGGGCTGGTCGACGTCTACGGCCTCCTGTTGGCGACGAGATTTTTGGTTCCCAAGGGCGAACTGGAAGTGAGTGATCGGGATTTCAAGCTGTCCAACCAACGAGAGTACATCAAATATGGCCAGAACCCGCTACCCATTTACACGGCCGTCCGCCATGAGATCCCCGACGTGGACATTGATGGGAGCGGAGCAGTGCCGTCCACCTCGGACGCCGCGAAAGAAGTCGCCAAGAAGGAAGCCTGGTTCCAGTGGTTCGAGATCACGCCTTACGAGTTCTTCTGCGAGGAGTTCTCCGCTGGAATCCCGACTTGGGCCATGGGCCGACGCTTCAAGAACGGCGTCGACGTACCCCCTGAAGAAGGCTTCCATCTCCCAGAGACACGGATGCCGTTCCTCCTCGGCGTCTTTGGCAGCGCTTTCTGCGCGACCCTGAGCCACTATTACAACGAGATCAAACCTCTCGTGCAGAGCCTCGCTGGTTTTGGCGCCCTGGACGGCATGATCTCGGGCTACAACGAGGACCTCAGCAAGGTCCACCCGATCGACCCCGGCACCGTCGCAAACTTTGCCTATGGTATGGAGGATAAGCTGCCCGAGACGGCCCCGAAGAGCACCTACAACACCGAATATATCCAGCTTATGGACGCCGGCATGTCCAACAACCTCCCCATCTACCCGCTCCTCCGCCCTGGCCGCGACGTCGACGTCGTTGTCGCCTTTGACGCCTCCGCAGACATCAAGACGGACAACTGGCTTGCCGTCGCCGACGGCTACGCCCGCCAGCGCGGCATCAAGGGCTGGCCCGTCGGCGTCGGCTGGCCCAAGGCAAGCGAGTCCCCGAAAGAGGTGCGTGACGAGCTCTCGGAAGCCCAGGCCGCGTCCGCGCAGGATGCGGACCAGAAGCTCCGCGAGGCCAAGGCATACCAGCGCGAACACCAGGCCGAGGAGGGCCACCGCAAGCCGGACGAGGATACCAAGAGCGGGCAGGCGGCCAAGTTCACGCCCGGCGACGAGGAGTCGGGCGAGCTTGGGTACTGCACCGTCTGGGTCGGCACGACGCAGGAGCGGTCGTCATCCGATACCCCGCCGCCGTCCAAGGCGATTACCGAGTCCAACTCGTGGCAGCTCATGGAGGCCGACGCGGGCATCGCCATCATCTACCTACCATACCTCGCTAACCCCAAGGCGCCCGGCATCAACCCCGGCACGACGGATTATTTAAGCACCTGGAACTTTGTCTACACGCCTGATCAGATTGAAAAGGTGGCCGCGCTAGCGAGGGCTAATTACGCCGAGGGACGTGAGCAGATTCGCGGGACGGTGAGGGCCGTCTACGAGCGCAAGAAGAAGCTTAGACTGGAGAGGGAGGCGGGGATCAAGAAGGACCGGTACCGGAGCTTGGTGAGGCGGGGGATGGCGCATAAGCTGGGCGAGGGCGATCAGTTCAGTTGAAAGAGGCGGATTATAGAATTGTTGGAATGAAGATACCCGAGAAGGTGGAGGACTCTTGAAGGATGGCGTAGCTTAATCATTGGAAGTAGATCCATTGTAATAAAAAGTGTGTTACTTTGAAATGTTTTGCAACTCATAAAGAGGCCGAGTATGGTGTGATGAGATCAAGTTCAGTAAATGGCCCCGTTTCGAGGAGTGTGTCATTGTTTTTACAAATCTATTCATCTTACAGAGACATGCTTGACCTTCTACATGTCCTTGCTTCAAAATGTACACTGCCCAACAAAAAGGCATCTTGATAAAGTCCGGGATCACCTGTCTCCCGACCCTTGAACAACGTTCTCCGTCACCTCCCCTCTCTTGTCGCCCCTCTCTCTTCTCTTCCTCCGATGGATGAATTACAGTCGATGTATTTTGCTTTTCATTTTTTCTTTTCCTTCTTCCCCATGTTGCCCCAACATATCTTTTTCTTTAGATAATCTCTCCCATGTCAATGTGCACAGGCTGCCACGGCTTCGCGCCCTCGACGAGCATATCACTCGGCACCCGCACCTTGGCGCCGGGGCTGTAGAGGTACCACGCCTTGAGAACATTCATAGACGCCTGCAGACGCGCGAAATCCAAGCTGGCGCCCGTGCCCTCGCCGAGCTTGTCGCGCCCGCTGTAGATGCCGACGACGTAGACGGGCGTCCTGCTCAGACGACCCGTCTCGCTCTCGAGTCGCGCGACGGGGGCCTCGAATCCTTCGCGGGCGCAGAGCATCGCCAGCTCGCGCGTGGGCAGCCTGAAGCTGAAGAGCTTCTCGAGCTCGACGCGGCGGCTGAGGATGTGGGCGTCGATGAAGGCGCGCACGGCGTCGCGGCCGGCGTGGGCGTACACGGCGCCCGTGACGGCGCGGACGTGTGCGGCGTAGGCGTCGTTGCGGAGCTTCTCGCGCTGCTCCTTCAGCAGGGCCGGGTCATTGGGGTCGGGCTTGGGCTCGAGCGGGTTCCGCCTGGGCTTGTGCAGGACGTCGCCGAACTCGTCGTCGAGGACGACCCGGGACGAGACGGAGCGGCGCCACTTGAACTTGTCGAGCTCGAAGTGCTCCTTGCGGACGTAGCCCCAGCGGCCGTGGACGACGCCGTGGGCCTCGGGGTCCTGGGAGAACTGCAGCAGGCCTGGGTCGACTTCGCCTCCGGGGGCGGCGGCGCTCTCGACGCCCCACTGGCTGGCTACGCGGTAGAGGGAGTCGGGGCCGCCGTAGGCGCGCATGGCTTCGTAGAGGATGGCCATGGGGAGGCGGGGGTAGTGGGTGATGAGCCACTCGGAAACGTGGTAGCTGATGAGGGAGCCGCCGACGACGGCGAGGTTGGCGTTGTTGAAGTTGGGGTTAGGGTCGGCGGAGGGGTCGACGAGCGTGCGCGCGAGGGACTGGAGGGGCAGCTTCTCGGGGAGGGAGAGGCGAGCGTGGAGGGCGGCGAGCTTGGCCGACTGGAGGGCCTTTTCGGGGGCGGGTGACGGGAGGTTTCTCGACTTCGACTTGACGGGTTGGGTGGTGGTGACGGTGGTGTTGGCTGAAGCGTCGGATGATGCTTCTTCTGCTACTGCTGCCAAGGACGGGGAGGAGGTCGATAGTGTCCGCGCCGGGTTGCTGTTGTAAAGCTGTGTTCTAAAGGAGATGGGCGTCAGGCACGGCGAGGCGTGTGTCCTGGCCTGGGCGTTGAGCAGTTGCCCGGTGCATCTTGATATCCTTAACCTCTTCATCTGGGACGCCATTCGGTGGTCGAGGTTGGTGTGTTGCTGAGCTGTTCGAAAGCCCAGTAACAACGTAACGAATAAAAAAGTTCAAAGAAGGAAATGGTGTTGTACAATGCGGTCGATAGCAATTGGGTGGATGTGGTATTCGCTGGGGGGTTGGATCGCAAAGGGGGCAAGGGAAAAAAAGTTCCACGTCCCGAATTCTCTCGAACAGCGCCGGTCTCCCGTCACGAAAAAGTTTCTGGAGCCGACCGATTCGAAGTCGTGTGAGCTCCAGCATGCTAGGGGGTCCTGTGCACGAGCCATGAGTGGAAGCCAGTAGAGCAGTCGCGGAATATCCGCTCCTCCGCAGCTCCGGGTGGTTTGGGTCCCACTTTTCGGGAGGAATGGATGGCAGCACTTCACCATTCGCGACGTCCAAGGGCAAAAGCTCAATATCGAGTCGAGGCGGGAAAGCGATTGCCATCACCACACTATCCAACCCCTCATATTGAAAATACAGTCAAAATGGTACGTCAACTCTCAATCAGTAATTCCTGGTCAATTGCTAATTCACGAACAGGGAGGCGGTCCTAAGGTTCCGTAAGTTCTAACCTAGCGCATATCACCTTCGAACGCAAACCACCCCGATCCTTCGGAAACAGCTCCTCTAACACCCACGAAAGCTACCCCAAGCACGTCTGGTCGCCGGCCGGTGGTTGGTACGCCCAGCCTGCGAACTGGAAGCGTAACACCGCCGTCATCGGTGCCGTCATGGCCGGTGTCGTTGCCGTTATCTGGAAGATCAGCGCCGAGAAGGAGGTGCGCTACGTGATGCCTCAGGAGGGCCGATTCTTCCCCAGCAGATAGTATGTCCACGCATTCAACGTGCTATTGCAAATATGTGCGCATGAGAGAGAATTCCGGGCTAATACTGCACCCCACAGCTGGTCGAAGCAATTGATCGAGTACGACAGAGAACAGGCCGCGAGGAAGGCCAAGGATACGACGCAGGCGGAGGCGATTCAGAACTCATAAACGACGACTCGGACGGTCGGAAAACTTTGTACAATGTAAATACGGTACCCCAGGAATTGAGCGCCGCGCGGTAGCGGTAGTTGCGAACACTGGACGGCCCCGCGATGGATTGCTCGCTCAGTGATACATGGATTGTGTTGTTCAGTGAACCCTTAAGAAACAGATTGAAACGGCGGCGTCCGACCTTTGCCGATTCAATAAGCTCAATTGCTAGGAGCCCGCGGCCTTGACCAGAGCCTTCGGTTTTGCCCAGCAGGAGAACGACGAATCTCACCATTGAATGGTTGAGAAGCAGATCTCGAGAATGCAGAATCGCCTATGCTCACCTCGATATTCCCGGTCATCAACTATGAGATACTCACCTAGAAACGCGAGCATGCCTCAAAGCGCCGAGCCGTGAGCAGTGACAGCATAACTGAGCCTTCGGCCAATCACGATGGTCGTAAAGGTAATTCAAGAGTAGGTCTCAGCTCTAGATCACGACCATCCCTGGGTACCAGCTTGAAGAGGACCACCCTGGACCATGAAGCAAGCATCTTGTAGACACTGAGAACACTGTTTATCTGCGTCCATATGGACACTTACTTTATCACCAATGGTTGCCAAAGAAGACAATGGTCCCTGAGCCGCGAGAGCTACATACCCCTGGATCAAGCATGCCATATTCAGCAAACAAAAAGATTTCCGGGGAGGAGACGTTGTGACATTCGTTAGATGCTATGAACTAGCTAACTGACTCTCCCGAAGTAATCGTAGAACAGGAACTAGTACTAATTACTTGCCTTGTTGGATAGGCTAATGTCGGAAAGGGTCAGCTTCTTTTTCGGCCCAGGAATTCTGGACATGGGCGTTACGCGATACTGAGAATCTAGTTCAAGATACGAATGACAAAACGCGTCTGCGCCGTGATGAGAGAGGGTCTATCTGGTAAGACCTCGAAAGGTTCACTGGGGCAGGTGGAAGCGCGAAAGTAGAATAACTCAAGAACATCGCAGAGAGACGCAGAGTAAAGCCACGTCAAAGGATTGTCTCATTCATCATTTAATCATTTAGGGGAGATTAGTTGTACCGAGAATAGCACCGCTTCTTCAAAGAGGAGAAGGAGCAACATAATGAAAGGCATCGGTCCTCCTCAGTTTTCCCCCTTCATCCCGGTGTGTTTGGTCGGCCGAGCTTAAACTTCCATAGAAGAACTCCATACAACGACCCTCCTGGACCCCAATTGGTATTGGCCGGCTGGTTCGGTTTTCAGCAGCAAAGCTGTTCCGTTAAATGATATGTCAGTACATCGGTCCAGGCCGAGCAGAAAGACGGAACATAAGAGAGAAAGAAAAAGAGGGGGGGGGGGGGATATGAAAAGACAAGAACGTACGCGGAATACTCCCTCCACGGGACATCCGATGAAGCAGGGCGTCTCGTTGCAGCAGTTTCCCTCCGACGAGTCCTTGAGGAACGCTTGCACCAGCTTGTCGGGGACGTAGAGCGCTGTGATACCTGATGCCAGGACGGGGAGGATCAAGACTGAAAACTTCATGTTGTTGTTTGAAAAAAGTGTTGAATGCCGGGTGAGGCCAAATGGAAGGTGTATTGAGATCTGCTTGCTGGTGGACGATGATCTGAGATGGCCAGTCGAAGTCCAGAATGGCGGAAAAATCCATTCCTTTTATGTTTCCTGATTCACCGCGTATCTTTCTCCCACCTTGAAGTCATTCGAACTCTCCTCCGCTCAGTGAAGAAATCTCTAGATGGTTCGAAATGGTAACATCCACGGACAGAAGCATCCCATATCCCTCCACGTACGACATGCCGTGTCGACGATCCGCGTAAATCAACAAGACGTGACTGGTTCCTGTTTATTTACCACCAAAGAGCCGCGGCCGGGTTCCCGGCAGTGCTACAGTAGTACATCTCCAGACAATAAGTCGGCGTCGAGACTCTTAACTGTTGAAATGTTGATAGGGAAAAGGCAGTCTCTAGCCGTGCCTACGTTGCAACACCTGCAACACCGGCGACACATGTGAAAAGAAGCGGGTGAACCCCGCTCTATCAAGATGTACGCTGCCGTGAAGTTACGCTGTCGTGAATCTACAACCCTCGTAAACGACGTTACTGTGACCTCCCATACCATTTTTCCGAACAAGAATCATGGAAACGTAGACGGTTAAATCAGTTCGTTTCGCTCTATTGGCTTGGCAAAGTTGTATGTATGCAGCGAGTATTCAGGCTTGCTGCAGCAACTTGGACATTGACAACAGCCTGCTGCACGACTTTGGGCCTCGTTGCTACGACGCCGTTCGCGCGATTCAAAGACTGCGGATGAGTCGCGGCAAGTATGACAACATTCAATTGAAGAATGGCAACATCACCCCGTCATACTTTTGAGGGGAATTCCCATAGCGGATCGCTCTGTGATCGATGTACGTGGCATCTCCCAAGGCTACCTACACATATGGATCTCTAGCTTAAACACATGAACAAATTGGACTTGGTTCTCAGTTTACACTGCCCAAGACGAAAGGCCGTGAACTGCTCATCATCCCTCAACAATCAATTGACTTCCAAAGATTGCCGAAGAAGCAAAAAAGACACGGTAATATGGCGAACGAGTAGCTTTGAAACATATCCTCTGGCCACATACCATAGCTGCTGCTTTCATCTCTTTGATTGGGATCCGTGATGGAACATCTACGAAAACACCATTTATTTTTATCTCCCCTAGTGGCAGCTTCCGTGTAAGTAGCAAGACGGCTTCTCCGGCGTCGGCCTGCAGAAAGCCGTGTAGATCAGAGTAGTATTGAAACCTACTAGACTGTGACGGGCACATCGATCCTGAGTTCGTGAGACGGCTCTCGGATGGGCGCTCGAAACAGAGCAACGTGACTGGATGTACTGCCATCTTTCTATGATGCTGTAAGTAATGCCTCTCCATAAGGTACTTGAGAGCTCAGACACCGTAGGGGAGCCAGACTTTGAGAAGGAAGTAGCACGTTCATCAATTTCAGAAACATTGGTTCAATACAACGCGGAACATAGTTTTCAGGTATAGGCATCTCATTGTCTACCTAGCTTGCTCGACACAAAGAAGCAGCTCTTGCGTCCCTTCCCTTTCAGGAGGACCTAGATTCTCTCTCAATCTGTCTCAACCACTACCAAATCTCCATCTCTCCATCCACTATGCTGTTCCCAATCATGCCACTTCAAGGCATCTCAAAAGGAATCAACGCAACACACTCGCGTCTCCTGCCAAAAAGGTCGCTCAGTATGTTTGCTAAACGACCAAACACAGCCACCAGAGCTGCAAGAAACGAGAGGTGTCAAAAAGCAACAATCAACAAGGGTGAGCAATATACATTAAGCACTAGGCGTATCCTTGGCCCATCCTTAATGGCCGCCGCTGCAATCGCTTGGCACAAGGTAGGGCCAAGGTAGGTGAATCGAAATCGCGAAACAGTGGGTGTTCGAGCGAGTGTGAAGAAGCGTAAAAGAAAAGAAAATTGCAAGCCACGACTGAAACCAGGCTGCAAAAAGGGTGTATCAAAAGCGGGTGTCATGAATGAGTGACTTGAAAGGTATAAACGCGTCGTTGGGGTTCGTTTCGCCCCTTGATCGGATCATCGTCAGAGTCCAGTAGGAGGGGAAATCTCCCCCAAGTTCTTTTTGTGGTAGTTCGCAGAAACGCCGTGCCCGTGCTGTCCAGAATGCAAAGTAGACCCTAGTCTATCGTCAAACGTAGATGAATCCCCAGTCTTTGTGCCAAAAGACGTTATATACGTGGGGAGTCAGTGTATATGAACGTTGCTTTGGTTGTCATTTACACAGCCTGTCCAGGGACAGGCTTGCGGCCGACAGGTCCCATTGGTGGGCCTGGACGACCCTGAGCTGGGGTCCCGTTCAAAGGCCCGTTCATCGGTCCATTCATGGGACCGTTGGGAGGACCATTAGGGTTCATTCGGCTGGGCTGAGGGATTCTGCTAGGCCCCGGGGGGCTTGGCTTGCGACCTCCCATTCCGTTGGGGCTCTGCGGTCGCTGTCCTGGAGGACCCTGGTAGCGAGGACCGGGGGATTGAGGTCGGCCTCCGGGGCCCATAGCTCCATTGCCGGCGGGGGACTGAGGTCGGCCACCACCGTTCATGGGACGACCTGCGGGCGACTCGGGGCGGGGGTAGGGCGGGCCGCCCTGGGGGTTCATGGGCCGCTGACCAGGAGGGAAGTTCGGACCAGGACCGCGGGGAGCACCAGGGCCCATGTGAGGACCACGAGGAGGTCCTTGGTTAGGTCCCTGGGCTTGAGGAGGTCTAGGCTTAACCGGGCGAGTGGAGAGGCAGGTGCGCGGTACAACACCCTGCTGGGATCTATCCAAGCGAATGCAGAGCGCCTGGAGGGATGTTAGCTTACAAACTCATCATCATGGACATCAAAACTTACCCAGCCATCATCGTACTCGTGCAGAAGACGCACAAGCTGGCCAGCTCTCAGTTCCATCTCGTCCTCAAGGGTAGGCTTGAAATCAAGTTGCACACGATGAACAGTGGTGTTGGCGGGACCTCCAGCGGCGGCGATGGCAGCAGAACCAGTGGATCCATTAGATTGGTGACCGGGGCCGGCAGAGTCGGCGCTGAACGTGGTTCCAGAAGGAGAAGCAGGGATGGTAGACAAGGGTGCAGGAGGCGCGGGCAGAGTCAGGTCCAGTGCCTTGGGACCGTCCTTGCGGGTCGACGCTTTGCGAGCCAGGCCTCCAACGGCGACGGCTCCAGCACCAACTGCCGCAGCACCTGCAGCAATAGCGGCACCGTTGGGAGCGGCGTTGGCGGGGATGTCACTCACGGCAGTCCCTGGAGCAGGCTCGCCGACGCTGGGAAGAGGCTTCTCGTTGAGGCTCATGGAACTGACGGACTCCTCGGCGATGGGACCGTTGATTCTCTCGGCTTGAGCACCAAAAGGGTTCGCGGGGTTTGAGCTCTGGTTCGTTGCCGGTCTGTCCCAGGCGCCTTGGCCGGGGTTGCGAAGACCCAGAGCAGCAGCCGCGGGAGCCAGATTGGCGTTCATGTTGACGGCAGGTCCTCCAGCAGGTCCCCTGCTGGCGCGCTTGTCGAGGTTCAAGTTGGGCAAGAACTGGGTGACGGGACGGAGGCTGATACGAGGAGCGCGGGGGTTCTGGCTACCAGCGACAGCGGCGGCGGCTCCAAATCCATGGCTCTTCTCATCCTCATCGGCCAGACGCTGCTGCTCCATCTGCTTCTTGCGACGGTTGAAGAGGAAGAAGACGAGCAAGAAGACGACGAGAACACCGGCCAAAACACCAATAGCAATGCCAGCCTTTGCGGCACCGCTGGTTTCGTTGCTGGTCGACTTGTCCGTGGTTGACGTTGCGCTAGGGGAAGCGCTGGAGATGATGCTAGCATTGTCTGCAGTGGCGGCAGTCTTGGTGGTCTTTGCGAACGTGGGTGCGTCTGTCGCGATAGCGAGCGTAGTCTGGATGCTCTCGGTCAAGGGGTCCTCGATGACGGTGGGCAGCGACGAGGTAGACGCAGCATCGATGGTGGTGGATGAGCTGTCGGCAGTCTTAATGATGGGGGCGCCGGCCTTGGCAATGGTGGTCTCGGTGGAGTCAACTGTCGTCGATTTCGACCTCGTGGGGAGGGGTGATTGAGCGACAATCAGCTTGGTTGAGGTGGTGCTCGTGGGGGCGGCGACGGCATCATTACCAGTGACGGTCTGGTAGATGGTCTTGATAACGGTCGAGCGGCCTTTCTTTGTATTAGCGCGCCGTGTGGTCGTGGCATCATCATCGTCGTCGTCCTGTCGGATTTTGAGATTACCTCCATTGCTTGTCGTGGCCTCGTCATTGGAGGCAAAGGGATTCAGATCCTTGAATTTGTCGCCAACATTGCTCCAGAAATCGGGGTTGCGAGGCGCGATATGCCTGCGGGCGTGGAGGTGGTGGTGGTGATGAGCCATTGCGGCGGTTGCGGGCGTGGGCTAATCGAAATGGATCAAATCCAACTAGGCCCGCCAGAAGTCGTCGGGATGAGTGAAGATAAAGTGAGGCGTGTGAGGCGCGTAATGAATGATTCGTATCGTGAGGTTCGTGGGTCGAGGCGGGGTATCTGAAAAATGGAGGGAGGATATCTGGCGTGCACGGGAGAGGCTGGTGATGGGAATGCTTAAGGGATCCGGCTCCAGGAGGGAAAAGGTTGTGATGTTCGTGAGGCGATCGTCGAAAGAATGAACCAGCAAGTAGTGAATAAGTCCAAGTCCGACCAGGGAGTCGCGGTGGTCGAGGATTATTGAATGGAGAAAGACTGGCTGCCTTGGTGTTGTGGGTTGAAGGTCGAGTGTTGTTGCGCGTACGTGTGCGTGCAATTGAACGAATGTGAAGTGGCTCTGGGCCAGGTGAAAGGAGAGTAAAGTGAGAATGTGGGTGAGGTGAGGTCGTTGATTTTTGCAAGATCTCACTACCAGCTCACAGTCATTGGACAGTCACAAACCGTCTTAGTAAATTGTCATGAAGACGATTGGGGGGACGTCGATGATGTTTTGTTTGTGGGAGGAAAGAATGGATGAATCTGCACACCGTGACTCTTGGGAAGCCGCGAGAGAGAGGACGACGATGAAGTCTCTCTGTCTGTCTCTGAAGGTGAGAGAGTACAGCAACGGCAGGAAGCAGTCAGGCTCAACGAGTGAGATGCAGTTCGGACAGAACGGGGGGGAAGGATGGGATGGGATGGGAAGAAGAGGGCACACACGAAAGTGGGAAGGGACAGTGAGAAGAAGAGAACCGGGGACATTGAGGTTGCACGCACTCGCAGACTGCCAGTTCAGGATCCTGGGCGAATGGGAAGTTGGGAAAGAGGCCCCAAGCAACGTTGGACGGATGACAAGGGTCGGGCGACTGGGGTGTCGATGGGAAGCAGATCCCTGCCGCGACAGGTACCTACCCTCAGTCTTCTGCTCTCAATCTCACTCTCACTCTCATTCTTACCCTCCAGCTTGGCTTACTTCAGGATCTCTGGCTGCAAAAGTACGGATACAGGTACGGGTAAGAAGACAGCAGGCAGGAGGACCGTGAGATATCAAGATGAAAAGGGAATGGCGTGTGGAAAAGACGGCCGTGCGATACGGTCAAAGTCAGGGCTTGCAGTCTTTGCCGTGTTAGTGCTGTCCGGGGATATCACAGTCTGCTGTCTACCTCGTAAGGATACCTAACTCCTCCTGCGTAAAGTAGGTAGCTGGCTGATGTCTCTTGGGTAACGGTGGGTGATGGCTCGGATCACATTTTGCACAAGTTTAACAATGGCACCAATCTATGAAAGGTCGGACGGATTGGGATTAACGCGCACAAAAATGCAACCGCGGCTCCGACGGTCATTCGACAATGCATCTGATCCACGCCCACACTACCGAGTCAGCGTTTCACCATCCGCCCTGTCTCTGGCCTCTCCCTGCGCTTGGGATGAACTGTAGCAGAGGTGCACACGATGAGGGAGGAAACAAACAAACACTTTTGAATAGTTACACATCTGCCTTCCTGTCCTACGGAGAAGTGCCAGGCATCAACCCACTGGCGTCTACTTTCGGCCAAAGGGTGATGATTGACTGCCATATATCAGCAACTTCCCCTTCAATCTTGATACGAACACATTCAATGGGAAGCAACAAATCCCGCACCCATCCCATCGGTTTCCGACGTAGGCACCGACTTCAATCCGTCGGTCGCATTTTACGGCTTGCCCATCCACACCGGCGCCCATCTTCATCAGCGCACATGCACGGGCCGCGCTAAGGCAGGGGCCTCCCAACGCCCATCCTGCCGTGCCTGTCAGGTACCGACCCTGCCTGATTGGTTCTCTTGTGCTGGTCTCCACTGTCTCCACCGCACACCCACAGAATAAACGAAATTGTTTGCTCGGGGTTCCTGAGCCATTTGTCCAATCAAACCCTGCCAGGTGGGACCGAAAAAGAAGGCGTTTGTACGGCCCGAGCTCCAACCACCAGTGAACCACCACAAGCAGCCCCCAAACTCCAACATCCCCATCGTCATCGCCAACAGGGGACCAACACATTTGTACCAGTGGTTGTACCTGTCACATAATGTCACAACACCATACTGGCACACACACACACACACACCACTACCAATGCTGTGATACGCGCCGTCTCCTGTTTTCTCGCCTCCGCACGCGACGTTGTTCCCATTCAGCCTGGTCCCTTTTCTTTCCCGCCCAAACAGCATCCCATCCTACCCCATCGCCTTCGAGAAGCACGGCAAGACTGCCATATTCATGCGAGCCACACACACACAAAGGCAGCTTATCGCCACAAGGGAATTAGCAGAAATGCACCGAAATAGCATTCTTCTGAAGCTCAGATAGCCTCACAAACGAAAAGAATGGCTAGAGCCTGGCGTGTGTGATGGCGAAGCTGGCCTGCCCATCGTCATCTCACCATTCGGCCCGGAACCTCGCAAGGGTTGATATAGGCACCGCTGACCTACTTACAGTAGAATGCCACGGCCATTACCGTAATTATCACCAAACCACCCACCGACACTGCCTCTCTTAAAGACCCCTAAAGAAGCAATCTTGTCTTTGAAAGAATGACACGACATGCTCCGTGCTCCTCCCTCGCGAGTCGCAAGGAGCTTCCAGCTTTCTCTGTCATCCATTAGCCCTTCTTGATATTCTCAAGCGACAGAAAGCAGTCAGTGCTCGGCATCCGTCCATCTGCCTCGAATACGAGACTTGTCAGGCCACATTGCCGCGAGGAGCCCTTAGTTGTCCTATCTGCCTGACAGAAGTCGGTGTGTTTGAGTCCAACAAGCGGTCGAGACTCCAAGAAATGAGAATTGCACACCGTTCGATCTCGTTGCTTTTTCGGTTGCGTTTAGACTTCCCGTCGTGCGCCGGAAGAAGATTCAAACAAGATCCCCTACGTGGTCTCAGGGAAACAAGCAAAGAAAACACACAACAAATTCTAACCTGGAGGCTAATTTTAAGACACGCATCGAACGGTGCCGTCAAGCCACCAAAAAGCCTAAAGCCACAAGACCGCTTTTACTTGAGCTCGAGGGTTCGACCAACACACCCGTGATACCGAAATTGGAGAGACCTTTTGAAACAAGCCGGTTCGTCCGCTCGTGCCATTAGGTTTGGTTCGCCTATTTCGTACCCGTCGCGCAGTCAGCACTCGCCATCACCTCTCAAGTCTCAACTTTGGTTCCCTCCCCCATGATCTGCCCGCCTCCACAGCATGCCACTGCCAAGCGCCTTTCGGTACCTGGCTACCTGGCAGATGCTGGCATTTTTCTCGCATTGTGGCCCATCTCTCCACACTGGAGATGAACTCCGCCCACCAGCCTTATCCATCGACATCCATGACATCCATGCGAGAACACGCGGAAACATGATGGCTAATCAGCGGGCAATCTAACGAAAAGACCCGGATGTGACTGTACGGAGTACGGGGGTCAATTACCGCAGCCTGTACTTCAAAGGTGTTCGCAGGCAACCAACACGCCGACAACATCAACATTGCGAATGGAGTCGTCTCCGTCAGGACGAAGTTGGGGGCAGGAAACCGCGCAATCCTCATTCCCAGGTATGGGGAACGTCGCATTCCTGACATTGACTCCCTATGCAGCACAGCAAACCATCCTTGCCTTACACAAAGAGCAGAGTCAGCACTTCAGACAACGTATTATGCAACAACAACGAGAAAACCTGGCTTCGACGTCGTAGATCGGCACAGCGTCATTTTACTGCCTTTGTACGGTATGCTCCCGCAATCAGCCGGATAACCCGAAAGGTAGGCTACCTCATGGAATGTTTCAATCAATCCTAGCCAGACCTGCCGTGTTCCTTGTCTTGATCTGAGGGAGATCTCCTGCTGCGCACCCGGTTTTTTGGACGTGGGAGAAGACAGACAGAGACAGCGCCGTAGCGGCGATCCGTACATCGGCCTTATGCAGCTTCGCGACAAACCTATCTCTCATCTTGCTCGTCTTCCCGTACGTTCCTGCACCAGATCAGTGTAGCGTCCAGGATCGTTGATATTCAAAGGCCATTCATCAATGGCCAAAATCGCTACACTCAATCATCATAGCGAGCGAGCCTAGAACAATATAGATCCCACCCGTTCATTTCGGAATTTTCAAGCGGACGCTTCGGAGACAGCCTCTTCCGTCAGTCAGAGCGTAGCACACATAGTCTAACGTCGAAATAGAAACCTATTATTTCACTTTTGTCTATCCATATCTCTTCGCGTATAGTCGCGTCGCGAGTCCCCACAGTTCTAATCATTACAAAGCGATGCAAATAGCCACTACTGATCGCTCTCCTTTCTAGCTTCGCTCGTGTAGGTCGCGATTGGACTTTACCTTAGCTGGTAGCCTCCCGGTTCAGTGTGCCAAACATGGCAGCTAGAGCAAGCCATGCGATCGAAGCATTTTCACGTCCCTTGCTTCGAGACTTAGTCTATGCTCGTAGCTGGCAGAGCTTTCCTATAGCTTCAGCCATCTAGGTGCAGAGTCGCAGAGGTCCCAGTCCACCCCCACGCTGTCTGTCTCCCATCTCGTATGCTACGTCGAGCTCAATTAAGTACATCGAGCTTCGCACCTTCAGCTGTCCACCACCAGCATCACGACCGGATCTCATCCTCAACCTTGACAAAAGTCGATTTACTGCGGAGGCGGCTGAGCACCCCATTGGTGCGGCGGCTGAGGAGGCTGAGGGGGCTGCTGGCCTTGATATTGTCCTCCCTGTTGTTGCGGCTGGCCTTGTTGCTGCTGCTGCTGCTGTTGCTGCATCTGTCCAAGCAACGCCGCAAAGAAGGCCGGGTTGATATAAGCACCCTGCTGCGCGCCCTGCCCAGGCTGACCACCTTGCGTCGGCCAACCCGGCGGCGGCGGCGGAACGGCAGAGAAACCCTGCTGTCCCGGCTGCGGCACAGGCATCCCGGGGAACGGGAAGTTGAACGTCGGCGCCGTCGGCGCGGGCGCACCCTGCTGCTGCTGGTTGTTGTAGCTCTGCTGGGGCGCCTGGAACCCGGTGGCGCCGGCGCCGCTCCATTGTCCACCTTGTTGCTGCTGATGCTGCTGTTGATGTTGCTGGTCACCGCCGCCCGAATGATGTCTCTGCGGCGCCGAGTATCCCTCCCTATGATCCCCGCGGTTCCCGTACCCGCCGCGTCCACGACCACGTCCTCCTCCCCTGCCCCTATCGCCGCGTCCCCTAGAGTCACCACGTCCACCTCTACGCCCACCGAAGCGGCCCGGTTCAGGCTCCGTGGTGAAACTCTGCTGCGCAGGCGGCGCCTGGCCGAACCCAGGCGGTCGCGCGAGGGGCTTGTACGGACCATCGTCCTCGTCGTCGTAGTTGAGTCCGCCGTCCGTAGAAGGACCGGCAGCCGCGGCGCTGACCTCATTCCGCAGCGGATGCGGCTCGCGATGATTCCTGCTCCTCTTCTCACTTGGTCCACCACGTTCACCACCGTCCTTGCCGAATCTCGCCTCCTTCTTCTTCTGCTTGATCTGCCTCTTATGCTCCGCCTCCTTCTCGTCGTCCGAGAACTCCATCTCGTCCTCGGCAATCTCCTCGTCGTGGATGTTACTCGCATCCGAGCCCTTCAAATTCTTCAACGGCTGTGTAAACACAAACTTGGCGTGCGCGGGCGGGTAGTACACCTTCACGCCGACAGCCAGCCCGGCCTCGGCAATCTCCTCGGCCGTGGAGAGCATGACGGTGTACAGCGGCTGCAGCACCTTGCCAATCGTCTCCCACACCACGCCAAACACTTTCCGGTCCTCAGTGCAGAGCACCGACCCCGTGTCGAGGACCTGGTACTCGCCCGGGGTGAAGGCCCTCACCACCATGATGTTCTCGACAATTTGCTCCACGAGCCCGAGCTCTTCAATCTTGTCGTCCGCGGTGAGTGTCACGTCGGGCTTAGCGGGGACCGTCACGTCGGCTACTTCGTTCTTGGTGCGCAGGTGTCCCGAGGCGCCGGTCCCTGCACCGCCGCCGTTCTTGCCGTCGCCTCCGCCTTCGTCGTCTGAGCCGCCTTCCATCTCCATGAGCATGCGCGCCGTCTCTTCTACGCCGAGGAGCTGGTAGCCACCTGCGTCGGAATCGTCGTCCGAGTCCGAGGAGGAGTCGCTGGAAGAGTCGGAGGACGACTCGTAGGGCGAGGAGTCGGCTTCCCACTCGGGGTGTTCGCCTTCGGCAGCGGGCTGTTGTTGGTCTTGGTCGGCGATGGAGGAGGTCGGGGCATCGATCATTTGGGGTCTTTCGAGCATTTGAGGGGCGTCAATCATCTCTGGTGCTGCGGGTGCAGGTGCGGTCGCAGATGCGGGCGCAGGAGCTTCTTGAGCTGCTGCAGCGGGCGCCTCTTGGGGAACTTCGACTTGTTGGGCTGGGGGAGTGTGATCGAGACCACTGATCATGGCCTCGAGGGCGTCAGTCAGGGAAGGGGGCTCGGCGGCATCGTCGACGTTCATGGCATCGGGGTCGGTGGCCTCCTGTGGTGCGGCTACGGGTGCCGCCGCGACGGGCTCTGCTGTTTGCGCAGGCGCAGGGGCGGGCTGCGACTCGTTCGTGCTCTCTCCCATGTTGACATCCTCATTCTGGCTCTGAATCTGCTCCGAGGTGCCGTTGGCGGCGGCGATAATCTCGGGATCGACGCCCTCGAAGCTCGCGGCGGCAGCGAGAACATCGGCAGGCACCGGCGGCAGGGTCTCGTTGGGTTTCGCGAACCCCAGGCCGGGGATCTGGAAGCCTGACATGGTGAAATTTGTATTTGCGATCGGTTTTCTCGCTAGTATGTCGTCAATTGAAATCCAGTCGAGCAGTGTGAAAAAGTTCTCAAAAGACGAGTACAACGAAAAACCACAAAGTCTTGTTTGGAGCAGACTCGGGCGCAAGAGAAATGGAGAGTTGGGGAGGAGGATCCGATAAGAAAATTTTAGTGGGGTCTCTGCTTTGCGATAAAAAATAAACTGGGTCTTTCTCGGTCAGTCACCGCAAGTCCTGACTTTCCTGGCCTTCGGTGACACCTTCCTGCCCCACCTTCACCGAGCTCACCGGTCGCTTCCGACTTACACGCTCACCAATACGTACCTACTTTGTTATATATGTTGGGTCGTACTAATTCCTTCGTTCCTGGCACGAGTGCATCTTCTTCATAGTCACAACTCCATTGTCCGCCAACACGAAAGCAGAATCTGCCACTTCGCCGCCCAAACCCACCACGCAACCATGGCCAGCTTCTTCACTGCTAAAAAGCGAGCCTGCGATGCGTGCCATCAGAGGAAGGCATGTGCAACAGTGACTCGTGGCTTTTGCTTGCTTGACCTTACTGACCATAGGTGTCTCAACTGCAGATTCAATGTGACGCGGCCGTGCCCCAGTGCGACTGGTGCAGCCATCACCAGCTACAGTGCACCTTTAACCGTGTCGTGCACCTGAGAAGACGCGCAGCCCCTACCACACTGTGAGTTGTCATTGCGTCCATTGTGAGATGCTTGTCCTCGCCCACGAATGCGGAGGAGGGTGTTCGGTTCATCGAATGGCGATTAAGAGCTGTTGACTTGTCTTCTTAATAGTCAGGTGACAGCAACGACAAGAAGCAGCTTATCCTCGATCCCACAAAGCGCAAGCAGAACCAGCAGCAACGATGAGGTCGACACTACGTGCATGACCAGACCTCCATCACGTACCGACACCCATATGGCATCGCTTGCAGCCTCGCCTACTGTCACTATTTCGATCGCCGGCCTTGAGGGCTCGTCGTCGTCCTCCTCCTCCTCCGTGCCACCGGCATATGGATTAAGATTTGCCCGATACTATCTGGACGAGATTGTCTCGCCCAGCGGTGCACCTTTCTTTTCTGCCGACCATCAGAACTGGATTCGCCGGTGTACGGGACAGACTGACGTCTTCTCCAATCTGTCGAGGCTCGATTCATCCGGCTGTGCCGGAGGCGACTTCTACTCGGCTGATTACAATCAGGTCAAACTGCCGTCCCGACATGTCGTCGACGACTATCTGCAGATGTTCCGGGCGACTCCCTTCCGACTCGTCTTCCCCATCGTCGACGGTGTCTTATTTCAAGAAACCATCTGTCAGGCTTACGATCCGCACCATGCAGCCAACCCAGCAGCCCAGGCCTGTGTCTTCTCTTTCCTTGCTATCATTACCCACACCGAATGGAGCCTGCGCAACACGGCCGTCATCATTGATAGCGAGGCATGCGTTTGGCAGGCCCAGCGCCTGATGCCCCTGGCCCAAGCGAGCCAGGACATTACGGGACTCCAAACTTGCCTTATGCAGGTGAGTTGTGGCTCCACAAGGGGGAGTAGAGGCTAAGCTGTGCTGTGCTTACTATGGAATGTACGGGTACATGTCGGCTTCTAACGTGAACCAGTGCATGTATCACCTCTTCTACGGCAAGATTCAGAGGGCCTCAATGGCCCTTGCTCTTACCAGTCGCCTGTTGTTTGCGTTGGGAGCACACAGGCAGCCCAGCGCAGGCAGCGATGCGCCCGAGCAGCAAAGCCGAACAGAAAGCCACGCGCGCAAGCTTTTCTGGCTCTGCTATACCTTTGACAAGATCGTGGCGCTTCGGACCAGCCAGCCTCCCTGCATCAATGACGAGCACTGCGACCTGACACTACCTCGGGGTTATGTAGAGGGGCTATACGTTGACCACAATGACATTAGTAGCAGCAGCAGTAGTAGCGGCGCCCTCTGCTGCCTGCCGGGGGATTTACGGCTGAGCATTATCAAGTCCAAGGCCTGCAGACTGCTATACTCGATCCGCCTACAGCAACATCACCGCCCGACCCTCAATGCTGGGTTGCTGCGTGAAGTGCGCGAGCTTGACAGTGAGCTGGAGCGGTGGCGTCTCTCCATCCCGGCCCGGTTCCGGCCCATGCTGCTCGGCCGGAGCTACGGCGGCAACAACAACAGCGCCTGGTGGCTCGACCCAGCTTTGGACGCCAGCCAAATGATGCACGTCATGGTGCTGCACTTTGAGTACCAGCACCTTGTGGCCGCTCTGCACCGAGACGCGAGCCCATGGCCCACCTGGGGAAGCGAAGCAACCGTATCAACGGCGGCGACCTTACCATTAGGGTCTAGTCAAAGTCAGACCTTGTCGATCGAGGCCAGCCGGTCTTGTCTAACGTACTTTCGCGATGCTGCTCCTTCCCTGATGGGAGCTGCCTTTTGGTGAGCCACCCCCTTTTCTGACTTTGCCCTCTGCTCCTTCAATCCGACGGCCAGCTGCTGAGAAATGTGGGGTTTTCATCACAGGATGCTACTCTTCTACCCCGTATCTGCAGTAGTCACTGTGTTTTTCCATCTGTTGCGAAATCCACTGGGCGATCAGTCGGTAGATGACCTCAGACTCCTCGAGTCCATCCCGAACTTCGTGAGCGTGGACCGTGCCAGAAGTTCGATCCCACCCCATGGGCTCGACTTGAACACGGTTGATGATTTTGTGGCTGAGGTGATCCGATTGTCCAAGTGTGCTATGACTATGGCCGCCCACGTCAAGTATCTTAGGTAGACCACATGTGTGTTTGTCGATGACGCTTAACATCCTGAAGAGGTGGGAATGATCCGTGTTTGTATGGGTCAACAATAGGCACTGGCTTTGCTGGATCTTAAGAATGAATGACACCAGTAGATAATGGACAACAACTTAGACAGACGAAACGCAAGCCGTCCACAACACCTCCTCATATGGCCCCACCGCCGATGTCGGGTACCGCACTGGGCACGCGGCAGGCAGCCGAACCGGCCGAGTGGGTATACTCCACTTTTGGCCAAGCGGCCGACGACTACCGCGATACTAACATCGACGAGGCTGTCGACGTCTATCCGAACTTTGCGCCAGCGATCCCGGGCCAGTTGAAGCGCCACTCTTGCTGGGACAGCCTCTCGTATAACGTTGACTCAACCTGCACCTCCAATTCATCGGAGGTGCTGCTGGTCTGCTCGGCACTCTTACCCGGTCGTTTACGCGGGTCCGAGCCGGGGATCCTTCCCATCGCCCTCGGGACCTTGCCATACCTTCACGGACGCTGCTGACGGCTACTGCCGTGGCGAGGGCTTAGGCATTATCGGGTGGTCCTGAAGTACCTAGCCGATGTCATCGCCGACGGAGATACCGGGTTAGCTGTCGTCAGAGATGCGTTCCGCAGCTGCTTGGCCGGGCGCCGTCTCTATCACGTATCCCAGCACCGCCATGCAGCAGGACCCGTACCATGATCTACTGGCCCAGACTGGCATTGCGGCCGCCCAGCTTGGCTACGTCGGAATGCACGGCACTGCCAGTCAAGCTGGCGACGCGGCCAATATGTCTATCGTTGCTGCTGGCTTTGGCAGCGCCCGCTCTCCTGGCTACCTTACCCATTGTACGTGGGCGCTGTCAAGGCCAACGCCGGCCACGCGCGGGGCCGCTGTGGCCATGGCATCTCTCATCAAGTCCACCATGATACTCAAACACCGCCTGATCCCCGTCCAGACCGTCCCTTCTTCAGGCCGGCTCGAGCTAATCCGCCACTTGCCCCCTATCCACGACTTGGGTATCCACGGGGCAGGAAAGAGCCACGTCTTCCGCGCAGCCAGAGTCGGTTATGACCACAAGATAATGATCAACAACTCTGATATTGCGGTAAATACTCTTCCCTGCTCTATTTCAAACTACTAGGCTGACACGGGAGTGCTCAAGGGCGTCAAAGTGAGCTTGTTGCTCGAGGAGGGCAGCAACTTGCAGCAGCAGCAATACGAACATGGGGGTGACGGCCGCAAGTATCGTGTCGTAGTAGTCTCGGAACACATACCCCAAGTCCTTCGCCATGAACGGGCAGGGGTGCCGGAGCATCTTCGAGCTCACCCGCAGACCTCGCTGGTCAACGTGGCTTATACAGCGACGGCCCGCCGCGTACAGCATGCTTGCCGGACTGCCTATTTGTCCGATTCCATCAAAAACCTTGTACCTCAGCTGGAATGCAACGATAACGACGATATCCCACCAGTCGCACGCAGTGATGCTGGGGCTGATGAACACGGGAGCGTCGTCTTTGTCTTCCCGGCCAGAATATGAGGCGGAACTCGATGCTGCCAAGTTTCCCGTTAGAGGCCGATCCTGGGCGGGGATAAATTGCGGTTGCTACTGAACGTACCGCTTAGGTATGTAACGAACAATATACTATGTGCGCGTACTTCTTGATAAACATCCGGGTCATGAGAGTCATCGGGGACGCCCTCTTCCCGCTGTCGTGCTTGCGTATGCTGCTGGTTTGCATGCCTAGCAGGGCTGTGTACCATCCGAAAGAGGAAATTTGCCGCTTAGTCATAGGTGCTAGCTTTGTCTTCCCTGCCATAGCTTGCTAGCTCAATCATCTACATGGATAGTTGGAAACCATCGTCTATCAAGGACGACGAAAAGCTAAGGTTCACAGTTCCTAGTCTACTACTATGGACAGGCAGAAATGGGTACTTATCAGGATACCAACACTACGGCGTTGCCAAAACACCCTTTTAAAGGCGGGCATCATCTACTTTTGTTACCAGCGAGTTGTCTTCATGTTTTGTCCACATCTTCATCTATGAAGACCTGGAGGACCCCTTACTTCACCATCTCCTCTCACCTTATTTTTTACACTCTTGATAGCCAGCCCGACGCAAGAAATACAGAGATTAGATATGGATATCAGCGACTGCACCTTGAGCACTTGCCCGGTCAGCTTGTCCAGGATTGGGTTCCTGCCAAACCTGGGCGGTAACGCCTTCATGGTGGCCTGGTTCGGAATCATCCTGGTGGCACAGATAGTCCTCGCGATCCGGTATAAGACCTGGAGCTACCTGGTTGGCCAGGCGTGCGGGCTGGTGCTCGAAGTGGTTGGCTATGTCGCACGTATCAGGCTCCGCGATGACCCGTTCAACAACCAGACATTCATCGTGTAAGTGAATGCGGCCATCCCTTCCCGCCCATTTCCTTTTTTCGACTACACGGAGAGCTGACGTCTTCTCTTATTGCTCTTTTACAGATACATCGTGACCGTCACCATCGCTCCGGCCTTCCTATGCTACACCATCTACCTATGTTTCGGGCGCATCGTACTCATCTACGGCCCCCACGTGTCACTCATGCCCCACCGAACCTACACCATCATCTTCGTTACACTTGACATCATCTGTCTCATTCTTCAGGCTGGCGGCGCGGCATGGTCGCAGGCCGATGGACTCAACCCCCAGGATCTCGACCGGGCGCTCGACTTGCTGCGGGCCGGTCTGGGACTACAGTGTGCCAGTTTGGGTCTTTTCGTCCTGCTTTCGCTGGATATGGGAATCCGGGTGCTACGGAACCGGAGCATATGGGACACGCGGTATGCTCATGTCCGTCAACACAGAGCATTCACTTACTTCCTCATGGGTGAGTTTAAGTGTCTTCATTCTTGGCCCGTTCCTGTTGTGCTGATACTCTTCAAGGATCCTTTGCGGCCGCCGTACTGATCCTTGCCCGGTCTGCCTTTCGCGTCGAGGAGCTGCGTAACGGCTTCAACGCTGCGGGTGACAACGCCGAGGTGCTCTTCATGGTGTTTGAGGGCGCCATGATCGGCCTGGCTGTGCTGCTGCAGACCATCTTCCACCCAGGCTACATTCTTGATGGCGAGTGGCGCGCCACCAGCTTTTTTACCAAGCAGCCTGGCGCCCAGCACAGCCAAGAACGTGCGGCCGAGGGAGAGTCTGGCTCTTCTTTGCAGGCTTTGCAGAAAAATGGACATGAGTAGAGTCAGGTCCGTAGGGTAACGCCCGCGAGGGAAAAGTGCCTTCCTTTAACACGTTTAGCACACAGACTGGAATAGGGATTTGTCTGCCACTGCTACAATGGATTCGGCATCCATATGATGAAGTGAGGTTTCCTTGTGTTTTCCACGCAGTGCGCGCACGCTATCTGGGTACCTGACAGTGTTCGTGCTTTCGAGTCTGTTGCACACTATCTGATGTTTGCTTCGAACTGTTCCTCTACCTGACAAGGACTGGGAACAGCAAATTTGTAAATTATGTTAAGAAAGAAGAAATGAAAAAAAAGAGGATACAGAAAAAACACATGAATACAAAAACACATGCATTCCTCGCCTCTGTATCCTGTCTCTCGCTGCCTGTCTGTACGCCAACTGCGTCAAGGAGTGGACTTTTAGATTAGCTAGATCGCGAACACTCCACGACGGTCCCTTTAATATACTGACTCGTTTCCGCAGCCTGCGGCCAATCCATCATAGAGATGTGGTCAGCATCCACGACTCAGGTTTGAAGCTCCTGACCAACCAACTTCTGTCACCCGTTGGGCCCAAATGTCGTTCTCTTGGCGTAGAACCATGCCATCATCCCCGAAGCCGCATACTCCTTATTGTTGATAGCATCGTCGCCAAAACCAGCGCCTAGTCACCTCGTCCATGGCCGATGTCCTCTGGTTCGTCGTCCGTTGTTGCTGCAGCGAGATATCCGCGACCTAGCAGAGGCCCAGCTTCGTCCAGATTGTGTAGCCCGTGTATGGCTTTTTTCAGCGAACAGTCAACGGCAAGAATCTACCATGTCTATAAACCAAGTATGTGAAATAATATAGAAAATTGTTCATCGAATGTTTTGCAACATTTCTTCGGGGCTCTCCTAGGGGCAGAATTGGAAGTAACATGTGACTTACGGTGGTTTCTACATCTTGGTGCCACTCGATGTGTTGCCAAGCTCCCCTCGATCCCGGTCTTGCTCGTATAACACTAACGCGAAGCGGCATAGTCTCGCTGATGGGGATATCCCCACGTGTGGAATCGCCTGCTTGTCTCGACTACACTTTCACCAGCTTGATATCCTGGAAGTAGTTTTAGATCTGGAGATGGTACGACTTAGATGTCACCGTCTATGGAAATATTCCAGCGTAAGCGATGATTCTCAGACTAATGACGCGGGCGTGGTAGTCGTCCACCACCAATCACAGGGCGTAAGCAAGGGATTCCAATCATCAAAATGGTTTACATCGCCGCAGGAGGAAATGAAACTGCTACAGACATCTCGTATCCGAGATCCATGAGACTCAATCGTGGCTATGGCGAGAAATACCCCTCTACAACATCTTCGTGTTCTTGATTAGAGTGATCTTCCCCGGTTAGCTCGCCCGGTAAGGGTATGGTGGAGGAATGACTGCTGCCTAAGATGGACTACCTCTGTCGAGGCTCTCCATCGGGACATATCAAGACAAGCTTAATTGCTATATGGGCGTGTTTGAAACATCGCATTCTTGTAGAGTCCAGCTGCAGGTTATTCTTAGGCCCTGCGAAGTGACCCGCAGGTTGAGCACAGCCTACTTCTAATCTCCTTTTCTATGCAGCCCCGGATGATGCTCAGAAACCCCTCACCCTCCAACTAGTGTAAGTGGCAGCAATGATTGACTTGGCTTCGGACTTGGTGATGCCGGATGCAAGATGACGAGAGCGGTGGTGACGGAGGAAAGCTCAGGGAGTCCCAGCGAAGACAGGTTTTGTCTCGGAAGGGGTGTTTGCCATCTCACTCACTAGTGTAGCACCATACTCCCTGCTAAAAGCACTCCAGCAATGGGTCGACTTTCTTATGAATTTGTATATAAATCAATGGAAGTCCCGTCCAATGCTGGTGTATCAAAGCAGTATTCAGACCAGCGGAGAAGCATCTGGGAATCTCGCTCCTCTGCTCTTTTGACTCTTTACACCAAACCACCACATTCGTTCATCTCCCCCTTCAGTTACGATGGCATCTTGGAAACTGGCGGCGGCGTTTGCCCTCGTGGGGTTCCGAGCCGTCGGAGCTCAAGACTGTACATTTGACTCGATCACGCCCTCCCGAGACCTCGTCTGGTGTCCCTGTGAAGGCTCATTCTTCTGCGCCAAGCTCGATGTAAGTCACATTTTGAATCTTCCCCCTTTTCAACTAATAGAGATACCCAGGTACCTCTCGACTACAAGGACCCAAGCCTCGCCAGAGCCTCCGTCCCCTTACTCAAGATTCCCGCTGCCAGCGAATCCCCAGACGGCCCCTACCGAGGCGCCATCCTCATCAACCCGGGCGGACCAGGTGCATCCGGCATCGAGCTGGCGCGCTACAATGGCACCACAGTCCAAGCCGCAGCAGGCTCCAACTTTGACATCATAGGCTTCGATCCTCGCGGCGTTGGGATCAGCGAGCCCAGGCCCAATTGCTCAACAGGCATTTCGATAGGCAAGAATGGTCCACTTTCCGGACGAGATGCCCCGCGGGTGGTTGATGGGTACTACCAGCAATTCATCGACTTTGGCAAGGAGCTCGGAGAAAAATGTCAAGCTCAGGCTGGTGCTGATACCGAAGCTGGTCCGCATATGACGACTGCTGTTACTGCGCGCGATATGCTTAGCATTGTTGAAGCCTTTTCGGCTTCTCCTGACGGCAACCGGACGGTACTTGACTCTAGTAAGCTAAACTACTACGGTGTGAGCTACGGGACCATGCTCGGTCAGACATTCGCGTCAATGTTCCCTGATAAGGTTGGCCATGTTGCCATCGATGGACTGGTTGATCCGATCAGCTACCAGACGAACTTCACCTCGCGCTCCATCAACCACGTCGACGGCGTTTTGGGAGCGTTCTTCGTGTACTGTCATGCCGCAGGCCCGGATCTCTGCTCCTTATACACAGGAAACACTCCAAAGGATATTTTTAGCCGATGGAATGCTTCGTTCACGCAGCTCGATGCTCAGAAGGCTGAGGCAGAGAGCTGGGCGAACGCAACTGACATTGGTCTGGCACTTGTGACCTTCAAAGTCAGCGTACTTAGTGCGGTGGTGCAACCGCTGGCCGAGTTCAGCAGAATTTCTGACGTCTTTGTTGCCTTGGAGAAGGCCATCTCGTCCAACTCCATCGCTGCGTGGACAGAGCAGACTAACGCCATCTACGGCGACCCGAATTTGGAGGGATACGTGAACCCCGAACAGACTCTTGGCGTCCTGTGCTCTGATCAGAGCAATACCTGGTATGGGAAGTCACTCGCAGATATAAAACCTCTGTTGGACGTCCTGAAGGACACCAGTATCGTGGGAGAAGTCTGGTCCAGGGCGATGCTCGCATGTCTCGACTGGCCCATCAGATCCAATGACGTCTTCAAGGGTCCGTATGGAGGTAACACCTCGTACCCGATGCTCTTCGTCAGTAACACGTACGATCCTACGACGCCTATTGAGAAGTAAGTTGATCCTGCCTACGGTTATAAACCTTGCTAACGCGAGTTTTCAGCGCCATCTCGAATGCGCCTAAGTATGCCAACGCTAGAAGACTTGTCACTGATGGCATGGGTGTAAGTTCAATCTCAACATCTCCTTCACAGGTGCAATGCGCTAACAGTATCATAGCACACCACTGTCGCCACGAACAACATGTGTGCGTTCGCCGCCATTCGATCTTACTTCCAAGACACCATGTGTGGCAAGGAACACTACTGTCCTTTGGAACTGGGTCCGTTCAACGTTCAGCTGAACGGAACGATTAAGGAGAACCTTGAGGCTGTAGGACTATCTAACCTGCGCAGCCTTTACTGATGTGCTTGAACATATCTCGTTTCTTCGGGGCTTACCTCCATGGTCCGCTGAACATACATGGGAACATTGTCCTCACGTACATATTTGCGAATTTCGCTTCTCTTCTGCCATCCCCTTGGAAAAGGCATCATCATTGGAGGTATTTTACACTCAAACTTTTTGAGTAGAAAATAACTTCCAGACGAAGTTGATTTTGGAAAATGCGCTGGCGTGCATAACTAATTGCTCAACTCGTGCACTCCTAAATACGATGGACCCAAAACGTAATAATGAGCGCTTACAACTCCAAGCTGCCAACAGAACGAATCATACAACGGTCGTCACTCTGCAAGAACATTAAACTGGACCAGCCATGTTTTACAATGAGTGTCTCTGTCTAACATGCCTCTTCAAGTTGTCTTCACGACCGCCACGAATGGTCGCTTTACAGATGTGGCATCTGAGTGTTTCCTTGCGATGCGCAGACCTGTCATGTCTCTGTAGATCCCTTACGGTGCTGAACCGCAGAGAACATCGAGGCACCGCGCAGACATGCTTCCGGATGTGGCACCTGATATGCTCTCTGTACTATGTCAATTCACGAGCCGAAGTTGAGGATCTCACGAGTACACGAACCTAAGTTGCTTCGCATCTCCACTGAAATTTTCACAGAACGGACAATCGCCCGAGGTTGATAAATCATCCGAGTCGGACTCATCTCTGGAGCGTTTAATGCTACCAGTCCGAGAGAGGGGGTCCTGAGAACCCCAGTCAGCAGCATCGGGCTGTGCGCCTTGTTTGTGTGGAAGAGGTCCTTAGGGGCTCGCAGAGCTTGAGAGGAATACTGAAATCGAATTGTTGAATCCACTGCCGATAGAGAAGTCGAATGACTCAAGAGCGTGGACAGACTGGTCGTCTGGGATGCCCAAAGAAACGAGGCCAGTATCGTTGCCCTGGCGCAAAGGGGTCACACCTGGACATTGTGCTGTCAATGGTGTATTGTCGGTGATACGCAAATCTGCGAGGGACTGTTGCGGAGCATGCAAACTGTTCCATTCGAAAGCATCAACAGCTTGGAAATCCAGTTGACTGGTATGTGCAGACAAGTTGTTGATTGAGTAGGGTACATTGCTCAGGTCAAGATCCGGGAAGCGATCGTCTGAGAGCGAGGGGCCAGCAACTTGCCATGTGCTTCCGCTGAAGGAGGAGCTGCGTGAGAGGCTGTCGTTGGTACCATGAGAGCAACCACCAAGCGGTCCATGATGAAAAGCATGGCAGCATAAGTCATGTGGGCATGCTCCATGGGGTGAGATGTACGTCGCCTCATTGTTAGAGCCCAAAGTCAGGGCAGCAGGGTATGTGCGATCAAAAGTAAAGCCTGTGCTCTCTGGTGTTTGAGCTGAAGCCGGAGATGAAGAGCTAAGGCGATGTATTCAAGGTCAGCATACGTGTCTGGTAACATACCAAACGTTGGACATGGGGAGCCTACAGATTTTGAGACCATATAGTTGTGGGTGGATGAAGACAGACTTCATCCCCCAAGCTCGGTCTCAGACTGTGAATAAAGTATGTTAGGTCTGAAGACATGTTGAAAGTTCGCTTCCGATTGGGACTGAGGAACATGAAGACTCACAATATTAAAATACAAGTTCGGGGTGGGCAAAGACTTTATATTTATATTGACCATGGTCTAGTAATATGAATCGCGATACGTGGAGAAGCGGACGAGAAGGAGATTCAGTGAGCCCATCAAAGGACCTGTGTGAGGAAAACCAGTCATCTTAAATACATGATGCTATGCTACCCGAGCTTCATCCCTTTCATGATCATGGGTGCGGCAAAGTAGGTGGATGAAGCAGTATGGCTCAGGTTTGATAAGCGGAGTAGATCGTGTGTGCGTTTTCGTTGTGTAGCCATGGTAATTCGAAGTAATGGTTAGTCTCAACACTTCTCATGGCAGAGTGGGCGTTTTCATCTTTTTATACTTGAGCCAGGAGAGTGCGCCAGACAATAGCGAGACGACTGGAATGAGCGCCTCAAAGTAAGCAAGCGCGTGGCCTCAGACAGCGCCGCATCCAACATCGAGTAAAATCTCAATGTCTCCGCCTCATTCGTGAGGCCACACCGAAGATGCACAGCAAAGCTGCGCATGACGCGTTGTGCATTGAAATAAGGGAAACATGCACTATCTCAGTGAGCCTCCCAGCCTGCCTCGCGGATGAACTCGAAATAACCGCCTATCAGGCATGGGTATATGTAACACAACCGCCCCCCCTCCCCGCCTGCTCCAACCTCTATACGCCTTCAAAGATAAACCGACACATCATCAAAATGTCACTGGAAGACGCTAAAGACAGCCTACAGATGAGGCCCTTTATATGGGACACTCGGACGGGACAGAGAGAGGGAGGAGACAAGACTCGATTAGGGGTGTCTTGTGATCTTCCCTGATGATTTAGAACTCCTTGATCGAGCTCGTCCGCATCTTGGCCTTTCGGTGCCCCGAGCGAGGTTGCTCAGCGCTGACTTTTCATCAGGCAATTGCGCACAAACCCAATGGCACAACAATATGCAACCGTATGTTTCAATTCCTATCTGCTTATACAAGCCTCGTGATATGAATTGTAGTTCTGACAATGCGACGTGCGGGCGGACTCAACCCGCCAAAGTCGTATTTTTTTCCTTCCCGGAAACAAAGAAAAAAAGCATTCCAAATTCTTTTCCCATGGGGTATCTTTTAGTACCGTCAACGCCAAATAATCGGACAAAGTTTCCCTTCGTTCCCATATACACTTGATGTGCAAAGCCTCGTTCGTTGGCGGGTACTATGTAAGCGTCGACAGAAGTAGTGACCGCCGCGCGGTGAAGAGCGAATTCAAAGATGAAGGCGATGATAGAGGTAGCAAGCAAGCTCAGTAGTAACCGCGGCCCTTGGCACGACCATGGTGGTTACGACGACCGCCCCAACCACCGCCACCGCCGCCCTCATGACGCTTATCGCGGTGGTTATGGTTGTTATTGTTGTTGCCGCCGCCGCGCTGCTCAGGCTCAATGGGAACCTCAACCTCGACCTCGTACTCTTCATACTCGTCACGGTAGTAAGCCTCGACCTCCTTGCGCTCCTGGCGGGCGCGGTCCGGGTCAAACACGAAGCGCATGGTGCCGTCCTGGTTGCGTCCGTTGCGCTTAGCAGAGTTGCTACCAAAGAAGGAAATATTCTTGAGGACGGAGACGCCGTTGGAGAGGTTCTCGTCCTCGCCGCCGTCGCAATTGGTGCACCAGTGGGCGTAGCGCACGAGGCCGGGGGTGTTGTCGACCTCGCTGTTGATGACGATCTTGACCTCGATGAACTTGTTGAGGTCGAACTGGACGCCGAGCTTGGTGGACTTGCCGTGCTGGGTATAGAGGTCGAGGAGGTCGAGGACCGTCTCGACGACGTTTTGGCGCGTCGTGTGGAAGTCGGCGTAGTTGATCTTCTCTACCTTGTCGACGCCTTGGCCGAGGAGGCGGGCGCTGAGCTCGAGAAGGCCTAGGGCCAGGGCGTAGGTGGTCTGCTTGACCGGGGCAAAGGTCTTGTACAGGTCGACGCTCATCTCCATGGCGGTAGCGAAGACGGTCTTGGACTGAGGACCCAAGATCTTCTTGGTTGCCTTGAGCAGAGCGGACTGAGGGTAGCGGCAGCGGAAGTCGAAGCCGACGGTCTCGAGGACCAGGCGCTCCAAGCCGATGATGATCTTGGAGGGCTGCTCGAACATCTGCGGTTGGGTTAGTCATGGTTATGTAGTAAACTGCTGATTCTCACGCACCTTGTCGTCCTGGGTCGTGGGGTGCTCGGGATTCTTAATGTTGTACGCCGCACACAGGATCTCCCTAGACTTCTTGATGGTGTCCTCGACCTTGCAGGCCAGGAAGAGACAAGCCATGGCAGCATCTGAGTAGTTGTACTCAGCGTCGCGGAACGAGAGTCTGAACCAGTGGAAGTAGACACAAGCAGTGTCAAACGTCTTGATAGGACTGCGAGTCAAACGTCAGCATCACCACTCCAGTAAGATTCTGCCATAGTAACCAGAACGAGGGTCCAACATACACGCGCAGCATGGTGCGGACGTTATCGATGAGCTGCACTCCCTGAAGACGGTAGCTATCCTCCCTAGCTGGATCGCTCTTGTTGTCTCGCAGCATGCGTCTCAATCTCTGCTCGCTCGTGAACTGGCAAGACACCTGCATGTGGCCAGGGTGAGGACCCTTGGCCGCCGCGGGCTCGGGGGCGGGTGCCGAGTTGTTCGTGGCAGCAGCACTCTGCGCAACGCTCTGCGCCTTGGGGCCAGAGGGAGCCATTGTGTAGTTGTCGTCGCAATCTTTGCCAGCCGTGTCTGAGTCACCCTGCAATGTCTGCTCGTTCTCGTCCGCGAAAGCGTCGCCACAATCGAAATCGCAGTCGAGGTAGCAGTCGTTGTCGCCTACGGTGCCAGAGTCGCCAGAGTCACCGGAGGAGTCGTCGTCTGGGCTGATGGCTAGGTACGAAGAACGGTTGATGGGAAGCTGGATCCAGCTGTAGTCATCGAACCAGACCTTGTCTCCCTCGAGGGGCAGGTCAAGGGTGGTGTCGTCTTTGTGGAGGTTGTTGATCTGTTCCAGCGTAGCCTCCGAGATTTCGCGTCCGAGGGTTTCTAAAACGGCCTTGTAGATGTCCGGCAGAGTCGCAGTGGGGTGGTTGAACGGTGCTGGACCTACGTCCACCGCGGCGTCCCAGTCGACCTTTCTTTTGCGCACGGACCGTGTCACCCAGTTGGGGTGCTCCACGACTCGGAGCCGGAAGCGGGGCGGTTCGACGGACCGGTCTTGTCGATGCAAGACTCGAATCAACTTGGGATGACCGTCAACCGTGAAGTCGAGTTGCTTAATCTCGGAGGTTCCGGGGATCGAAGAATTGGTACGAACATAGTATCCGTTAAGAGTAGTCATCTCAGCAGGAATAATCCCGGGGAACTTCATCTGTGTTCATTCATCGTGTCAGTTCATCATCCATCTTTATGTAAGTGAGTAGTAAGCGCTCTTCCGACAGGGGATGGAGTTTCGAAGATTCTTCACATGGGCCAATATCCCGGAAAAAAAAAAGACAGGTCATTGTCCAGTGTCCTCGAGCGAGTATAGGAAACCGCAAGCTGTCTCGGAGATGGTAGGACATTAACTTGCCATGATGTTCAGAGAGGGGAGAGTAAAAGAGAGTGTAGGTGAGCTTGTAATCAGCTGGTAAATAAGAATCTGCTCGACGAAGAAGCTGCTTGATGTCGAAGCTGAGCTAGAAGGATAGAGATCAAGACAGTTCAGTTGCCAAGTAAGCTCAGTCGATAGAGAGTGGTGAAGGCGTAGATCCCAAAAGCGAACGTAGAGACTTCGAAAAGAGAGTATTGAAACCTTGAGTTGAAGCTACAGTAGCTTCGTAGAGAGATTCGCAATACAACTGCAATTGTCGATATCGAGATAAATGCCCTTAGAGGCGACGGCCGAGAGAGCACGGCGAAGCTGTGGTAACTCAACGATGAAGGTATCGTCGACTGGTTGAGTATGGGAGCAAAGAGTCAGAAGAGAAAGTGGTAGATATCTCGGCGTCTATTTCTTTTCCAAGGGCAGGTTCGAAAGACCGCCTTCAAAGGTAGGTACAATAATGTTCTTTCCTTCCCCAAACGTTTTCCCGTTTCCACTAAACGAACTCGGAGAGTCAAAGTCTCCTTTCCAGCTGCGTGTGGAGTTGAGGTACGGCTGGTGAGGCCTTGAACCCGGGCCGTGTTGACAATGGGACCGAGGAGTCCCGTCTCCTGAACGTTCCTCTTCGCAAATTGAACATGCAGACTAGTGATAGGGGTATCTGAGAGGAATGTTAGCCATGTGCCATGTCTCATGTCTTTGGACAACAAAGGGCTGAAAGGAGTATCAGAGTTCGGCTTGGTGTCATTGTATACAACCAATGCCGTACTGAAACGTCGTTGACGGTATACAAGTCGTAAAACAAAGATGCAATGGGCGTAGGATGTTGTTGTTGTTGTTGTTGGATAAAGACAAACCTTTTTGATATCACTGGTCTACTCGTAGCACCGAGTAACATACTAACGTATCCGTGTCCATCCCTCGGCGTTATGTTCGAGAAACGTTGATAGAGCCGCCCTTAACTTTCCTCGGTGCTGTTCCACAAACCGCCTTACTCGTCACAAGTATCCGCCTGAGGAACACGTCGGTCGATGGCAGGAACCACCGGTGCAACCGTGTTGGGGTCCAGCGTCGGGACCTCGAAGGTCTTGAACGGCGCCGCCAGGACGGCAACCGGGAAGAGGACGTAGAGAACCTTTGAGAACTGCATTTTGATCGGTTGTCGGACTGTGAAATGGAAACGTCTGATGAGAAGTGAAATGCAGAGCAAAGGCGTATATTTAGATTGAAAGATGGAAATAGAGAGATGCAGTTGTTCAGATCAGATAAACTCGACAACTCTGCAGATGGGTATTCAGTTCAATGAGCATACACCTTCGTTCCCGTGTTTCAAGTGCCGTTCGAGAAGGGAACGTCGTCCATACTTATGGAACCCTCGAACACTGCCCACCTACGCAACCCGCCAGCAAAGACGGTTCGCCCGAACACATGCCGTCCGAGCCAAGGCCGCAGAAAGATCGGCCGATCAACGTCGTCCAGCCACAAGGCTACTTCATGCACCCTTCGGTCTTCAGCGTCGTCAGCCTCTGTCCCTGTACGAGGGTGCGTCGTAGACTGTGGTGGTGGTGCTCCGGGGGGAACACCAGTGAGAAAGCCTGAGAGGCTAGGTTGCGTGAAACAGGGGACCATTTCTTGGTTGCATCTTTGGTCTCGCACCGAGAGCGTTTCAGAGGGGTAGAGAGGGCAGGGAATCCCGCCGACCTAGGATCTACCCGCCACTGAGCCGTTGACACTCACACGGCTGGGGGGAGGGATAGCCACTCGAGTCAATGGACGTAACGAACGTCTATGCTGCGTTCTACCACCATCCGGGAGCGACTAGCTCCCAGGAACGAGGGCCGACACTTGACGAGGCCCCCGACGGACTTGGCTGGAGCTGTTGCTGCTTCTAGTCTGTCTGCTGTGAACTTGGCAGAGGAGGACCGCCGGACCTCCAAGACTTTTGACCGACGTTGACAGGGGAGGCTAGGTCTATCGTCTGGCTTAGTAGTTGAACTTGAATGTCAAGGTGTAAGAGAGCACCGGGCCAAAGAGACGGCTCGAGAGCTGTCGAGGTTGAAGCTCCTGAGACGCTAACCCCTTGAGGCCTGGGAAACTCGTGAAATGGATGGAACGGACCGCTGGTAAGGTGCTGACCTAAGCGCGTGTGAAGGCACGTTCAGTGAAGATGGGTGGACGGGCTCTCGGAACATCCCCCAGCCCACATGTTTTGTCCGTGGCCAATGGGAAGCTCAATCGATAAGTTAGCAATGCATGGCGATAGGCAGGCGGCAACGGCCAAGCTCCTGCTCTCACCCAACCGCGCAACTGCAGTCCATGGGCTTAGGTTGGTGTCGTCAGCTTTCCCTTGCCACACTCCCCTCCGTCCCTTTGACATCCGAAAGAAAGACCAACAAAAGTCTCCCGGGCACTGGTCGCTCTCCAACCTCACAACCATAGTCCAGCTTTGATAGTAGTAGACGAATAACCAGGAAATACGAGATCACGCAATGAAGTCCCTCTCCATCCCCACGCTGCTCACAGTCGGCTCCCTAGCCACCGCAGCCTACACGGCCGCGACCCCGAAGCACCACACAAGCTCCTCCGACGACACCGACGACCACCCAATCCCCCTCATCGTCTGGCACGGCCTCGGCGACTCGTACGACGGCGAGGGCATCAAGCGCCTAGGCGAAGTCGCCGAGGAGCTCAACCCGGGCACCTTTGTCTACACCATCAAAGTCGGCGCGGATCCCAACGCCGACCGCTCCGCCACCTTCTTCGGCAACGTCACCACCCAGCTCGAGGAAGTCTGCGCCGAGCTCGCCGCGCACCCGATCCTCTCCACGGCGCCCGCCGTCGACGCCATCGGCTTCAGCCAGGGCGGGCAGTTCCTGCGCGGCTACGTCGAGCGCTGCAACAACCCGCCGGTCCGGTCCCTCGTCACCTACGGCAGCCAGCACAACGGCATCGTCGAGTTCCGCGCCTGCGGCGACGGTGACCTCCTCTGCAAGGGCGCCATGGCCCTGCTGCGCTTCAACACCTGGTCCGGCTTCGTGCAGAACCGCCTCGTGCCGGCCCAGTACTACCGCGACCCGCAGCCGGAGCAGTACGCAAAGTACCTCGAGTCGTCCAACTTCTTGGCTGATATCAACAACGAGCGCGAGCTCAAGAATGTGCGGTACGGCAAGAACCTCGCCAGTCTGGCCAACTTTGTCATGGTCATGTTTGAGGACGACACCACCGTCATCCCCAAGGAGACGGCCTGGTTCGAGGAGGTCAACGGCACCGAGAGCCTGCCGCTGCGGGCCCGGGCGATTTACAAGGAGGACTGGATCGGCTTGAGAGAGCTGGACCGCAAGGGCGGGCTGCGCTTCCGTCAAATTCCTGGCGAGCATATGCAGATTTCTGACAAGACGCTCAACAAGACCATCCAGGAGTTCTTTGGGCCGTTTAAGAAGACTTTTGAGGCTGAAAAGACGGTCGAGGAGGTTCCTGTCTTTGAGGAGTTGTAATGCGAGTGGATCAGAATGTTGGTAGTAACTTGCTGGAAGCGACACAAGGGAAAAGTGCAAAAGGGAAAATTGTACACTAGTTCTTATTGGTAAAATTTCGAAGCACGAGTTCTCATGGTTAATTTTTGTCTGAACCAACGCCGTACGCCACAAACCATGCATGGTATAATCCCGCACGTAAAACCCTCCTCCTTTTTATTTTTTCGGTACCATCTCTACAGCATGCCCTCGGTCTCAAACACATTTAGTTGTCGACGGCAGCCTTGGCCTTGGCCTTTTGCTTCTTCAGCTTCTCCTTGCGCTCGGCAATCTGCTTGTTGAGGTTCTCGTCGTCGCCCTCGGGAAGAGCCTTTTGCGCCGCCTCCTTGGCTGCCTTCTTGGCCTTCTTGGAGGGCTTAGTCGCAGTCTCGGTCTCTTCGTCGTCAGCACCAATCGACTTGCGCTTCTTGCCGACGTTGGCCTTCTCCTTCATCGCCTTGGCCTGCTCGCTGTCGTCGGCGACGATATCCTTGTCCTCGAGCCAGAGCTCGTCCGTCAGCCAGATGGGCAAGGCGGCGGTCTCCTGGCCCTTGACGTAGATGCTCTTTACGTTGGCCCACTTCTCGGGCACCCACTTGGTGATGAGGGCATCGACGACGGCGGTGACGTTGTCGGCGACCTGCTGGGGCTTGAAGCCGGCGTAGCCTATCCGGATGGCGGTGTTGGTGGACGGGGTGAGGCTGACGAGGGCGGCGCCGACGGCCTTTTCGATCTCGGCGGCAATGTCCTGCGGGGTGCCGGCGTTGACGGTACCGGGGGTTTTGGGGGCCGCCTTTGCGCGCTTGCCGTCTGCGCCGCGGGGGGGCTTAGCGGAGATGACGACGGGGACGGGACGCTTGGCGGTGGTCTTGTAAAAGGTCTTGCCGAGGGCCTTGGGGAGGCGGTTGACGATGCGGTCGTCTGCGAGGAAGACGTCGTGCTCGGCGAAGAGCTTGCGCTGGGCCTCGTACTGCTTGAACTTGGACTTGAGGTGGGCCACGTCGACGACGCGGGTGATGCGCTTGCGGAGGGCCTCGGGGAACTCTTCCGAGGCGACGATGTTCTTGTAGGCGCGCTGGGGGTCGGCGGTGATGAGGCATATCGTGGCGTCCTCGTCCTGGTTGAGGGGGTGCGGGAGGGTGATCTTGCCGGGCTTGAGGCGGGCGCTGTCGGCGATGTGGCGCTTGGTTGTGAGGGTGAGCCAGATGGGCTGGCTGGCGAGGTCCTCTGTCTCGTCGGCGAGGAGGTTCTTCTTGCCGGATTCCTCAGACTTTTCCTTGGCGGCCTTCTTGATGTGCGCCAGGAGAGCCTTGGAGGCCTTCAGGGTCTAAGGTTTCGCGCATTGGATTAGCGATCCGGGAAATCTTGAATGGGTGTCGAGGCAAACGAAAGGGAATTGGGAATGGTAGTTTTTTACCTGCTCGGGGTCAATTGAGGGTGTAACATCTTTCGATGCGACGGCGACGGTCTTTGAGGGAGCCATGACTGCGGGTTTGACGGGTTGGTTGAAGGCTCGTCTTGTGGTTTTTTTTTTTGGTTCTGGCAAAACTTCAACACTGCGACTACAGAGAGAGATATGGTGGGGGCGACCAGAAATCTTTGGACCGTCGTCCAGAAATTTTTTGGCCAAAACGGCAGGGATCATGTCCTGTCGGCGGATCCAGGGCGCCGGTGCCGATGTGGCCCGTGCTTCCCGTGCCGGTCTGGCCTGACCGAGGTGAGGGTTCGGTGAAGGACCTTAGCTTCAACCGCAACCACCGCGCCGTCGCGACTTGCTGGTTTTCTACAATGTTGGATTGAGTGCACATGTTGGCGTTCTTGTCCCGATATTGTAGCAAATTTTGCAATTAACAGTCTTGGATGAAGTTTCTGGCCTCGGAATTGACGCTCAGACTCTGGACACTGCATAAAACGGGTTGCACATGTCTCAACGCGTTGAGTGGTTGATATCGCGTCTTCAGATGCGAAGTCAGCCGAGGACAGCCGGATTAGCAGTCGACCAGCGCGTTCAGTAGCAACGTCTCAAATCTTTGCACCACAGTTGCGATTCGTAGAATAATCGACCAACGCTTCTTCACTCCTATTACCGACGGACATGGAAACTGCTTCACATACAAGTCTCAACACACGAGCATCGTCTCAGTCTGAAAACGGGTCCCGGCAACCAAGAGTCTCTGAAAAAGTGTGGACAACGTGGGTTGTGGGCCGGACTGCCATTGTAAGTTGGTCGGTCACTACTATGCACATGCCAACGAGTTTTTTTTCAATCCGATGGAATCCAATTGGGAATGCCGGGATCATCATTTGCCCAAAAGCCTCTGCGGGTCGTGTGAGAAAGAGATGGGAGGGAGCGCGACTTGCTTTAGCGATGCGGGGTGTTCTGTCGGGACGCGATGATTGACGGTTCGGGAAGACGTGGGTTTAACTACTTTCAAAGCACGGCTTTCCGGGTACAAAGTGTCTGGCGCTTCCTGACAGCTCATTTCCACCCGTGCTAGGGGACGGGTAGTCATATTCGCTTGTGTACGCGTTATAAAGACATGTTGATTTGGGTAAATCAAGGCAGCGAATTGCAGAGGATTCGTCAGGTTGGAACATGGTATATAGATCAAGAGATCATACTCTTGAGGGGTTAAGGGAACCCAAGCATTTCAAGAGTGAAAGACACTTTACGCGCAGCAAACACGGTCTCGCGATGCTCGTTTCAACCCCCTTCGGATTGCATTGCATGGGCAGCCTGGAACGAGGCGATCTGGGACTGGGAGTCTGGGACCGGTTTCCCGCATCCCAGTCGACGGGGCGGGTCAAGACTTGAAAGTCTCACAGGACGGGCAGACTTTTGGTGCAATCTATGATGCTTGTGGCAGCAAAGGGAAGTCGGATATAGCCACAGGAAGAGAGAAACGACCGTGCTCGGAACCAATGAATCCAGAGGAGGGTTTTAGACGAGAACCGGTCCAGTGCGGTATCGCGATTTAGGGTGTATGAGTCTCGGCTGTGAAGCACAGGGATAGACGAAGGACTGGGGTGAACAGCGCACAGCGATGGAATGCATGGCTTTTCTTGGAGACTTGGGCAAGACTGCCAGAGAAACCTCAGCTAGCTATGCAACGTACTAGTAATGTAGATTGCAAGCCTCTTGAGCTTGTCTTGGACACGCCATCCTGAGGGAGATACTTTACTTCAGTTACCTCACCTTACCTTCCCGGTTAGCATAGGTCACTCCGGCCAGGCTTTGGATGCGCCGGGGTTCGAATGGGCCAGACGGTTGGACAGAGTGGACTCTCATCCACCGGTGGCCTTGGGCGGCTAATGAGTATGTTCTTCAGCGCTCTTCGCCGTTGGATGGGATGGCCCCCGTAATGTCAAAGTACATTAGCTCATCATCCGTCAACAGCTGGGAAGAAGGATGAAATGCTGACCATCGGCAGCGATCGAAAGCGTGTGTGCGTGTGTGGTGGTGTAAGAGAAGACGCGCACCGGAAGTGGGCCAGCATTGGTTTTTTTTTTCTTGTAGCCTCTTACTCGTCTCTCACCCAAGAAAGCGTGTATGGTGGGGACTTGGAGACTCGAACGTGATTTCGGGGAGGCTGGATCGGATCTTGATGAGGGGCATAACGACCATTGTGAGGCCTAATGACTGCAAGTTTTGCACACAAGAGGCTGGAAGAGAAATGGCGGTCTACGGATAGAGAAGTCATGAATCTCAAGGCTCAGAATGATCATGAGAGTGAGCGTGAGAGTTGGTGATGAAGACGGAAAAGGCTGATGAGGTTGAAGACAGCTACAGGTACCTTACTCCTTGGGGAAGCAATTAAACTCCAAGGTTAGCGGGTGACCGCCGCAACAAGCTCAGACAACGGCCCGCGTCCAGCGGCCATGGCCTGGAAACACGGTCATCTTTAGCGCATCTACCCGCTGTGGCCATCCATCTTCCCGCGAAGGTACCTATAAACCCGTCCACCCTCAGCGGGCACGCGACTCTTGCTCCCCACTCTACGTACCTAAAGTACCTAAAGCACAATGCGAGGTGCCTGCACAGCACAATTCGGCGCGCGCCCACCAAACACGCGGGAGAGACGTGGACGCGCGAGAGACACGCTTCCCGTTTTTTGGGCAAGGGCCCCCCTCAAAAAGGTCCAGGGCCGCACCACCGGGCCTCCTTCCATCAGACCTGCAACCACTTTGACAGTCTTCACTCTTCCAAAGCCTTCTCTCTCTTTTTTTTTATTCACGTGTGGCCAGGCTTGGATCCTAGTGACCTCTTCAAGAGATATTCAACTTTGTTGAAGACCCTGTCCTCTCTACCTCTCTCTCCCTTCTACGGATATATCCCTCAAGACCTTGACTCTCGTACATCTCACCCCTGCCGGAAGAGCGAGAGCCACTTACACGCTTACCCGCACAACGCCAATATCCCACGTCCGATAGTCGAAGCGAAACCCGCGCCGAGCATAACGCGCCCACCTCCCAACGACGTGCAAGGAAACCAACTTTGAGAAATCACAAGAGGGAACACTGCAAAAGGAACAAACACGCTCTTCTATACTACTCGAACCGGCACACTCCCTCTCCTAGTCTGGGCATGCTGTCGTCGCCATAATGCTCGACTCGTCGCCCCAATCAAAGAACCAGGAGCCTACGCTTCCTCTGGCTGGAACCAAACGTCCTGCCCCAAGCCTTCTCCCGGCATTTGAACCTCTCTCTTCGTCCCCAGGCTTCCCTAGACCCTCCAAACGACAAGCTCGTCCCGGTTCTGTGGGAGCAAGCAACGCGTACCTGAAATATCCCACCCCGATCCCGACCTCGAGCACCGGCATACTATCCTCCTCTCCGCCCCGCGTACACTCAAGACCTGGTGGTCTGTCTCGGACACTCTCTACCGCCTCCGAACGCACTCCCCTCGGTGCTGTGAGCTCCATCGAATTGAACGAGAATGGCGAAACTCTCCTCATGGGCCGCTCTAGCAACTCGTCCCACTACCAGTTATCCGCAAACCGCCTCGTCTCCCGCATCCACGTCAAGGCCCGCTACGTGCCTGCTCCCTCCGCCCTGGAGCCCAACAAGATTGAAATCATCTGCAATGGCTGGAACGGGCTGAAACTTCACTGCCAGGGCCGCACGTGGGAGCTTCTCAAGGGCGATTCCTTCACCTCCGAAACAGAAGGGACCGAAATCATGATCGACGTTCAGGACGCCCGCGTCATGATCCAATGGCCGAAGCGGGACCGTCGCGACCGCCTCGCCAGCCCCGATGATTCTGCTTGGGGTGACTCGCCTCCTCGCTCCGCTGCCCGCGTTGCTGCCGACCTTTTGCAGTCGAGCCCTTTGCGCCGACCCTCGCGCATCGAGTCTCCAGACTCACCAACGGCGCATCTCAGCAGCTCGCAGCGACTTCAAGCTCTGTTGCCCAGGGAAGATGGAGAAGTGCAAATCTACGAGGACTCGAGCGCAGACGAGCCCGAGCTTCCCAAGCTGGTTGACTCGGGCACCATCATTGGTCAGAGCTTCGCTACCGAGGCCACCAACTCCTTCTCATCCGAACTCAGTGAGCCGGAAGACGAGAACGCGAACGATCCTGACGAGGAGAACGACCCGATTGTTCATTCTTTTGGACCATTTGGCGCCGATATCTCCAATCGCCTAGCCTCCATCACTACTGCCTCTCCCAAATTCCCTCCTTTCAAGCGGACAGGCCTGCCCACAGTCCGTGACGAGTCTAGACCCTCTAGCCCCATCTCGGCGCCACCAAAGTCGCCAGAGGAGGCTGAAGAAGGCGAGGTGCTAGAAGATGAGGAGGAAGTCAAGGAAGCGGAGCCCCCCTACGAGAACCCCACCGTCCGGAACCACGTCGTCAACCAGCTGGCCTTTTCGCGTCTGTCGTCCAACCCGCTGTCAACCATCATGAACAACCTGCCGTCAGAAGAGCGCAAGGGGTTGACAAAGGACCAGCTCCGAAGTCTGATCGAGGCAACGGCATGCATTGGCATTATCCAACGCCAGGGCAAGGACGCTGCTGGCAAGCAGCTCGAGAGCGAGTACTACTACGTTCCCGAGTTCGACGACGACGACCAGCGCCGCCTTGCCGTGACGGATGGTCTGCGCAAGCCCAGCCTGCGCGCGTGTCGCAAGCAGCACAAGGTAAGCCCTGCAATGTTGAGGAGTAAAGAGGTTGAGGTTAACATGGTGGATTTTAGCAATACTACTGGAAGCGCCCCCGTACACCTTGAGCCTTGTTCCAACTACCGCTTTTCATTCCATGTTTTTTCTGGGTTTCTATACCCTTTTTGCCTTGCTGAGGCTGAACTGATGCCCTGCATATACCGAGCATGGCCTCTCGTTTCTTCCCTCTTGCACAACACCTTTTTACTGTCTATACCTTGGCTCTCAAAAACCGCCATTGGGCAAAACCAACTCGTGTGTACTGGATGCATAGCGCAAGGCGTTTTTCTGTTTTCAAACACCTCAAAGTATTACTACTGTACGATTCCACTATTACTATACCTTCGGGACGGGCGGCCTCCATTATTTTATCCCAAAGATTCCCCCAAAGGCGCGCGACACAAATTCACCGTAACACGCCCACGCCTACAAACCTGGCCCCTACCCCGAACGCGGACCCCGTTAGACGAGATACATGCAGCATCCATGTTACGTTCGATTTGGAAGCGAAGAGTGTGTGTCTCTTGATTTTTGATGGATTTTTTCGTCTCGCCTGTTTCGTCTTTTACACCTGATTTTTGGAAGGGCTATACGAAGAAAGATGGGATATGAATTGGACTGGCGGGTGGTCGGTCACGGAAATGGGAAATGATGATGGGTGGGACGAATGGGATGGGATGGTGTTGGATGGATGGGAGGGGGGTTTAGAAAAGTTGAAGATTCATCTTCAATCAGAGGTCTGGCGAATAAAAAATCATGTTTGTTCTAACGAGGCTGCCAGCGATCTTGGATGACTTCGCATTCCTATTAGGATTTCCTTTGACAAGATGCAGATGATCCAACTGAGATGAAATGGGTGGTAATGTGGGATGTCCACGCCGTCACGCGCTCATCCCTGCCGCGTCTAGCTCATGCCCCCAAAACACAACGCATTCCAACCTTCGGCTCCGATTACATGGACCAACCATGCCCTTTTCTCACATGCGATTTTGAAGAGACTTATCTCCATTGCTGAGCCCCCGTCGCCAAACGATGCAATTGGAAGAAATGGTTCAAAGTACACGACTCCGTCCTCATGCTTGCGAAAACGACTCGATTCCACGTCAAGCAACCAAAAATGCAACGAAGGATGCCAGAATCTGCAGCGTGATGTCGTTTCGTTCGTTTCCCTGCGCGGTGATCCCGGAGCTCGTGTGGGGCCGGCTTGATGGGATGCACGGACCCTCGTTGACTGATAACGTCCGATAAGCCTAATTTAGTATGGGTCTGGGCCCCCCCGAACCTACCCCGCAATGACGGCGGTGGTTGCTTCTTGTTTCCTGAGGTGTAGGGTGGTTTATGGTGGTGTGAATGTCTCTTCAGATTGTACTACACGCACCGGGAGTAGACGGATGTGTAGCTGGGATATATCGTTGTCTGCTGATTGCGGTGAGAAATGGAGAAGATGGCGAGATTTCGCTGGTCGGTACCTATAGCAGTATCTATGGATAGGGAGGTAGTGCCGTAGAGGAGAGCTATCTACGATCCAGGGCGTATGTAATTGGTTATCCTACACATCGTCAGCTTTCTGTGCTGATCTGGGCAAAAGGGTGACAGTCGAAAGACATACGTTCGAGAACCGTTTTATGACGACGAGGGTGTATGTGTGCATACGTGATGTCAATGAAGGAGAGCTGCTGATTACATACGGTAACTATGATCACACAGATGTCAGTGGCGATATGAGGTGTTCTGGTGGTAACTAGCTAGCTCACCCTACCTTTCTTTCACGCTACCTAGGTATCTTACCGCCAACGGAACATGGGGGGAAAAGGCGAAAGAAGCTATGATGTTGTACGTTCAGCCCCTGCTGGGCTGATCATCGTCTGATACAGCAAGATTCTCAATCAGCACACTCCCTCTGAAGGCTGGCATCTATGCATCGGTTGGCGCCTGCGTGTTGTAAGACAAATGCTTTGGCGGGAAAGGGGGGGGCGGGTTCTAGAGCTTGGGCGTTCGTCATTCTTGCATTAGACGGGCGTGAGTAGCAAGGTAGCACGGCAGCACCGGAAGTGAAGGAGATAGACCAAATCTCGAGCATCTTTTACTGCAGTAACAATCACCGAGAAGAAGCATGAGGAGGAGGAGGAGGAGGAGGACTGAGGCAGAAAAAAAAGGTTAAACACATCCGGAAAGAGGGAGGTGGTGTGGTGGTGGTGTGCATGCAACGACAGACTTCAGAGGCACATTGGACCCTGAAAGTGGAAGGAAAGAACGTATACTGTAGTAAAGGAGGAGGTATATGGGAAGTTTAAAAGATCTCATTCCTCCTCTTCTCCTTCCCCGCTCATCTCTCTCGTGATACCTTACTCAACTACTTTCCGGTTGCTCTGCATCACCCCGTCGTCGTGTAATCAAACCTCTACATTCCAACGACTCCGAGTATAAAACACTCCCCACGCTCCCCGCCTTACCTATCTACCTACATCACCAAACCATACAAAACCTAATTGATACAAAATATCAAAACCCTCCTCCAACATCCACAAATAAATCAAAGATCAAAACCCCCCCCTCCAAAAAAAAAAAAACCACCAAACATAGAACAACCTCCAAGATGGCATCCGAACAAACTGCCCAGCCCGATACCTCAAACTACACAACCTTCACCTCCACCTCCAACAACAATAACAACAAACAGTCCTCCTCTCCCTCCGTCACTACCCCGCGCGCAATCGTCGAGTCCACGACAAACAGCTGGATACCCTCCTTCGAGCGCCGCCAGAGCTGGAACCATGAAGACCAGAAGCACGTGCTGCAAATGAGCCATATCGACGACGTGAAAACTGGTCCTGGGTTTACTGAGAGTTCGTAAATGGGCAACAACCAAAAATAATGAAGATTTGTGCAAACACAGACGAAATTGAGGATTAGGATTACGCTGTGGTTAATGGGGATGATGGGCGGCGGGAGCGTCAAAGGGGCGGGGGGAAAGGCCTTATTGGAAACGAGATTCCTTTGAAGCGATCCCTACGACAACTGAATAACGAGATTGGTAACAGAGAAGGGGACGGATGAAGTCGCCGTCGGATGGTCAGGAAGGCATGGCGTTCAAAATATTGTATTACTAGGTTGTACCTCATCGAATATGCATTATCTCCTCATACGCCCTCTTTTTGTTTGAAATTGCTGATGCTTAGGCTGTACAACACTACCAGTCAGTCACGCCAAATTGTATCCATCGCAACGGCCTACGGCAATGGTGAGAAGTGACTATTGCATCATTGAGCGTGCTATTGATACAATGGAGAGTTTGCCTGGCTCACGTGGCAGCTGAATCCTATAACCGGAAAAGGTATATACACCATCCCAACGAAATCCCGAATCAATCCGCAAAATCCTCCCTCACGGCATCTGCCTACAAGCTCTTGGGTCCCTGACCATCTTTGCCTCCAGTCTTAAAATATTCTCCAACGACACCAATCGCGTAAGAAATCCCGCCGACCCATACGGCGCCAAGAATAACCTTCTTGGCCCTGCTCCTCTTCGGCCGCTTCGGAGGCTCGAAATCCTGGCTGTCACAGGATATCGTGTTACGCCTCCTCAGCGGGCTGAAGGGAGGCGGGGGTTTCTCTGTTGTCTCCGCTCCGGGGTAATCATAGTTGAGGTAGCCTGTAGGACTGGAAGAGTAAGCGCTTGGTACTACGGGGTCGCTCCCCATCATGTCGATGGGGTTCACCTTTGGCGCCTGATATGTCGTCGGCTTCTCGATCGCAGGGGCGAAGGAGGCGGTAGCCTGCTCCTTGGATGACGTCTGTGCCTCACGGACCTTGCGGAATACCAAGACGTCTCCGCTTCCGGAAACAATCTCATATCCCTCCTTTTGCAGAGTGCTAAAGTAGGGGAAGAACTTGGTTGGGTTCGACAACCGAGGGATAACTTCCGCTGGCGTCAGTGGTGTTGCGCTGTCGGGCACAACCGACGTGGTCTCGGCTGTGTTGATAGCCTGCATCGTCGGGTCGTATGCAAGAATCTTGTAAATGGTAGGCTCCCGGGGTGCCCCGGTTGTGGTCGAGGATACCACAGCCTCGCTCTTGGCAGTGGAAACAGCTTCCTGTGCGGTTGAAGAGACACTGGCCGTGGCATCTGTCACGGTTCCATATGTCCGGACGTAGGAGGGCCAGGTCTGCTTACCACCGCACTCCTCAGAGTAGCTCACCTCAAGGCCTTGAGGCTCTTTTGAATACTGGTCAATTTGACCTCTCTTTCCCACGATGCGAGTGGTCCTGAAGGAAGAAGACCGGTCCAGGGATGGCTCCAGCTTGTGCTCCAGGCTCGGAAAACTCTCATCAAAGGATGCAGCCTCAACTTCGTCTTGATCTTTGCTCTCTTCAACCTTTTGGCTGTCCGCGGCAGCCGCAACAATGTCGTTCCAATTCCGCGAAAAGTCTTCAGGAAAGTCCCTGATATAGTTGCCAGTAAGGTTCTCCTTCTTGGAGGGAATGTGATCCCACGCCTTGTTTCTAGATTGGCGCACTGCAATACGGGCAGCCTTGCTCGAGATATCCCAGTTCACGGCATATCGGGGAAGATCAGCCTCAAGAATCTGCCGGTTCGTCGTGCTGTACTCTCTCCGGGACTGGCCCGAGGACGTCGGAATTTTGGCCCGAACATCGCTAGCTCGGAGCAAGTCCAAATCGTCTGCCTTCTCCTTCTCTGACGCCTGAGAAAAAGACTTGCGTCTGTTTGCCTTTGCAGCGATCTCCGCATCAAAGTCACCCAACCCCTTAGAAACAGGGTCGATGACGGCGGCAGGTTGGCCATCGGGCTCATTGTAGCGGAAAGACTCATACTGCTTGGCCTCGTCAAAGGCTTTCTGGTCCCAGTCATTCTTAGGGCGTTGGCTTTCGGGCTCGTTGTATTGCACAGGCTGATGCTTGGCCGCTTCCTCAGGCACAACCGCTACAATGACACCCTCTGGTGGCGGTGCATCACCGCGTTTGAACTCCTTGGAGTATTTTCCAAGATCCTTGTACTGCTTTGAGGCTTCCTCTGGGTGCATTGGCGGTTTGCCGTGCGGCTCATTCCAGCCAACAGGGTTGTAGGCATCGAGATCTGCGTATGCCTTGGAAGCCTCCTCCGGGTGCAGGGGAGCTTGTCCGTGGGGTTCGTTGTAAGACATGGGGCCATATTGGTCCAGATCAGTGTAAGCTTTGGAGGCTTCCTCGGGATGCACGGGGCGCAGGCCCGAGGGTTCATTGAATGAATGCGGGCGATACTTATGAAGGTCGTCGTAGTCCTTTGACTTCTCTTCGTCGGAACGGGGGCGTAATCCCTCAGGTTCGTTGAAACTGCTCGGTCCATACTTATGGAGGTCGTCATAAGACTGCGTCTCCTCCAAGACGTCCTTTTCGTTATGCATGATTGGGCCGTACCTGTGGAGGTCGTCGTAGGGCTGCTTCTCCTCCACCACATCCTTCTCATTGTGCATGATGGGGCCATACTTGTGTAAATCTGAATATCGCTCATACGGCTCCGGAACTTCGGCATTTTCATTGTGCATTACCGGGCGGTACTTGTCCAGGTCCTCGTATGCAGGCTGAGAGAGCTCCTCGGGAGGGCGGTCGTTCAGTGTCGGATTGGCATACTTGCCGAGGTCCTCATACTTGGGCGTAGTGTCTACCTCTTCCAGGAAGTCTTTGAGGCCCACCGGCGTGTATTTGCCCAAGTCGTCATATTTCGGCTCCTCGGAGAGTTGCTTAGCATCAAGCTTCTCATCCATGACCGGCTTGTACTTGTCGAGATCCGCATATTGCGGGGTCTCCACAACTCCACTACTGGACCCAGCTTCGGCCCATGGGGCATTGTCGATAGTGACATTGCCATACTCCTTGAGTTCATCAGCGGGGGGGACACCGTCTGGGAAAAAGGGCTCTTGAGTGTTTTTGTCCGAAGAGTTATCAAACACCGACTGGGGCGCGTGCGAAGAGTGCATTCTTCGGTTCGTAATCGGGTCGATGTCGGGCGAGACGTCGCGACCAGCAGCAGCCGTATACTTGCTTCTGGTCTGGCTACCGAGATAATTGCGAATGTTTTGCAGAGGGGATTGCCACAGGTCATATTCCAACGGATTGGCGCGCTTTTCGGAAAACAGAGCATTGATGGCACTGCGCTCGACGTCCTCAATGTTCTGGCCGGGCCGGGTACCTGGAGTTTCGCCCGATTCACCCTTCTTCATGTCTTCCCCTTTCACGTATCTGCCACCAGAGCGGGTATGGCCTTGTCTGATCCAGCATTGGGCCAACATCTTCTTCATCACGATTCTCGAGTCTTGAGCACGCGAATTTGGGTCCCAGGACAGCTTGCGATTGATCGATTCCATGTACTTGTATTTGATATGGCGTTGACGAAGACGTAGCTGACGCTGGATCTCGGGGTCCAGGTAGGATGACCACGCACCGAAGCGGAAGCCGCGAGTTTGGCCATAGTAGCTGGCCCTCACGGGTGTCTGATTCGAGGATACCAGTGATCCAACCGTGGTGGCTCTACCGGGGTAGAGACCGCCCGCCCGAGGCGAGGAGCGAGAGACGGTGGCGAGCATGATGATGGATTTTAGCTTTCTGCCTTTACCATGCTCCCGAGACTGATGACATGCAGAGGTTAGCGAATGATGATTCACACGAGCGCAGTCGCGAAAACTGCGGGCGCGTCGTGCTTTCTCAAGAGCAGAGAGTGGTCGGCCAAATGCGGCCAGCGAGTACTTGAACTCGAACGCACGTGAATAAACCGGAACGACTTACACGAGGGAGAAGTGAGGGGGAGAGCTGCTCGTATCACCACCCGCATGTAGGCTGTAAAAACACAAATGTTGCTTGAAACGAAGAGTTGAAAAGGGAAGAATTGAAAATCAATCCGCCACCTCGGCGATGTTAAGAGAGAGGCGAGCAAGGTTGGAAGGAAAGAGGTAGCGAGAGTTCAAAAGGTAGTGTACTGACGGGCCAGAGGGAGCAGTGAGCAGCAAGCGGCAATCAGCTGCGACTGGCCGGGTTGGGACACTGGTAGGTCGCAATGGGAGAGGTGGGATCCACAGTTACCGCTCCCTAGCGCTGCTCCCGCAGTGAGCCGGGTAGGCACTGTGGGCAGCGTGGGCTGAGAGCCACTGAGGTGCACGCCTAGGTGGAGAGCCTTCAGCAGGGCGGTTTGCGGGGTAAGCCTTTGCGGACAGTGGCCCTCTTGCCCGAGGAACGCTTGAAACCGCCGAACGACCCCGAATTGGTGCAGCTGGCCAGTGACGCAGGTGCAGAGTTGCGCCAGTGGCTGGAAAGTGGAGCACCGTGTCTTACAATGGAGCTGTGCTAAATGCGGCCCAATTGACGCGAATGGATAAGGAGTGGCTGATAAGAATGCAGTGTGCAGTGGTGCACGGGTGATACCAGAAAGTAGGTGAATCACGTGTAGAATGCTGACATAAGACATGCTGTCTCTGGGCACAGACGTGCTTACCTAAGGCACGCCGAAAACGCTTTGACCAGGCACTTATGACAGCATCATCAGAGGGAGCTTTGGCGGGGCATCTCGTCCGTTTTCATTCGCCGCTGTTGTACATTGGCCGGGGCTCAAATTGTTCGCTCGGCCTGAGTCAACTCGGTGCTGCTAGGTATTTGCGGCGCAACATTCTGTGGTTGCGACCCAAACTTTTTCTTTGGATTCGACTTCGTTTGGTCATCATTTTGCATTCACTACCTTACCTTGGGGGACGATACAGTCGGAGAAAGCCCTTCTTTTTCTAATAGACTTTTGCATACCCATCTCCGCTGCCATTCCCTCTCGCTCATCTATCTCCCATATCTCGAACAAGGAAAACAAAGAAGATAAGGTGGTGCCCTGCCCGCCGTATTTCGCATTTCGCATTTGTGCACCTGCATTGTAATTACCCCGCCAACGTCATATTCGAGCTCTCCAGCTGCCTTCTTGCGCCGCGCGAACTCCTGCATCTGAGCTACACCGATATCCCAACAACAATACTTCAACACTACCTTCATTCACACTAGATCATGTCGCGTGCCTTTGGTAAAAGCGGCCGATCATCCGACGCCGCGAGGGGCTTCGGCAGTCCAACCCCTGCTGGCTTCGGTGGCTTCTCTTCCGCCGGCGGTAGTGGTCTATCTTACCTCTCTGAGCCTCCCAACTTGACCTCCATATCCGATGCGAATGTCGTTGTCGCATTCAAGAACGCCCTCAAGAAAGATGCCACAACAAAAGCAAAGGCACTCGAGGACCTCCTCGCCTACGTGCAGGCTCACCCATTCAAAGTAGAAGCAGGTGTAGAAGAGTCTATCTTGGAAGCATGGGTACGATACTCCCAGGATATTGTAAAGCTTGATGACCGTGTACTGATTTGTGTAGGTTCAAATATACCCTCGCATCTCGATTGACAACTCCCGCCGCGTCCGCGAACTCTCCCACACCCTACAGTTCGAATTGATGAAGTCGGCACGGAAGCGCATGGAAAAGCGTGTTCCCAAGATTGTCGGCACCTGGCTTGCTGGCTTATACGACAAGGATAGAGTTGTGTCGAGGGCAGCAAATGATGGCCTCTCCTCGTTCCTCAGCAGCCCAGAAAAGGTCGCGCTGTTCTGGAATAAGTGCCAGCCACAGATCTTGACATATGCGACCGACGCTATCCAAGAGACCAAAGACACCCTGAGCGACGAACGATCCACGACAGCCGACGATGCTGAGGCCAAATACCTCCGGGTCATAGGGGCAAGTCTCTCCCTCGTACTTGGTCTCTTGCAAAAGCTTGACTCGACCGACATTCAAAAGGAAGAGGAGGCATACGATACCTTCTTCGCCGAAGAGAAGGTTTGGAAAAGCGTGGTCACGGGCGATAGTTCGGTTAAGAAGACGGCGTGCCAGCTCTTATGGGCCTGTCTCGACAAGAGATTTGACTCGGTATCCTCACAAATTTCTCGCCTGAAAAAGATATTCGTCGCCGAGGGGCTCAAGAGCAGCCAAGTAGGATCGGCTGTCGAGTACGTCAGAGTTCTCACAAAGTTGACGACCAAGTTCCCCGAGATCTGGACAAGCTCGAGCGAGAAGAAGACCCCGATTACCAGGCTAAATGGGTTCCTGGAAAAGGGTTCCCAGAGCAGCTCCGCCAAGTACTGGGAGCACCTCGAGCACCTCGTTAAGGCCATTCCGACTGAGCTCTTCACGGTCGATGCTTCAGCTGACGCGCTCAAGTCAATGAGGACAGGAATCACAAGCAGAGAGGAACCGCGGATGAACGCCACCGCCGCGTGGACCTGCTATGCCAGAACTACCAAGCATCTGTTGAAAAGCTTTCCTTCTAATAGTGAGAGGGCAACACTTGTTCAAGAACATTTATTCCCTCTGATTGAGCACTTCCTCTTGCCTACACCCGAAAACTCGTCTTGGGAGATTGCTGGAAACGGACGACTTCCTGTGCTAGGAGAAGTATACGAGGTCTCTGTCGGATCATCATCCGAGGAACTCAAGGCAGTAACAACTGACAAGTTGGGGCTGCTCTCGTCGGCTTTCTGTGGCAGAATATCCAACTCACTCCCAGAGATCTCAAAGGACTATGAAAAGTCTCAAGAGGCTATTGCTTCCGAGGGCACCCGCTGGTTCACCCTCGTTGGCCAAGTTCAAAAAGCAAACCCCACAGACAGTCTCTTCGTCGAGCCTTCAAGGGCCATCATCAAATGCAGCGTGGATCTCCTGGCGACGAGAAATCTCAAGCCATATGGAGCAGCTGCAGTGCTCTACAGCGTGAGCAAGAACGCCCCGCGCGTTTGGAAGGATGTAGAAGCTGCCCAAGCTCTGGAGCAATTCCTGTCAACACAAGGCCGGGATCGCATGGACGTCTTGATACTTTCACGGTCTGGTCCCGATCTGCTGAGCTGCGTCAATGCCCTGGGCACTCTCGAGGGACAAGAAGCAACATATGCCATCACATGGAAGACGTGGATCGAGGCTTTGTTGAGCCTGTCCGATGACTCGCAGGCTATCAGGGGCATCGAACGTCTAATTGCGAACCAAAAAGCTTCAGAGCTTTCCCAGACACATGAGCAGCTCCAAAATTTCATCGAGTCCAAGTGCTCCAGCACAGCTCGCGGGGAGCTGGATGCCTGGAGCCTGTTCGAGGCAGCATTTAGCAACAATGCTATCGCCGACTCAACCGCCAAGCAACTGCTAGACAACAGCGTGACGGCCTTGTCGCAAGACAAGCAGCACTCTGCCCAGGCCCTTCGCTCCTTGGAAATCATTGCGAATAACAAGCCTGGACTCTTGTCGCAAGACGAGTCAACGCACATGGCGGTCGTGACTGAGCTGCTGGGACTTGCCGAACTAAACGACAAGGCAATTTCTTCCCGTGCGGCCTCGCTGAGAGCGCTACTGGAACAGCCCGCTGATGGCGTATCGCCAGTCGTCACCATTATTCAGAGAAACCTCGAAGACGCTGGACCACAGTCACTTGGCGTCGAAACACTGGTACAGCAGGCCCTCCAGGCGTCCCAAGCTGGGTCTATCGCCATCGAGGACTTGTTCCCAAGCACAAACATCTGGATGCAGCAGCTCTCAAAGTTCTTCCAGGCCAAGCTCAACCCGTCTTTGTCAATCACTAGCGGTCTGGCCGGCGCTCACTTCCTTGTTCAACTTACCGAGTCCGACCAGCGCCTTCGTGTGCGCAGAGACCGAGATGGCCTCTCTATTCCAGCCAGAATGGCATCCTACACCTCCAAGCTCTTGTCTTCCGACATTTCGGTCTCAAGCCTGCCTGACAGCTTCCAGGTCGAGCTGCTCTACCTCCTTTGTGTCGCGGTTCAGATGGTGTCGGACCAGATTACACTCATGGACGAGAACAAACTCTTCCTGAACCTCGAGATGGGAGACGCGCTTGCCTCTGCTGAGTCATTCGTCTCTTCCACCCGCGTGACCATCAGTGCCATTGTCGACGAAGCCAAGGGATGGAGGGACGGCTCGGAGGCTGGCTCCACAAAGCTGGTCAATGGTCTCATCGCCATCATGACGCAGGAGACCAAGGAGCTCACCCCGTTGGGCGTCTACAGCTCTAGAGCGCTGAGCGACCTCTTCCAGAACCTCGCCGAGAAGCACGGTTTCCCAGTTACTGGAGACGACAAGATCAATCAGCTGGCCACACTCAAGGCCACACCACCAACGATTCTGGCGGCGACGGCTGTGCTCGCCGGCTTCGGCGAGAGCCTGGAATCATCAAAGGCCATTAACAACCTGTGCAACCGTCTTGTTAGCGACATTGCAGGCGCCAGTGTTGAGCCTGAAAAGGCCGAAAAGACGCTGCTTATCCTGGTCCTCCTCAACGCATGCCTGCAAGTGTACGAGGTTGGCGAGGTCCCCGTGGCTAACAACCGCATCGTCTTCGCCGTTCGCCAAATTACGTCTTGGATGGACGATATCTCCAGCCTCACGCCCGCGCTGTCAGCCGAGATCTGTAGATCCTTCCAGAGGTTGCTCCCATGCATGAAGGATGTATACGGCTCGTACTGGGACAAAACGATTGAGTTCTCCACCGCGTTATGGGCAAGGGCCTCCGACGACCGTCTCGACGACTCGCTTTCGTACATTCACGCATCACTGAAGCTCATGACCGCCTTGGAGACGCTATCGGAGCCGAACGATGACCTCGTGGACGCCATCAAAGAATTCGCCGAAACGAAATCCCTCTCCCTCATCGAGCTCCTCAAGCTCGACCGCGAAAAGACCACACAGCCCCTCGAGATCGTCGACGCCATCATCTGCAGACAAGTCAACAAGATCCCGCTGAAGCACATCAACGACCTCTCGGACCTCTACGGCCTCATCGCCGCGGACTCCCGCTCGATCCAGACGGCGGCCTTCAACCTCCTCCACTACGCCCTCCCCGCGCGCCAGGAGGAACTCTCCGTCAACGTCCTCCTCGACAAGACAGACGCCCGTCTACCCGACGAGCTCCTCTCCCTCCTCCTCGACGCGCCCACGCTGGACCGCTACCCGGACGAAGTCCTCGCGCAGTTCCCCCTCGCCATTCGCTCCTACCTGCTCTCGTGGCATCTCATCTTCGACGCCTTCAGCACCGCCTCCCTCAAGGTCCGCCAGGACTACACGGAGCACCTCAAGACGGAGAACTACATCGCCCCGCTCATGGACTTCACGTTCGACGTGCTGGGCCACTCGGCTGCGCACCCGCTCAACCTCGAGCGCGAGGGCCTGACGACGCAGCACCTCACCTCCTACAGCGTCTCCCTTGCCGATGCTGAGCCCGACGAGCGGAACCTCCACTGGCTGCTCGTGCACCTCTACTACCTCACCCTCAAATACACCCCCGGTCTCTTCAAGACGTGGTATCTCGACTGCCGCTCCAAGCAGACGCGCATCGCCGTCGAGGGCTGGATGACGCGCTACTTCTCCCCCATCATCGTCTCGGACGCGCTCGACGAGGTGGCCGCATGGGCGGCGGCCCAAGACCCGCCCGCCGACGACGACGAAAAGGAGCTCGTCGTCAAAGTCAGCAAGGCGTCGAGGGAGATCACGGCTGGTGTCGAGGTCGACGAGAGTATGGCTTCCATCGCCGTCAAGGTGCCCGCGAGCTACCCCATCGAGGGAGTCTCCGTCGTCGGCATCAACCGTGTCGCGGTCAACGAGCGCAAGTGGCAGAGCTGGCTTCTCACGACGCAAGGCGTGATTACCTTCTCCAACGGAAGCATCATCGACGGCCTCTCGGCCTTTCGAAGAAACATTGTCGGTGCCCTCAAGGGCCAGTCCGAGTGCGCCATCTGCTACTCCATCATCTCCACCGACAAGCGCATGCCCGACAAGCGGTGCTCGACGTGCAAGAACCTCTTCCACCGCACCTGTCTGTACAAGTGGTTCCAGAGCAGCAACCAGAATACGTGCCCGCTGTGCCGTAACCCCATTGATTACCTGGGCCATGACTCCAGGGCGAAGAGAGGGCAGTCGGATTATGTGTAAGGTACCTAGCTTTCTTAGGTAGGATGCGGTTGTGGGAGCGGCATTGAATGACAAGGGGAAAGGGTAAAAGAAGAAACGTGAGATGAGAAAGATGAAAGTATGGTTTCTTGTAAAAAGTCACATGTTAGAGAGTGTGGAGCAGTAAGTAAAAAGCCGAATGGTTGGCAGTGGATAGATAAAAAGCAGAAACGTTCAAATTGCAAAACTTCTACCAATCCGTGAACCCGCGTGGAACCATGAGACCAACCAGAGAACCCTCCATGCACTCAGATCAGCCTATCGAGACCTTCACGAACAAGCTTGAGAATCTCCTCGGCATCCCGGACACGTTGGGTGCGCTGGTCCTCGTTACACATAAGGCCCGTGTTTGCTGGGTTGAATCTCAATTCACCCTTGACATCCAAGCCAGTGTCGACAGAGGCAAATCTGGGCTCGTCATCGGTCTCGTCATCGATATCGCCCATGTACGTGTCTGACTCGGCTACATTGGGGGTAGAGCAGACGTCCATAACCGTGTCAGCGTCGGTGGTTTCCGGGACGTCCTCGAGTGTCTTCGCCGAGATGACCTTCCGGCGCCGATTGGCCCACACGACCTGATCGTAAAGTCTGAGGGATTCCATACGGCGCCGCGTGACGCTTTTGGTGACCCGAGAAGGCCGTTGCTGGGTAAACAACGCCCTGTTTGCGATGCCACCCGCTTGCCTCGCTGCTATCTGTGCCAAACGGATCTCGGTTTTCCTACAAACCCAGCAAATTGATCCATTATACGTAGAGCGATGGAAGCCGCATCCAGAACATTCTTTAAGACAACCGGCTTCGGCACAATCCTTGTCGCTTCTGTGCTTTCTCTTGCCACAATGGTGAAGTTTTTTGCCTCCTGCTAACCTTCTAGGATAATCTGAGATGGCTCTGCCCTTCTTTTTTGACCGCTCTTGTCGTTTTGAACCCTCCGGTTGGCTCCCGAGAAGCGACGTGTCCGGTGCGTTTTGAGTGTCAATGTTCGGGCCGTTACGGTTTTTTACTTTCTTCGGGCCAGAGGGCGCGCGATCTTTCGATCTTTTTTCGCCAGGGAGGGCCATTGTTTGGCAGCTTTTTTCAACAACTGAACCGCGGGCGAGACTGGTAGTGGCTGAACAAATTAGGGATTGCGAGATAGGAAACGTTGAAATTGACGCGGTTTGGTGACAAGGACGCGCAGGACCGCAGACATTAATACCTCGTGCCAGAGTCTGAAGCCTTTGTTCTTCGATTCTGAGACCTCGTCGCAGCGTTCTGGAGGGTTTCCAAGGCTCATGGGACTCAATGGAGGCCATAAACACAAAGAAACTGCTTTGAATGCCTGCAGCACAATGCCGACCCCTTTCCTTCGATCGTCCAAAGGCTAAAGGTGGCCTATCTTCAAACACACCTGCTCTTTATCACGTTGTCCTCAAGGGCCGGGTAACTTCCTACGCTTGACTTTCCTCGGTTCCTACCATAAACTTGTGCTGTAGAGCCTATTTTATAGTCAGTGAAAGCAATTGCTTGTGATGGAAAAGGTCCCCGCAACTCACTTGCTCCGCCGTAGCCCTCTTGGAGTCAAAGTGCACCAAGCTCGATATCAGGTCTCGAACATGGGGATCAACCTCGGGAAGAATCTCTGTCCATGGCTGGCCATTAAACATGCGGTACATCTCGAAGGGCGGCGTCTTGAAGTTTGCAGCCTCTGGCCAAGTCTCGCGTGTCGGCGTGCCCAAAGTTTTGAAGATGCTCAGAATCAACCCCAGCTGGTTGCCATCCTCATGAGCCGGCCTTGATTCAAACAAAGGCTTTGGGGGGCTGCGACAGCATTCGGCCAGCATGGCCCCAGCCGCCCACATATCGACAGAAGGACCGTAGGCTTTATCGCCAAAGAGCGCTTCAGGCGCTCGGTAGGGGCCGGTTCCGATATCCAGAATCTTGGATTTGGCCGGCTCTGAGACAATCGACATGGTTGGGTGCCAGGCCGTTCCAAAATCGGATAGATATGCTGGCCCATCCGGGCTGTCGAGCAGGATGGCCTCGGGCTTGATGTCTCGGTGTATGATGCCCTGGCCGTGGATATCCACGAGTGCAGTGAAGATGTCCTTGAAGAGACGTCTAACCTGGGGCAGTGGGATGGCTCCTTTGTCAATGACATTGGCAAGTGTCATGGGCTTGTAAGGAAACACTAGGACAAATCTTTGTTCTTGGTCCCTGAATGTTTCCAAAAGTGGAATGCATGGTCTTTTCAAGGTCGCTAGAATCTTGGCCTCGCGTTGTGGATTGTGAGGCTCAATGTTGTGTGTTTCTACAATGACCTTGAGCGCTCGATCCTTGCATCGGTAGACTTCTGATGTTAAGCCACTTGCAAAAGGAACGCAAATTTTGTAAGAACCAATGGTGACGCCAACATCTTCAGGTTGGTCTTCAGCAAGTGCTGGGGCTTCCGGGCGAGACAAATTGGCCGAGCCGACTAGCTGGCAGATTTCGTCATATTGAGCCTGACCTTGACATGTGAGCGTTGAACTCGGGCAAGAGCTGAGAAATAGGGAGTAGAACTTACCCTGGATGACGAGTCTTTATAAGCCTGGTTTTCTACAGAAAATGCGTCCGATTGGGACGTGTCTTTGGCATCCGGACTAGCTGTTTCCAAGACGGACTTTCTATAAAGGAATTGGTGTAAATATGGTTTGAATGCACATTGAAGATTTATGACTTACATCCTCTGGATGTTTTCATATCGATCTGACGCCGATAATTGCGTCCTCCAGTCGCTGTCTGCCATGAGAACCGGGCGGCTGTCGAGGACGGAAGTTGGCTAGAGGTGGACGAGCAAGGATGACGAGACTTTGACGGTGGTGCACTGGCCTTGCTTTCAATTGACCGTTCTTAGTGAGCACCAGACAGGAAGGGGTGAGGCGTCGTTGCACCTTTCGTTGATGATCCCTGTGATGCAGTCAGGAAAGAGAGCAGTAGACCTGGGTACGTACCGTGTGAGAAAAGTCGGAGACGGTGGAAGGACTGTCCGGGCCGGACCCGCCGGTGTGGATCTCGCCGGGAAACAGCGTTCGCACAGTGCGGACTCGCAGTCTCCTTTTCGAGGGGAAAGAATGCAAAGGAGGAGAAATAAGCTTACATAATGCCTGCTTGGGCATCGCAATTCCGGGTACCTGACGAGGGGCGTTCCATGGCGTCGAAATATGTCTTTAATTACCTCTTCGACTAAATCTTAGCTCTTCTCCTAGCCTCACGAGGCGTAAGGATTATCACGGTCTTTTACTGCGCTAATGCGCACCACTCTTGGGTCTCACTCCGCGCAGTCCTTGGACTGGAGGGTAGGTATGCTGCCGGCAGGTCGCGCCAGGAAGGGCCTTTCTTTTTTTCTTCAGTACTCGCACTTTGTGGATGGTAAGGTATTTTGGCTTTAAGATCGAGATCCTTGCGATTGAATTAAGGGCCAAAATAAAACTTCATGCGCAGCTGACAACCTGCAAGGATGGCGCGGCTCAGTCATGGGTTTTTTCTTTCTTTCCCCTTTACCCTCTTGCGTCGGCTTGGTCTCCGTGAGGTGGGTTGAAATTGAATTTCGATCAGAGACTTTACGCGGGCGCGACACGTCAGGGCACTTCCCGTCATCTCATACAGGCACCGTTCCTCTGAACCTTGCCAGACGGATGCGGGATGCTGAACAGGATCAACGTGACTAAGGTAAAGTAAAGGCAGGGAAGCTGCTTAAGGTTGACAGAATGTGGTCTGGGTCATGCAGCCCGCCGCCGCCGTTGTTTCCAGCATCGGGGGAACGAGCGGTGCCTCTGTACTTTCTCATGATCATGTATGTCTTGCCTGCTGTACTCCTTGTCAGCTTCAGATGAGGACATTTCGAAGCTGGAAGGCTCAATTGGGTTCTTCCTCGGTTGCCAACTCGAGGTGAGCATTGTGCTAACTTGGTCTGTAAGGTGCGTGACGTATTTGCAGGACTCCCCTCCGAGCTAGCCTGTTTCGATTACAGGAGCCCTGTCCGACCCAAAGCACAGAGAGATGAGGGTGGTTGGTCAGTGTGGAACTGGAGTTGAGATGTATGTTGTCTCTTAATGGGTGAGCTGTGCAAAGGAGGCTGATTGAACCTGACCGGCGAATCTTTCAGAGGACTTATGCCGGGATATCTGGACAAAAGCAACGTGGAAAGGAGAAGCGAGTTTTCGTTTCCTGGTTAGATATTCCGTAATGTGCGGACTACTTCATTATGAATAGGCATCTCAGAGACTTATGGATGAGTATGAACTTTGGTGGACGGTACGTCCTTGCCCGCAGCTCCCGGGCCAATTGTCCCATCCGAATCCAATAAATTCAAATCAGGCGCCAGTGGAACATGCGCTGAACCTTTGGTCAAGACGAGGCAGCACTCGGGCCAATTGGCGACGCATTCGAGAAGAAAAAAAGGTACGTGAGACATCTCAAGGATGAGGTTGGATGACATTGACACCCAGGTGCCAGTGGGAGACCAAGGGGGCGTCGAGGCCACGCAGCAGCATTGAACAAGCTAAAGCAAGAAGGCAGCATTAGATGATGAGACGGGACTTACCACGTTGCGTTTGTATGCAGTTGACGCGTCTCGACGTTGATCGAGGCAAGCTGTAAAAGTCAACCTCAAATGTTCATGTTGCTGTACATGCAAGTATTCCAGGTTCATACCAACGTACATGATATGAATTGTATCCCCCAAGTCCGACCTGTGGATGTATGTACCAGAAAAAAAATCCCAAGTCCAGCCCAGCCCATGCCCCCCGGTCCGGTCTTCTCCACACTTCATCATCAGCCCAAGACTAAATAAAAGAAGAGGGAGACAAGTCACTCTTAGCTGTACCGAGTGTGTAAAGTGACTTCTATTGTGGATAGGTACCAGGAGTTCTTCCTGGCTTTCCAGTCCAAAGGGGCCCACTCTCCCACACATCACTGGCGACCATAGTCTGCACCTGCTGCACCTGGTGACTGCCTGACCGGGCTTCGTCTTGTTCGGCAGCAACAGCAGCAGCGGCGCCATTCCATTCCACCTTCCTGGCCTGCCTTATTGTTCCATCCATCCACCATCCAACTGGACCATTCCAACCATCCACTCAATTCCCGCCGCCGCCGTCTCGCAGGACAACCCACCTTCCTCACACCTCACGACTTTCCCACGATGCGAATGCTCCTCACTTCGCCCACACCTTTTTCCGCATCATAGACAGCATCGCTATGCGCGCCTTTTCTCTCGTTGCTTGCATTCATCGTACATGACTTTGCGCGCGCCGCACTAATTAGACACAATGGATGATCTCGCGAGGGCCGAGTACCCGGCCATGCTGGTAATGTTTCCCCCCCTCCCCCATTCATTCCGTCAACCCGTCACTATTTTCCCCCAAGTGGTTGGGAAGGCCCTCCTACCGGGCAGAAGCCGAGGTCGGGCTGGCCTTCCACAATCCGCCTCACTGCGACTGATGTACTTCCAATGCTATGGCAGGAGCGCATTGTTTGCGACTTGTTTTGCTGACTGTTATTTCCCTTTGTTTAGGAGCACCTCCAGCCCATGCAGGCCGTGAACGTCCTTACCGATCGTGTGAAGAGAATAAACAAGATCAACACCGAGATCGCCGACTGGTTGCAGGTAAGGCACCACCAACGATGACTACAATGCGACAGCGCAGGACAATCCCATGCTGAACAATACCTCTACCCAGGAACGCCGCCGAGTCGAAGATCAATACGTCCAAAGCCTCAAAAAATTGCTCGCCTTCAAGGTCCCCAACAGCTCGTCTGAGCTCGGGTAGGTTGCCCGACCACTACATTTGATCCTCAGGAGTAGGACCTTATACTGATAAAATCTGTAGCGTCTTTTCCGGTCCTTGGGACAAAATCCTCCAATCCGTCGACTCAACTGCCCACTCCCACCACGTTTTCGCGAGCCAACTCGAAAAAGATGTCGAGGGTCCCCTGCGTAACTTCTCCTCCCGCAAGGAGATGCAGAACATGCAGACCATCACCGCCAACTTGACCTCTATGGCCCGAGACCTCGAAGATGCCCAGAAGAAGACTGAAGCCTTGGCTCGAAAGGGCCCCAAGACGAACGCCCAGAAGATGGCGGATGCCACGGCGAGACTGGAGTCTACCACCCAACAGTGGGATTCGCAGGCTCCCTTCATCTTCGAGACCCTCCAAGCCCTTGACGAGCAACGCGTTAACCAGCTGCGCGACCTGCTGACGCAATACGAGACCCACGAAAGCGACCAGGCGCAACGAAACCAGAGCCGCGCTGCTGACACCTTGGCTTCCATGCTGGAGATTAGCACCGAGCAAGAAATCGCGAGCTTCAAGGAAAGGATTCTTTCTGGCAGACCGAGGTTGGAGAAGAGGGCCACGGCGTCTAGACAATCCTCCAATGCCCCTACGAGCCAGACTCTGGCACCACCTCCCCCGCCGCCCAGCAGTCTCGGCCACCACGACGATGACGCAAGCGAACACTCCGGTCTGGGCGAAGGAAAGAGTGGTATGATACACTATGTGATGCTACCTGGAGACTGCAAGACTAACATTGAGCGCAGAATCGAAGCTGCGAAGCCGAATCGGCACGATGCTCGGCCGCCGCCGGCAGAGCGTCCACGGCGGATTCGGTCAGATTTCTCCCGGCAAGGGCGGCGTTCCTTCGTTCGGCCGAGGCCTTAGCAGCAGCCATAGTAGCACTCACGTTCGCCCCGGCCTTTCTCCCCGAGCATCGTCGAACAACCTGAACGAGACGAACAACCGCCTCTCCGCTCTTCCCGAAACACCCGACTCTCCCAGACCACCTCAGTCCTCCGGAACAGACGGACCGCTCCACGAAGGCACCAACGGCTTCGGCAACTTCCCATCGGATAGTGCTCGGTTGGGTTCTTCTGCTGGTCCCGTTAACGGAAACCATGACTCCGATGCTTTGGATGTTGCTCCACCACCCGGTCCTCCCCCGTCACAGGGCAAAGACTCCCAAGCCAAGGACGACGAAGGCTTCACAATCCGGCCACCCGATAACGATCCGATTTCTCAAGCTCAGCGCGAGGCTGCCGAGGAGAACGAGCAGATGTTCAAGCTGAACATTGCGAGCTCGCCCATCGCCGAGGAGGATGCCGATGCGAAGCAAGCTGCCATGTCGAATGTCGCAAACACGTTGACCCAGATGGCTGCGCCGTCACGCAAGCTGGGAACTGTGCGAGGACGGAGAGACGTGAGAAATACCATCTACGTCCCGCCTCCTAGCCTGCCCGAACCCGAGCTCACCAACGAAAATCCATTCCCGACATCGCCATCATTGCCGAGCCAGTCGTCCAAGCCCACGACCGTCGCTGCCCTCACATCCGAGGCAAGCATCGCCGCAACGTCAGACACGCAGTCGATCCGCTCCGCAAACTCCCTTGTGAGCCTCGCGCACCTGAAACATCCCGAAATGCACCAGCCTGGACTCAATGCCTCTGTCATTGAAACGGTATCGGCAACCTTTGAGGATGGAACCGTCAAAAGCGCCAAGGTTCACGGTGAAATTGCTTTCGCCTACCACGCAACTGGTGATGCCCCGCAAGGTCAGTCAAGCTCTCATTCTGCCGACTTCAAAATGCTAACTTTCCACAGAACATGAGACGATCAGGATCAACAACTTCCCCAGCCTTGAAGTAATTGGACCGAACCGTATCTTTGTTCAGAACAGCCCCGGAAAGTCTGATGAATTCAACTTGGACGTGTCGCATCTCAACAAGACATCCACAGCGTTTACGTATAGAGTACACGGTGGTGATGCCGACGGCTCCAGCTTAGCGGCGCAAGTCCCTCTGCTGATCCGCCCGGCCTGGAAGCCGCAGGGTGACAAGCTCGGACTTCTTTTGCAGTACTCCCTGAACCCCGCAAGTAACCTGACAGCTCCTGTTACACTACAGAACGTCGTATTCGTCGCCACATACGAGGGTGCCAAGGCTTCAGGCGCCCAGACAAAGCCGACAGGAACGCATCTGAAGGACAAGCACCTGGTATACTGGCGCTTGGGCGACTTGACTCTCACAAACGAGACGCAGAAGATTGTGTGCCGTATTGTGGGAGCTGAGAACGCGGAACCCAAGCCTGGGCACATTGAAGCCCGCTGGGAGCTCACCCCGGAGACTCTGGGTAGCGGCATCAGTATTTCTCGGCTGGAAGAAACCAAGGGCAAGGGCAAGGATGAAGATGCCGACCCCTTTGCTGATGATAACCCGACCTCGCCGGCGCTGCCAGCTGATCAGCAGTGGGTGGACGTGAACTTGGTGAAGAAGATTACCAGCGGCAAGTACGAGGCCAAGTAATCTTTGCAGCCATGAACTTTTTATTGAGGAAGATGTGGTGCGAGGTGTACATACCCGTTCAAAGTGGTAGACTTTGTATTGCCATTGGAAGACAGACCATTTTACATAGCGAGCGCATGGCAGGAGAGGAAAAGAAGACACCCCCCGGATAATCATTTTGTCTGGCTCAGTCACTTGTTGATTTTTACCTCCCCATCTTCTTTCTGGTGTTGGATTTTCGAGGAGTATGATCTCGTCGTGGGGTCATCCCTTTGATGACGGAGACGGACTTTTTCTTTTCAGGGGAAGGCTTGTAGGTAGTTTCTGTACCGATATGATGAAAAAAAGAAAGATTTTCAAGATACTAGATGTGCCTTTTCTCGTTCGACTTTGACGTATTAGGTGTGCTGCTGGAGTGTGACGTGCCAAGTGCGAATCGTGGTGTGTATGAACCAAAAAAAAAAAAAGCCATAGTATCATTGAGGATAACTATCCGTCAAGCATCTGAAACCCTCAATACCGCATTTTTGGGGTGTGAGGTGGAGGTATCATCGTGATATCAAAACATGTACAAGCCAGCCCCCCTCATTCGAGACTATACCCCTCCCTGTGTCCTTCTCCACGCTCCTCATGTTCCGTCGCGCCACGTCTTAGCTAGGTAGTAGTAGTAAATATGTAGTGAGCGGAAAGCAGCTTTCTGGCTATCCCGCCATGTGTACGCGAGAAAACCCTGCTCTCGTCTTCCCCTTCTCCCCAGAGGCCTAACGTGTATTCTGTCCCATGACAAACCATACGCAGCATCCAGCAAGCTCCCTTCGTCATTCTTCTTCTTTTCTACTCAGTCTGCATCTGATTCCTCGAATACTCTTCATAAAACTCCAACGTCAGCGCCGCCAAAAACCCAGGAATACACCCCTTCTCCCGGACCCAGAAGCCAATCTGATCGCCAATTCTCCGGGCGAACGCGCTCCTCGGCCCGCCGCCGACCTTCATGGTGCCCTTTTCGCCGTCAAATACGATGGAGTTCTCGTACTCGTCCGTCTGCGAGGGGTAAAACGTCGACTCGACGCGCATTTTGCCGTTGGGCATGAACATGACGGTCCAGCCGAGCGTAGAAAAGATGGCCTCTTTGAACTCGAGGGATTTCTTGGACCAGACTTCCTTGAGACGTTTGGCTGATTTCTGGGCGGATGCGGTCTCGGCCCGGGCTTCTTCCACGAGGCGGTCTGCTGCGTCGAGCTGAGATCGCGGGACGAGGTCGACGTTTTCGTTGTCGTTGAGTTGGGCGAGGAGGTCTGTGTTTTCCTGCTCGAGGGCTTTGAGTTTGGCGACTTTGATGGCTTCGTAGTCTGACGTCGGGTTCGAGCGCAGAGACAGGACCCGGGTTTTGGATTGTGTTTTGAGGGCCTTGAGCTGGTCTTGCGTGACGGCGAGTTCCTTTTGGGTGAGGGCGTGTTGGGTTTGCACAGCAGCGAGCTGGTCTTGGAGTTTGCGGTTTTTGCGGGTGAGGAGGCCGAGTTGTTCCTGCGCGGCCGAAAGGTCATCGTTCTCGTCGCGCGGGCGCTTTGTGCCGGCCGCTGGCGTTGGGTCTGCGGCGGTGGGTGGTTTACCGGCTTCCATGGAGGACATCTCCGTGTGTAGAGCTTGCACCTCGCTTCTGTACTTGTCGACGAGATCCTCAAGCTCCTGGATGCGACGGGCGCGGGTCTCGTCGACGGCCTCGGGCTGGAAAGCCTCGTCTTCGGCGTCAAAGGTCTTGAGCTGGGCGCGAAGGTATTCCACCTCCTTGACGGCCAGTACACGCTGGCGCTCAGTGCGAAGGCGGGTCTTATCGATGTTTTGGGGGGCTGATGCGGCGGACTTCGCGTCGGCGAGCTGGGACTTGAGGGTGGTGATTTCTTCCTGGCAGGACTTGATTGAGGATTCCTGGGCAGCGAGCTCGGCTTGTAGGGAGCCCATCTTGTCGAGCTGGGCAGCGTTCTCGTAACGTTGCTCGACGAGGGCTCGGGCGACGGCTTCAGGGGAGTCAAATTCGAGATCGCCGCTGCCGTTATCAGTACTGGCGAGATAGCCCGTCCAGGCGATGCGTTCGTCCTCGAGGCGCTGGCGCTGGATGTTTGCCTCGGCGAGCTCCGTCTCGAGGGACCGGGCGGCCTCGAGCTTGCGTTGAAGGGATCGCTTCTCCTCTTCGACGACCTCGACGGCCCGGTGGATCTGACGGAGGTGCTTCAGTTCCGAGAGCTGCTCGCGGTTCGTGGCCTCGAGGCTGCGGATATGGGCCACCTGCTCCGAGAGCTCGCGCTTGATGATGGCCATTGTGTCGGCGTCGCCCGTCTGGGCCTTGAGGCGGAGGACCTCGGATTCGAGGTCGGCTACATGGTTGTCCTTATCTACGAGCTGGGACTGGATCTGCTGGAGGGCAGCCTCACGGGCCTGGCTTTCTTGTTCCAGCTCCTGCGTCGACTTTTGGGCGGCTTGGAGCTGCATTTCGAGGTCGATTGTCTTTCTCTCATTGATGCGGGCGGCTTCGTCTTTGGAGCTTGACAAGTCTTCCAATTGTTCCTGTAGTAAACGGGCCTCCTCTTCGGCGTCGCGCGCACGCTTCTCTAGGGCCGTCTTTTCCTCTGCGACGTTTTCGCGGAGGTCGCTCAACTCCTTTTGGGTATTCTCCAGCTGGCGCGCGGCCTGAGACTTTTCACTCTCGGCTGCCTGTTTCGCTGTGAAATCGGCCTGGGCGCGGCGGCGCTGATCCTCGAGCTCGGCATTGTGTCGGGCGTCTGCCATCTGCTTCTCCTGCTCAAAGGTGCTGATGGTGTAGCGCAGGGTGCCCAGCTCTGCCTTGAGCTCCTCAATGACCTGGCGCTGGGACTCGTACTCGGCGGCATCGGGGGGCGCCATGTTTTCTTTTGAACTCTCGTGGGATGAGGCGCGGACGGAGTCGGGGGCAGCGAGACTTGCGCGCGAGCCTGGCCTGCTGTTGGCATCACCGCCGGTGAATAGGTTGTACGTTGGTTGTGTTGCGCGAAAAGTCTAACTCTCGTTGTCAGCGGGCCAACGTTTCTCTTTGTTTTTGTTTACCAGAGGCAACCGAACGTACCCTGGATTCTCTCAAGGAGGTATGAGGTCTAGGAAGAGCGCTCCCGCCGGTGCTATTGCGGAAACGGTTCGTGACGGAGGCGCGCCTCCCTGGAGGGTCGCCCGAGGGGGTATGCGACCTCATTGCGCCGGTGCTTTGTTGAAGAAGCTTCCTCTTCTTCTCAACGCGCCCCAAGGATCGACCAATGTTTTGGCGGTTGTTGACGGCCGGGGATGCTGGGGAGGGAGTCACGTGACGTAACATGGAGGGCCCTGCTCTTGGTGGTGTTGCTGCACCCCGCGGTGAGGCGCGGGAGGGACGTCGCTGGCTCGCTCTGAGCAGCATGCCGATCTCTTGCGCCCTTCTGGAGCCTTGGTCTTCGTCAATGATGTCGGACATGATGAACTGCAGTGTTGGATTACAACATGAGTCGAATCGAATAGGAAATTGGAGCGGAGAGAGTTGATAATGTATCGTTAGCTGTAAGGTAAGTTAAATTGAGATTATGTAGTGAGTAGGTTTTTGTCTCTCTTTTTTCTCGCCAACTAATAGAACAAAAAGGCTTCAACTTGCTCCTTCCTCATCACGACGGGTTGCTCCTGCCACTTTCCAACGTAGATACCTCGCTCTCTTAGTCTGCCCTTTTCTCCTAGTCTCAGGCAGAGCCATCTCTCAAATCTTCTCTCAAATCATCTTCCAAACCTCATGCATGAAATTCCCACGCCTTTTCGAGACATGCAAAATGACAACATCACCAAGTCTGGCACCAAGTGAGGTTGTCATGTATTCAGAAAAACAAAACCGAATGTCGCCAGTTGCGCATTCATTCCATCGCCGGGAAGAGCCAAGGGCCATCATGCGGCAGGAATGAACTCTTTTGTTCTCATCAAACACTCACCGAGCAGGCACCCAATTGTCCACCATTGTCCAGCTGCTTGAGACTCCTAGATAGTGTAAGACGAACAACAAAGGCTCTAGGCCAGTGGCCCTGTGGCTCAAACTAACAAACGGGTAGAGAACAGGTACGAGAATAGTACTAGGGTATTGGGGCGGACAGGGAGCAGCTGCACCATGACGTGATGGGCACATCCCACATGTGGTGGGAGCTTGTTCCTGACTTGGCGGCAGCATGGACCAGAATCCGCTCCGTGCCCTTGCGACTAAGCGTTGCTATGCTCTCCCAAGCTCCGGTGCACAGAAGCAGATTTCAACGATAGCTTCAACCTCCGGATTACCCCCCTTCCATAAACCTCAACCAAACTTCCGAAACGCCCACGCCGAGCCGACCTCCCGAGCCCAGACGTCTACTACCATTAAGATTCCTCGATCGAACCGCTTGCGAAGGAGAAGCTCGGCCAATTGGGGCATGCGAAAGGGGCCGTTACTCAGCACGAGAATCATTGTCCGGGACAACCGAGCTCGAAACCACTGCTATCCCCTTGGCGAAAGCGTCTCAACGTTTACTCAGCCTTGCTCCTCGATTTGTACACAGAGAATTATTGTAGGACTTTTGGATAATAGAGTCTGCTGCTGGGCCGATTGGAATATTGAGCACAAGGCTGAGCCTGGCTGCGACGACTAAGCTTGACGACTCAGTCTAAGCCGAACTGGGTTCCAATCAGTTGCTCTCGCCTCGAGAACATCAGCGTGCCCGCCTATTTTGAAGTAATTGTTGTGTTTCTTTTGAGCAGGTGGAAATCACAGGCAGCCTGGAAACTGTTGCTTCTCTTCTCTTTCAGCTCTTTCTCCCTTCAACCCAACGCCGACCACCGAAAGATCAACAACATCAAAATCCCACCACACACTGCAAAGCGCCATCATGACGCTCTCGTGCCTCCTGGTAAGCCCTATATCCTTTCCAGAAAGCCGCAAATAAGCTAGGGACGATTGTGGCTGATGCGCGCAATAGCTCCGAGGCAACCACAGCTGGGCGCTTCGAGCCGTAGCCCCGCCTAGCCTTGCGTTAAGCTTCTCCTACCCAGCTCGCCATTATTCAGCGGACGCCAGCAAGAAGGACGAGAATGCGGCAAGTGAGAGTAAGCAGGAGGATAGTCCTCCTCCTTACACTCACCGTGGCTCTGCGATCAACTTCCACTGGGGCCGCGAGAAGAAGGAGAGGACAGGCCCGACTCTGTCGGCGGACAACTGGGAGGAACACCCCGATGCCAAGATTGAGGATTTCGAGGAACTCCCTTACAAGGAGTTTGGCATCAACCAGCACATGGAGGTTAATGCCGAGTTCAAAAAGGTCCTGACCGAGGTTGTCCGGGAGTTCCGCGCTCCCGTAATGTACGCAATGGCGTACGGCTCTGGTGTCTTCCCGCAGTCCAAGATCAGCCGTTCTGTGTCGGACGAGGAATTTCGCGCTGTCCACCCGAAGCCGTCTCCCTCGTTGATGGAAGTGCAGAAAGGCGGTCCCAAGATGATTGACTTCATTTTTGGTGTCACCCACACCCAACACTGGCATTCGCTCAACATCAGACAGCACCGGGACCACTACTCTGGTTTGGCCAGCTTCGGTTCGGGCCTCGTCTCTACCACCCAGGATCGCTGGGGCGCAGGTGTTTACTTCAACCCCTACGTCACCAAAAAGGGCATGCTCATCAAGTACGGCGTCACGTCCATCGACAACCTCTGCACCGACCTTTCGACCTGGAACAACCTGTACCTCGCGGGAAGACTTCACAAGCCGGTTAAGATCCTGCGTGATCACCCCCGAGTTCGCCTCGCGAACCAGGTCAACCTGATCTCGGCGGTTCGTACGGCTCTCCTGCTTCTGCCTCCCAAGTTCACCGAAAAGGAACTCTTCTCGACCATTGCCGGCATTTCGTACCTCGGCGATCCGCGCATGTCGCTCCCCACCGAGAACAAGAGCAAGATCTCCAATATTGTAGACAACAACATGGTCTCCTTCCGCAAACTGTACGGCCCCTTGCTCAACACTCTCCCCAACGTTGACTTCGCCGACGGAGCCGACCAGCAGAGCAAGCACGTCGCCGACGCCGAGTATGACGGCGCCATGTACCAGGACATGGACCCCATTAAGCGTGGTAATATGGTCCGCCGTCTGCCCAAGGCCTTCCGCTCGCGCCTCTACTTCCAGTACCAGAAGAAGTTCATGGTCCCGACTGCCGACTTCAAGGCCATGATGGATGCCTCTAAGGACGAGGACGCCGTGAGCTTCAAGCGTCGCGAGGGAGGCGGCTTCGAGCAGCGTATCGTTCAAGACGAGCCCGAAGAGCTGCAAAAGTCCATTCGCAAGGTCATTCGCCAGACTGTAAACTGGCCCGCAACCGCCCAGTCAATCAAGGGCTTCTTCACCGCAGGCGTCGGCCGTTCAGTTCGGTACATGTCTGAGAAAATGACAAAGTACAACGAGGGCAAGGCAAAGGCCAAGGCCAAGGCTGCTGAAGAGAAGAAGCAGCCCGCCGAAGATGCAGAGAAGCCTAAAAAGGAGGAGTGAGCGCGTCCCGACACACGATCCGCGATTTGTGCCCGCTGATGCGGGGTGCATTTCACGCCCCCCCCAGTTTGACGCCTGACGACTTCTTGATATGGCGACGATCTCGCAATTGGTACATACTGAAGTATCCTTCGACGCTCTTAGCCTCGACCTGTACATTTGGCAAAGGGGGCATCGCCCAGAGCATTCTTGCACCTCTTATTTTCGGAGTTCACCAAGACCGCTCTGCAGTGTTGTGCTCTCATAGCCCCCGCAATTGATTCTTTCGACTCGCCTTGGTCGACCCCTCACCCGGGGCTTTCTTTTGTTTCGCCTTGCTTCGGACAACCTGCATCAGCATTGGGAGGTGGTACCCCAGATTAGAATTGGAGGGTGGGCAAAAAGGGAAATTGGGTTTTACAAAAGCTCGCTCCGTACTTGTCACGAGAGGAGGGAGAGAGGCCTTGGTTTTTGGTGATCCTTCTGACTTCTTAAGCAGTGTCTCTGGAAACCATGGAGGGGCTTGAAAGGAGGTTACTGCCTGTTAGAAGTGGACATTTCTGGGAAGAAGACCTCTTTCTGATGGACGAGAGAGGATGAAATTTGGCGTTTTTGAGGGCATGTAACAAGAGTATTCACCGGGAAGCGAAAATGCCCCGAAGGCCACTTCTTTGGCAATTTGAATGAGATGCGATGATTCGCTCAAGATCCACAATGACTGCGAGTTCGAACGCGCTTCAATGTGATCTCTGCGCATGGTGCTGAGGTGGTGAAACTTTAGTCTGTTCAATATTCTTGACATTCGCTATGTGAAGCGGACTATGAAGATCCGGAAAGACTGACAAACGCACGAGAAGAAGCAAAAAAAGAGACATCCAAGCACGAAGAGTGTAGTCCTGTTTTTAATAATCGTGAAATTATTACTACAGGCCATGATCGTAGGCCCGGGCTACTAATACAAGAGGTAGTCATTACATCATTCGTCTTTCTGACTTTGTGTCAGAAGATGCTTTTTGGGGTTTACCACTTCTTCTTGGCATACGAAGCGGCACCATCAATCAACTTGTCCGTGAACCCCTCGCTCTTCTTCTCCTCCTTCTTATCCTTTCCTCCGCCGCCGAGGATCCCGCCGAGGAGACCTCCGCCGCTGCCACCACTGCTGCTGTTGTGGCTGTCGTGACTGCTGCCGTGGCTGCTGTGGTTGTCGTGGCGATCGTAGCTATCGCGGCGGTCGTAGCTGTTACGGCCTATGATGATGTCAACTTCACTGTGTCCTATCGGGGGAAATGAGAATGGGGTAAACTTACGTCCGTGAGAAGAGTGACCACCTGAATGTCCGTACTCTTCACGGCCACCGCCGTAGCCGCCGTAGCCGCCGCCCATACCACCTCCCATGCCTCCGCCCATGCCGCCTCCGCCATTGTAGTTATCGCGGGGACCGGGGCCGCCTCCCATGCCGCCGGAGGGACCGTAGTTGTCTCGGCCGCCGCCTCCGTAGCCTCCGCCCATGCCGCCGCTCATACCGCCGCCCATGTTCTCGCGGCCGCCGCCTCCGTAGCCACCGCCCATGCCTCCTCCCATGCCACCGCCGTAGTTTTCTCTAGGGCCGTCGTTGTAGCCGCCGCCCATGCCGCTGGAGCCGTAGTTCTCGTGTCTTCCGCCGTGCATTTTGGATTTAGGGTGGGAGTGTGTTTGAGAATGTGGGTTTACTGGTTGAGGGTTTGAGATCTTAGGATACTGTAGTGTGGTGATGATGAGTGATACTCAGATGAGATTGTAGTTATTTTGGTGGTTGTGGTTGTGTTTGATGATGATGAGAGAGAGAATACCTACTTCAGGCGCTTTGGAGCAGATGTCTTTATACTTGAAGTCACTCTACTGTCTTCCCACAAGTCCGTCATCGTAGCCAAGGAACGCGTCGACGTCCGTCATCGACAGCGCCGTCAACCTGTTTGCGATGACCGTTTGTTCATGTCCACCTCTCCATGCAACAGTCTGCCATCTACGTCAAATCCCACCACCGGCCGGGGGTTCTCCATTGAAAGTACATCACCAAGCATCACACTCCCTAGCCCGTCGCAAGACCCCGGAAAAAGAAGCATACAGAAACACTGGGGAAGACGACGTCAGAGCCATCCATGGATTCAAGCATTCACGGATTCTGGTCGGAAGAGCAGGACCCAGACTCCCAGAAGCCCAGAGCTGCGAGGTTTGTGGGGGTGATGTTCCGGGCCAAGTGCCGCGCGAGTGCCGTGTAAACCGTCTTGGTATTCTGGGTTTCCTTGGTGGAGATGCCTCGATATACCGGATCCATCGATCCAGGCGTTGCCAGGCTATGGCCAGGTTTCCTGCGGCGGGTGCCGTTTGAGCCTCATTGTGGGTTCTGGTGACATTCTAGCCTACATCTTCTACTCCTGTTACGTTTATGTACACAGTAAGGTGAGGTGAGGTTGCGGACTAGCTGAAAATAGGCACAAAGGGACCATGCCGTGAGCCGCGATGGTGTGCCCCCCATCTGATCTCATAACCCGACGGTCATTCCCTGACGGGGGTAATTGGCCGGCCCGCTTTCTTGACGGGCCCCGGGAGAGGCGTGACCTTTCGTAAGTCTACCACATTCGAAGACTTCTTCAGCAGAGTAAAACACTACGGTGGTGTTGAGACTCGAGAGTTGGTCACTGGTGGCGATGTGGGGACAGCAGAAACTGGGCTGACTGGGAGGAAACTTGGATGGGTGCGCCACTGCTTTATTTATGGAGGGACCCTGCTTTTGGATCATCATACTGGGTGTCCAATTTCATGTTCAATCTTTCAGTCCTTCTTGACATTATCCCCTGGCTTACTGGAGGCAACAAGAGACGTCGTCGATTCAAGGTGCGCAACGACAACAGGAAGGGTTCCTGGCTTCAGTTCCCGTCGCGTTTTGACCTGGACCGTTTGTGTTTCCTGTGACATCGTTCCGTTGCGACGCTAGGGGCGAGTTGATGGGATGACGCAATGGCATTTCTTGGTCCGATGGGATGCTCGCCCAGCTCCCCGTCTGGCCCGTTTGCCGTTTACCGTTTGCCAAGCAAACGTCACGAACAATTTTTAACGGTCAATGGAATTTGATCTACTCCGCAGTAGGCCAGGAGGTTCTAGCTACTGCTTTCCGCTGCTTTGGGCACTTTTAACGCTTGAGGAAGATACTAAATTGCTTCTCTACGGGTTGTCAATGCCTCGGGCGTACGAGTCTTGGCCCCTGGCAAAGCCCTACCGATGGGTTAGACCAAGTTAAGGTACGGATACGCTACGTGAGCCAGTAGGGCAGCAGGGCTTGGTACGGACTACGGAGTAATTTACCACAGTCCATCGGGGAGTTCATAGCGGGAGAGACAATCCGGGATCTTCCCGCGACTCCGCCAAGGGGTGGGAAACCAGAGACCGGCCCTGGGCTAGGATCGGTGGGTGGGGAGAGGGAAGAGGAATGATGGCGTTTTAGGCGTTGAGACTATCTTCTCTTTGGATTCTGGCAGCTTGACGTGTGTCTACTTAGGCCTGTCGAAGTTGAATAGGTAGACACGACCGTTGATGGAATTCAATACCCAGATATTGCCGAATCGCCCATACTATGACCGTACAGTGCTCAAGGTCTGGACGGAAACCTGACCCAAGAAACCCAGTACCATCATCCACGAGAGTCAAAAAGGTTTCTCTTGGATGGATCTTACTGCAAGGACCTGCCCCGACCACGCCGTCGCATGCATATTGGCCGGAACCCCATTTTGTCTTTTTTGCCCATTCTCATGCAGCGCCGCGCCGCACAGCCCACCCGACGGACATTGACATTGTAGAACGTAAAGAGTAGAGACGGAGAGGGAAAGGATCTATCTCTACCATACGGTAGAGTGTCGTGAGTGTGTGTGTATGGTGTTGGGGCCTTGAGGATGCAAAAGAAGGACAATACTATCAGCGCATGGATGCATGAGGGACAGCCCAAGAGTCGAAATAGGGAGAGAGAAAAGACTTGATCGTTGGTCCAATGCCTCTCCCTCCCGTGCCCCGTCCGTCCAAACATCGTCAATGGATTTCCATCTGAGCTGAGTGTCTGCAAAACCCCCAACTCCCTCGGGCTTGCGTCTCTCTACTCTCCCACCCACCCATTACGTTTGTCCATCCTGGATTTGCGCCCACCCTTGCCTGGACATGCTTGGCGCTCTTCCTTTTCGACTTTCCATTCTGGATTAAGGCGGGCGGGCATCCTTTTGCCTCCCGTCCTCTGTACTTTTCTTCAGTTCTGTTCCAGTCATCAGCAAACCCCCGCAAATCTCGTGTCCAGTCAGAACTCAGTCAGAACTTGTGGTTATTTCTTTCCTTCTTCCTTTCCCTTCCTCTTCTTCTCACCGTTGGAATCCTGGGATTTCTTCCTAGACACAACCTGCTGGATCGGTTACACCGCTTATCCCGGCCGGATACCTACGACCCTTACCTTACTTCGAAGCCGACCACCATCCACCCATCCAACCCCCATTATTCCTATCATCCTGCAGGGCTTTCAGAAAAAAGGACGGTAACAACGGCCGGAAACCCACAATCTCGCAGTAGTTCGACCTTCCCTTCTGTAGCGAGTTGCGCCCGCCCGCTTGCCTCGTGTTCCATTTGCTCAAATCTTTCAAGAAAACCACCACCGCCAAGCAAACACCCCGCGGGCCACACCAGGGAAGCATTCATTCTGTAAAGTGGTTGGTTGGGGCGTTGAATGCGAGAAAAAGGCTCCAAAGAAGCCCAAACGAATCAATTCGACGACAGCTTTCCTTCCCAACCTCCGCCCAATACTGCCCATTTTCCTACTTCCTGCTTCCTTTCTTCCCAACCTCCGACCTTTGACCTCAATTCTCTTTCTCTCCCGTCGAACGGGCCGTCGTCGCAGGTGCTTGTGTCGGCAAACTATCTGGACCTTTCAATCCGCGGTAAAGAGAATCGACGCCTAGACGCCGCACCCGAGGAGAAACTGAGGATCCCGTGGAATCTCATTCTCTGGCCGGCCCATCCGTCGCTGTCACCCGCCGAGGCCGTCGCCGTTGCGATACCACCACCCTCGACAAACGACGACAACCCCGATCCCGACCGACCGAACGTACGAGAACCGGTTGTGCCACCGCGCTCGGGGGCTGAGCTGAGCTCTCAAGTAAATCCACAATCGAACCCAACTTTTTGGTCAACCGCCGGCGCATGATTCCACGATAGAGGCCACCCCCGCAACCTCAACCTCGCGATCGAGGCGAAACCCCCCTCGCCGCCGTCAACCCAGCATGACGCGCCCGCGCATCCCCGCCCTCTACGGCATCCTCCAGTTCTGCCTCCGACTGACCCTCGTCGTCTTTGAGGTGTGCGCCCTCGCCGCCCTCATCACACTATCGAGATATGGCTTCCACTTCCCGCTCGGATACGTCACTGTAAGCTTCACATGCATCATTCTGTTAACTATGTAGAACAGCTACTAATTCCCCAAAAAGTCCGTCTCAGGCATAATCTTCTCCATGGCCGAGATGGTCACCCTCGCAAACTCAACCCACCAGATCCCCCGCATGCGTACCGGCGCCATCGTCGTCGGCGACTTCGTCCTCTTCGTCCTCGGCCTCGTCGCCTTCTTCTACTTCATCATCCTCAACGGCTGGCGCACGGGGAGCCCGGACCGCGAGTACCGCGCCTGGCGCGATGATCCGCTGCGCGTCGAAAAGGAGACGTGGGCGCCGTGGTACATGTGGCTGCAGCTCATCGCCGCGGTGCTGCATTTCCTGTACATGGCCATGCACTGCGTCGACGCGTGCAAGGAGGGCGGGCCGGAGCAGCAGCGGCGGAGAAGGGCGAGGAGGAGGGCCAGGGAGGTGGAGAGGAGGGAGAGGAGGGCGGGCATTGGGAGTAGTGATCCTGAGACGGCGCAGGTGGTGCCGAGATGAGGGTCAGTCTTCATTAGACGGTCTCTCGGCTACCTGGCTTTTGCATTGGGAGTTTTTCGTTGGGTTTGGGTATGGCGTGTTCTTGGCGTTTGGGAGATGAAGGATACGGGGATTTCATGAGACATGGACAACCAGATTTGGTGCGGCCTTGAGCAAGTGCTGGTCTTGGCCGGTGGAAAAACGAATATCCACGCTCATGTAGGAGCTTACCGAGGGAAGAAACGGACATGTTTCCTCCTCCACCTGGAGACTGACACTATTGGGATATCATGGCGCAGACACAGAGAGATATTGGATATCCGACAGCCATGTCGTAATTCTAGACGACGATTCATTAAGCTCTTACTGAACATAGAACCTTGAGTAGCCTCCAACTCTCTCACGTTGAAGGTACAAAAACAGAAAAGATACCCAGACTTTTCGATACCGAAAACCACTTCAGTTAGATCTACACACTCACTTTCTCTCACAGTGCTCCTCATCATGCAATCGAGTCTACACGCCACCGTCACCAGCGACGTACGTCACTTCCGTCGGATCCGAACTCTCAGCTGTGTACTCCCCTCAAATGACGGCCACATTAGCGGCGATTCTTTTACGAGAGTTTAGGGGTGCGAGAGGCTTCGGACCGTTTGAAACGTTGGCCACCTTCTGCCCAGTGGTGGCGGCTTTTCGGCGCATGTCAGGAAAGGCAATCCGGAGGATCGTCGTCTGGTCTTTTATGTATAAGAAAGTCGCGTGAGCTGATGTTTATACTTGTCAGGGGCTCGACGTTTTCTACTCGACGTTACTGGGTACATAGGCTTCGCGAACAGCAGTCGAACCAAATGGCAATCCTCTCGTGATAACTTTGACTCGCCACGACTTTCATTACACATACGAGCTACAGCTTTCTTGGGCACTCGGATACCCATACAGCGCTTTCATTCTTGCGCTCTCTCTCGAGGGAACCCGTGTGTGCCCAGAGGTCTAGCTCGAATTCCACTTGGACTGTGCCTGTGTGACGGATGTCAAAGGGCCAATGGTCCCTTGACATTCGCACACACAGACATTTGGACCTGGAGCTAGTAGCTCGCAATGTGCGCACTCGCGAGCTAGCGAAGCATGTCTCGGTATCCGAACAGCCAACGGAGCCCAACAGAGCTGCGGAGTCCCGGCGTGATTGGTTAGGTATCGCCGCCGGGTATCCGGTGGAAGAGATCATCTAGGCCACGGGTGAACCAAAGAGGCCATCTCTTTCTTCGAGTCTAGGAACCAAGGAAAGCCGTTCAAGTGGGTTTCCTTATCGACGAGCGGAGTGTTCGGGCCTCGTATTTGGGCAAAAACCTCGTATTCTACTATAACGGGGTCCTCGGGGGTAGAATCACACACACATCGCCCAAGAGGTCAGAATTTCTTCTATCCGTACGCTTCAAACCTAAGAAAGGCTTATCTGTGTTACTCAGAACCACTATCCGCATTCACTCCATCACAGCCCGGAGGCCGCGCGTCTCCTCCCCCGAGCCTCCGGCCCCTCCTCCACACGCGACTCTCGTGCTTCCTTTCCCGCCCTCAACCCACCGTCCCTCCTCGGACCCGAGCTGCACCCACCCCCTCGTGCCCTCGGGCACATCCCACTCCACGCTCGCAAAGCCACCGCCCTCCTCAACGGCCCACTTGGCGCTAAACCGCCCCAGCGCCGTCGTGAACCCGGCCTCCGCCTGTGCCGGCAACCCCTCCGCCTCGCCGCCGAACGAAGCGGGCTTCAGACTCCACTCCCGGCCCGCGGGCGCCGTGACGCGAAGCCCGACGAGGTACTCCGTCATCGCGCTCGTCGGGCCCGAACTCCACCCGTGCGCGTGGCTCACGTAGCTCGGATCATTCGTGTACCCCCGGCCGCTGCGGTACCCAAAGGTGCCGTCGACGAGGTACCCCTCGATCACGGTCGATCCCGTGCCGTTGGGATGGTTCAGGTACCAGCCCCAGCTGTCGCGAATGAGCTGCATCGCGCGATCGGGGCGGCCTGCGGCGAAGTGCGCTTCGATTTCGATGCTGGAGATGAAGGGGGAGATGTTACCCGGCAGCTCGGGGGAGGCAGGGCCGATGGGGGTCCAGTTTTGGGTCAGGGCTGTTGAGATGGAGGCGGCTTCGGGGCTGGAGGGGGAGACGAGGTTGAAGGCTAGGGCGTAGGCGTTTGCGTCTTGGGGGTAGAGGGTGCGGTTTTTGTAGCCGTCGATGAAGGCTCCTTTTGAGGGGTCCCAGAGGTGGGTGAAGATTGCTTTCTTGAGTGCGTCTGCGCGGGCGAGCCAGGTTTCTGTGAGGTTTTTTCCTGCTGCGCCTGCTGCCCCTGGTGCTGTAAGGTTTGGTGTGTTACCGCCGGGAGCGAGATCCGCGAGAACGGCGCCGGTGGTGAGGGTGCGGTAGAGAAGCATGTTCGGCGCACTACCGTTCAGCGAGTTGACGTACCGGGCCCAGTCACCCGCGGCCGTGGCATTTAGGATCCCCGTCTCAGGTATGATCTTCCCGTAAATGTAGTCCATCGCTTTGAGGTATGTCGCCCAATTCGCCGCCAGCCAGTCCGTATCCCCGGAGAACAGCACGTAATTGTACGCGCCAATCATGGTCCACATGTGATACGCATCGCTCGTGGCGTCCAGATACGGCGGCCCCGCGCGGGGGAAGATGCCCGAGTCCCGCTGGAAGTCAAACATTGTCTGGATGGCGTTGCGCGCGGACTCGAGGTCGCCGGTGCTGACGAAGGCGGAGGGGACGGCGACGCCCATGTCACCCGGCCAGATCCAGCGGTCGCGTTTGGCGCCGTCCAACAGGAGGGAGGAGCCGACGCCGAGCCAGGCGTCGTTGGACCAGCCGCCGGACGTGATGTCTTCTGTGAGGACGCGGCCTGTTTCGGGCGGTGCGGCGTTGGTTTGGAGGGTGTAGGCTCCCGAGTACCAGATTTTGTTGAGGAGGTCCTGGGAGGAGTGGAAGTAGCCTTGGTAGGCGCGGAGGTTTGACCAGGTTGGTTGGAAGACGATTTCGAGGGAGACGTCGTTGACTGTGAGGAGCGTCTGTGACGGGGTGGTTGTGGTGTTTGTCATGAGGTAGAGGGTGAGGTATCGAAAGCCGCCGCGGAGCTGGGGGAAGGGGACGGTGTAGGAGCCCGGGCCGGCGACGGTGATTTGGTGGAAGAGGGCGCCGTCGACGGAGATGAGGGTCTGGCCCGGGCCGCGGTAGTTTCCGTTGGAGTTGTCCGAGTACTCGCCGATCCAGTTCTTTGCTTCCGTCCAGGCGAGGCCGAGGGTTACGGGCTCGGTGGTGTTGCTGGTGCTGGTGCTGGAGAGGGTGTAGTTCACCGAGGTGAGGCCGCCGACGAGGACGCCAAAGTCAAAGACGAGCGCGGAGCCATTGCCGCTGAGGGTTTGGGACTCGGGAGAGGGGAAAGAGGCGAGACGGTCGCCCGTCGCGAGGGAGAGGATGGACTTTGGGCGGGCTGTGCGGGAGTCTGGGGCGTAGATGTTTGCATCCCAGGGGCCTGGGAAAGAGGCTTCTGTTGGGTGGGTGCAGGTTGCGTTGCGCCAGCAGGATTGGGCTGCTGTATTTGTGATGAGAAGCGCGAGGCCCCCCAAAAAGAGGGAGGACGAGACCATTGTGGACGGATGTGGTGTGGTCTGGCACCTTGCCTAGTCTCGATTCCTAGACGTGAGGCGGAAAGGAGGTGAGGTTGTTCGGTTCGTGATATGTTGTGCAGCTTCATGGGCTTTTGGGGTGGTGTATCGCGGCATTGCTACCCCGAGGCAAGCGTATTGATGTTGTTTCTCCCCTGGCCCAGGTACCGGGGCTTCAAGTGATGTCAATGCCTCGAATTAGGCTAAGTGAAGGGTCCCCGCAAGGTCCCTCTGTCCTTGGTGTCATTGTCATCTCGGGTCCGGGTTTCTTAGTAGAAGTGGTGGGCACGAGGTGATGTGGGATTTCCTCCGGCCCCATGGGGTTCGGTGACTTCGGGTCAATGATGGGTAGTTAGGTTTTGGGGAACTTTCTGCAGCTCTGCAGCCGAACACGAGTCGTGGTTCCTCTGGATCTTGAGCAGGGGGGCAGATGGGGTGGGAGTCGATCGCTTGGCAGAGAGAGACAGGGAAGCCTCCGGTAATAATCAAGCAGCAAATCAAGGAGCAAATCAAGAGAAGAGAAGGAGGAGGAGAAGAGGAAGAGGGTCAATAGGAAGAGACGGAGGAGGAGAGTGCGGGGTTTGAAGGAGGAGTCTTGCAGCTAAGTTTGTGGGGTAATCTGGAGAAGTGGGACATTGTTTCTTGGCATTCCCTTCCCTTGGTTGCTCTGTGAGTTGTGTCAAGCTGGTTCATCTGAAGTTATCACCGTCTGATGTTTCAGTTGACATGTCTGTACTTGACCGACTGGGCTGGGTTCCAGGTTGTATTCCGTCGGTTCAGACTCTGACCCTGCTTTGTGTTTTTGTGGAGGTCCTAGCGCTGCTCAGATTGGTCCTCGAGAGCTAATGGGAATATGTAATGCCTAGCGAAAGTATCTATCCATACGAGTTGATTGACAACTGAACTAGAATAGAATATACAAGGCTGGGAAGCCCCGCGTGCCAAGATCTAAGTATGTACTAGAATTCAAAGTATAATCAAACTACCGTCTCACGCCTTGGAAATGGTGACCTCAGCCTGGCCACCAGACAAGTCAACGAGATATCCTCCTCTCGCCACACTTGCGTCGGACACCGTAAACTTGGCATCGCCCGACGTCGTCTCAAGCCAAACAATAGTCGAGTTAGCCTTGAGGGCCGCCTCAGACGCCGCAGCACCGACACTCAACTTCACCGTCTGGCCCTCGCGGTCATAAGTAACAGTTTGGATAGCACCGGCGCTGAGATCAACCTTCAATCCCAAATCCGCGACAAACACCCGCCGCCGCACCGCGTCCCTCGGCTCAGCAACCACAGATGTCTCAGTTGACGAAACTACATTGCCGCCAAATACGACCTCGCCGTACGTCGCGTGGTTGACAATGTACACGCCCTGCCCGAGACCCAATCCTAGGAACCCGAGGCCGTAGTCGCCGGTATACGGGTCCCACGCCAAATGCTCCGGGAACGAGTGGAACGCCGCCGAGGGGCAGCCCTCGGCGTCAATGTTCGTCAGGGGCGCCGTGTTGCCGGCGAAGGCGACGCGGAGGGCGTCGACGTCGGATGGGTTGCGCTCGAAGTGGTGCAGCATCGGGAGCGAGTTGAGGCCGGAGCCGTAGTGGTGGAGCTGGCGCTCGATGCCTTGGTGCTTGGCACCGTACAGGAAGTCCCAGTAGCGGCGGGCGTTGCCGTTCCAGCCCCAGTGGGCCACGGTGGGCATGTAGGCTCTGATGCTGTTGATTGCTTTGATGGCGGTGTTGTTGTGGCCAAAGTATCTGTTGCTTCATGTTAGCTAATTCTTGCCAAGAGTTTGGTGATCTGGGTCGAAAGGAGCTTACTCGGTCCAGTAGTAGACGCCTTCTTGGCCGGTACTATCCCACGCCATCTCGCTGCCAAAGGGAACAGTCAATGTCTCCCAGAACTCGGCGCGGAAGCGCATGTTAACCTCAAAGGTAGTAGCCTCCTGCGTCATATTCTCCCTCTTCAGATCCTCGAGCAGCTCCGCAAACACCGTCTCGCCCATCAACCCAGTCAACCCGTAGTCGCAATCCTCGGCGCCGTTCTTCATGCAGTGCGTGACCGTGTTATACGCCTGCGTCAGGTACCAGGTCCAGTCGGCACGGGTCTTGACCTGTGGGTAATCCCTCGCCACGCGGTACATGGACCAGTACGCCACCACGGGATGGACGTAATTATACGCCCGCACGGTAGTGTACGCTCTCTCCTTGGTCCACGACGCCCAGGACGTCCAGTCGCGGGAGGCGTCGTAGGTGTAGTTGACGGCGTCGGGCTGGTAGAAGAAGGTGCTCGCGCGCACGGCGAAGGTGTCGTTGGCCGGCTGGATTGTGCCGACGATGGTGTCGTGGATGAAGTCGTCTAGGACCGCGACCTCGGCTTCGACGGGCTGGACGAAGAGCTTCGTGGCGGCGGCGACGTAGGCGCCCGTGCCGCCCTCGTCGCTTAGACCCGCGATCCAGACGCGCTCGTCTTGGGTTACAATGGCCTTTGCTTCTTTATCGTAGCCCATGATGGACGGCGCGCGGCCAAAGGGGTCCGAGGCGTCGGTGAAGTGTGCGGCGGTGGTGAGGAAGTGGCCCAGATTCGAGACCGTCTCCGGCGCGGGCTTGGTGATGTAGTACTGCACCACTTGCGTCTTGCCGTCCTCGTAGGTGATCGTCACCTTTGCGCGGCCCCAGGCGCCGGCGGTCGGCGTGAGGAGATACGGGGAGCCCTTTGCGGCGGTGTCCTGCTTGATGGTGAAGGTTTGTCCGTCCATGGTCTTCACCGGGGAAGAGTGCGTGAGGTAGAGCCTGGCTGTGAGGTCGGTAGGCACGACGTATCCCGGTATGCCCACGGCGAGCGGGATCTCCGCCTTTGTGACGGCGGTTTCAATGGTCTGGATACTCTCCGCGGCGACGAATCGGAGTCCGACAGAGTATGTTTCCCCGGCCTCGAGCGTCTTCGAGGTGGGCGTGTTCCAGGGCGTCGCGCTCTTCCAATCGGTCTCCGCCCACGCTTGGGAGTGAATCATCCACTCATAGGTGCCTTCGTAGGTCTGCGACTGGTAGTAGTAATCGCCCTGCGGCTCCTCGAGGAGCCTCCACGCCTCGAACGGACTCGACCCCAGCGGCGCGACAACGAGGGCGTTGCCGAGGCCCTTGACGGGGGAGACGCGAACGTAGCCCGCATCGAGGCCGATGTACGGGTCCGCGAGGGAGCACTTTGCCTGTGTCTCCTCGGCCGACGGGCGCGAAAAGATGTTGTTGATGGCGACGGGCAGACCTAGGGCGCCAAGCTCGACGGTGCCGTTGGCGGTATTTGTGAAGTTGACTCGCAGGGCGAGGCCGTCGCCGGCGGGGAGCCACTCGCGCGTCACGGTCAAGGGCACGCCTGCGGGCAGCGTCGCGGCGAGGTCTGCGCCGGCGATGACGCCCGGGGCGAGGTCCGCAAGGGCTTTGACGGGCTTCCTGGCGCGGGCGGAGTCGACGGACGTCCAGTTGCCGGCGCCGTCGAGCTTGAAACGGAAGGTGACGTCGCCGATGTGGTGGGCGCCGTTGAAGGTGAGGTTGGCGAGGAGGTCCGAGGGGAGGAAGTCAAAGTCGGTTCCGGGCTTGAGAGAGGCGAGGGTCTGGGAGTCCTTGACGAGCTGGCCGGTGAATTGGCCAGCCTTGAAGTCGAGGAAGCCGTTTGCTACGCCGAGGTCATCGCTGGATTGGGCGTTGACGAGGGACGTCAGCGCCAGCGTGAGGGTTGGGAGGAGCTGTGTCCGGAACATCGTGAGTGATGTGGCTGACCGTTTCGATTAGATCAATCACAGCGATGGCTAATGCTTGTTCTAGCCAAGGCGGGAGGCGCATTCTATTTATCACCGAGTATTCTCTGTATGGGCACCAAGAAATGCCTCCATCATCAACAAGGTAGCATTTACTGTACTGATCTGCGTCATGGACCGCTAATTTCCCTATGGTTTCATGCGATCTGGAGCCCGTCACCCATTGTAGAAGCTCGGGAACCATTGATACGAGCCAGGACGCTCTAACATTCGGTCGCATCGTCTGACCTTGCGCGCCTTGTCGGCTATTACCCAATGATCGACAGGTCCGGTTGCTGTTCTCTGCAATCTGGCGAAATGGAGGGGTTGCCGGATGTAAATGTCCTTGTACGTGAGCGGGGCGGCTAGTCTTTACTTTGCGAGTGCGGATACGGGAACAGAGTCGAGGGTATATTAGTGCTTGTCTTCCATCTCGCTCCTTCTATTCGTGGAGCCTTAACATGCTCTTTTGAATTGCAATTAGTTCATTGCTGGGGTAGCGAGTTTAGATCGGGACCGAGCCCGAGTTGCGTACTTCGTATGAGCCGTTTAAGTCAATCGGGCGCGAGGATATTGGTTGCAACGTAGCTCCACTAACTAGTCCGGGGGTTAGTTCTGTTGATTATCCGATAACTTGTCGCCGCGGTTGCGCATTTCCTAAAGAGGAACAATGCGAGTTGTCGACGTAGAGTTGCTGTTGAAAAAGTCTTGCTCCGTTCAACTTGGTTGATTATCAAAGTATAAGGTTTTCTGGCCTATGTGGGATGTTTCACGATACCGAAGTCGGTGTTGCCGATATTAATCGACTCAGGAGATGAAAATTAACTTTTAAAGGGAATGAATTAAGGGTGCATTCTTCTTATAAACGACAACTCCCAAAAAGACCCACAGCTTCATGCTTCATCCTGGACCATTGTGAATGACATCCACTCATTGTCCTCCCACTCCATTGAGTTGACGACGTCTATAATTTGCTGCGTCGTCAAGTCCTCCGCCTGACTGCTGCTGTCTTTGCTCAACTCTCTGTATACTGGCAGCATTGTCTCTTGACTCAGTGGCAATCCCGTCTCCGCCGGCAGAGGGGCCGGTAGGAGAGAGGCTGGTGCGTCTGTCGGTTGTTGCCAGTCTGGTTGTGGTATTGGCTGTTGCTGCTGCTGTGCGACAATGGTCGTCGAGTCGGCTAATAGCCTCGG